TTAGGAGTTGCGCTGTCTCCATAACAATGCGTCCTCCGCCGTACTGGACTTGTTCTCCTTCAACGGTGCTAAGTTCGTAGCAGTCTTCGGCTGCTTTTCTTTTCTAGGTTATCTTTCTTTCATTCACCGTTCTTGGTGATATGAAGTTTCCTTAGGCTCCGCTGTCGATCATGGCGGTAGCTGTTCTTCCGTTGAGCTGTATTTGGACTTGTACATGCTCGTGTCGTTGTGTCGTAGGCGTCGTTGCGCTACATAGGGACCTTGTCTGGACTGCCTGTCGTTATCCCTTGTCTTCGGTAGGCAAGTCTAGTTTTTTGACTGCTCGTCCGTTCCTTGTTCGTCGTTTTCTTGCTGTTTCTTCTATGCTTCGTCTTTCTTGATATAGTAGACTCGGCGCTGGTCTTGGTAGCAGTGATACCATTGTATTTCTTCGTCAGAGTCCTCTCCAGAGCTGGTGTCGTCGACTGAAGCGACTTCAAAGGCGACTTCCAGTTGGGCATGTTGACAGGCAACATCGCGAGGTGTTTCCGAGTCGTTGGGGGTGTTCTTGGTCGTTTCTGATTCGACCTGTTCTTCCAGTTCTTGGTTGATCTGGCGGATCCGTGCGGGATCTCCTTGTGCATGTTGTCGTCGTTCGATGTGTGCGTCCAGCGCACCGAGTTGTCGTTGCCACATAGGGTTTTGTGAGTCCTGTTGAATCCGCTGCAGGTGGGCTTGTCGTCCTGCGTAGAGGAGGCTCAGCCTTCGCTGATTGTCTTGTTCTAATTCCTCGTTGTCGTCTATACTGTCAAGCCGTTCGATCGTCTTGCGCTCGATTTTGCTGTTGCTTCTATATCCCGCAGCGAGGGTCCGTTTAGGTGCGTTGGTAGTGTCGTAACCAGATCGTTCTTAAGGTTTCTAGGGGTACCATCCTGCGTGTTCCTTACTGCTAGAGTAGATATGGCAGTTGTCATCGAAGCAGGTGGTCTAGTTGAGTTGTTCATGAGGGATCGTCTTCGTGGCGATACTCGCTTGTCGTTTCTCTAGTACCGGTTGGAAGCGTTCCTTCTTGGGTGACCTGCATTCGTATGCTAGGTATCCAATCTTCTAGCAGTTATAGCACTGTCTATCTTTCTTCCAACTATCGTTCTTTTTGTCGTTTCTCTGTGTAGCACTAAGGTCCATTAGTCCACTGTGGTGACCATAGGCAGTACTTTGTCGGGGGTTGTTCTAGTTGTTGCGGGGTCTATTGTCGTTTCGCTGGTTGTTGAACTAGTGCTAAGGCTGCCACTGGTACTTGCGTCCTGAGTTGGGGTTTTGTCGTTTTTCGCCTCTTTCCTTTCGTCGTTCGAAAAGCCGGTTGTCGATTTTGATAGCAAGTTCGGCGTACTAGAGAAAGTCGTCAGGTCGATCAATCTTGATGATCTCGTCCTTGACTTCGTCCTTTAGTCCTTGATAGAACATAAAGATCTTGGTTTCCTCGGTAAGGTCGAGTTAAACGCTAAGTTGTCGGAAATTGGCGGAGTAGTCTTTGGCGGACTTAGTCTGCTTAAGTTGTGCCAGATCTCGTTCGGCTTGTCGCTTTTCGTCGGGGTCTTGGAAGAGTGACCTGAGCGTATCCTCGAATCCTTTAAAATTGGCATAGATGTCGCGGGTCTCGGTAGTACACTCGTCGAGGGTCTCGCATTTAAGGTATTCTTCCTGGATTGGTTTAAACCACTTGAGGGCCTTTCCTCGGAGGTAGGTGGCTGCGTGTACTACTTTTTCGGTTTCGTTGGTGAAATCTCCATGGTGAAAGTTCTAGTAATTTTTGACCTGAATCAGGAATCCTTTGAGGGTCCCGGGGGTTCCGTCGTAGGTGACAGGCGCACTGAGCTTAAGCTTTTGTCGTCCTCCGTGGACGGGCGTGGTGACGATGTTGGCGGCGGCCCGGAGGGTGGTGATTTCCCCCTGGAGTTCCTAGATCTTCCGGAGGTTGGCATCCCCCTTGATGTCTTCTTCCAGCTTCTTGTAGGCCTGTCTAGCGTGCTGGAGTTGCTCGTTAAGGTTTTCCATTGCTTATCGGTTTTCGTTAACGATTTTCTGCATGTCTTTTGTCTCGGCTTCTTGTTTCTGGATTATGCGTCGGAGCTTATCGTAGCTTTCCTTGGTGAAAGAGCCATCTCCATCGGAGTCGTACTTAAGGTCCGGCATGTCGAAGTCCTCAGTGTTGGCAGGCTCCTGCGCGAGGCTCTGAGGCTGGTTGCGCGAAGAGGATGAGGATCCTGGAGTGGGTGATTTGGCAGAAGCGCGAGAAGACATCTTGTCTATACTGTTTAGTAGTTCTCAAAAGGTGACTTACTGAACAGGAGCAATCAAAGTGTTACGGCTAGCTAACTGACAGTGGGTTTGTGTTAACAGTAAGCCAGGGATTGAGAGTAGTAACAGTCGTTCCGTGGTCCTGGTCGAATAGATCGTAGATCTTCAAAGGTCTTGGTGATCAGTCAAGGCCTCAACAAGAGTCGTAGAGTAGTCGTCACTTAGGTATAGCTGAAAGTACCGGTTAGGGTAATCACAAAGTTGATTGCTGAAGAACTAGGAAAGGTAGGACTCGAGAGGACTCGAGTCCCAACTATATACAAGTCTGGTTCCATGCTGAACACTTCCTGATCCTGGGGGACCGACACCCAGGACGTCGGTCCATCGCCATGGACCGCCCTTGGCACCGTCGGTCCTGTCGATTGATTGATTGATTGATTCCTACACGGTTATGAAGCCGCTCTTATGCTAGCAGCTATGCCCGGAAAGCGGGGTTTGGCAGACAGCCGAAGCATCGACGATAAACCGCGACGCCCCACTTCGCCCTGTTGTTGGATCAGGACCAGCTGTCCCCAAGCTCCCACTATGCTATCTATTCTTGTGTGTTTATGCCCTCTGTTGAAGATTGTTGTCCTCCTGCCTGCTCTCTCGCTTGGTGTTGCCTTCTAGAATCCTTCTTTCGCGTCCTCCTACTTCGGTTCTGTTAGTACTAGGCACCATGTCTGGTTCTGTATACCTATAGTCTCCCCCCAGCCCTCAGCTTCGTCTCTTTATCTTGTCCACATCCTCTCAGACTCGCATATGCTATATCTCAGTTGAATCTGTAAATCTTTTTGTTGCCTCATGCTGGGTTCCTATGTGGCTCTATGTTTCCATCTTTCGACCACCACCTCCATCCACCGCCTAGAGTCGGACTCAATCCGCAAAACACAATGCTCCAACCGCTTCGATTCGTCCGATTACTAAGTATGAGAGCTCGTACACAGATTCCGCAGACATTGTCATACGTTGAAGGGGCGACAATCCTTCTTCGCGGAGGGGGCGACAGGGGACCAATCTGTCTGCAAACTGTAGTATTTTGTGGCATCGATCGTAGCATGCCTGGTGTCTGGTGCTTTCTCTATGCAGGAGGTGATACCGTTCTGTCGGGCTTGTCGTCGTTGTTGTCGCGGGACGTTGCAAACTTTGTCGGGGGTGATAGGCGACCCATAACCTATCGGTGGCTGTGGTGTTGATGTTTGTTTGGGCTTGGTCGTTGTGCTCACGTGATAGCCCGTGACTCAACCGCGGTGGTGTCGATGGTGTTGTCTATTGACGTGTCATACTTTGTGGCTTGCTCTCGAATTTTTCGTGGTCAGAGCCCGCCCGCGGCCACGAGCAGGCTCTTTGGGAGCAGAATCAATGCCGAGGATGACATTATGCCCAAAGTGACCTCTGAGAGCGCGAGCGGGCGTGGTTTGATCAATTTGATGCTGTTTTCAAAAATTTCGTTCTCGCTGTTGTTGATGTTTCCCGTCGGTCCTGTCCCAGGACCGCTTATCGTCCGTCGGTCCTGCTTATCGTCACGTGACCTGTATCCTAGTTCTTCCGTTCCGTGGGGGTTGTTACGACGTAACGGCTGACGGCCGTCCCTATAACCGCTGAGCCCCTGCGGGGTCGTCGTCAGTGGTCTGTTAACTGTCGGGTCGTAACACAGAAGTGGGTGTGGGACGTTAGCGCAACATTAAAAGATTTGCCACAAAAACGGTCATCTCCTCGGGGATTTAATTTGAACGAGAGTATTGGCAATCAATATTTGAGTCTTTTTATTCCAGCTGATTTCATTTGCGGTTTTTGAACCCTGGGAAGCAGGGTGACGGATGATATTGCTCTTCACCTACTCCCTAGTGGTACTATCACGTGAATACAACAGGCAATGTCTTGACCTTGTTAAGACTGTGATACACGGAAGGGGAGGAGGCGTTGATTTATATTCCCTCGTAATATCTTTATACAAATACGCTCCGCGTTAACTACGTTAAGAGTAGTGTAGCTACTTAACTATCTCTAGGTAGAAGTCTATGTTAAGAGCCTTAACTACAAGAAGAGACTATAGATCGCTATTACTCACTAAAGTACCGAGTTGTAGATATATTAGTATACCTAGAGGTCGTACTATATGCCTTACTCTTACTTAATTTTATTTTACCTAGCTATCTAACTACCAGTACCTAAATAAGGATAACTAAAACGGCTAAGCCTTAGTTAAGTATCCTAGAGCCTCTAATCAGGATCCTTATTATAGTGATTTACCTTAATGACTCCGGGAATTCCGAATTCACCTTATCCTAACCCTAGCCTTACCCTGGTGATACCTAGCTTCCCCCGGAAGGTGAGCTTAAAAGTGACGAAATCACCTAACTCAACCTATTAGTTATAGGGTAATGAGCGGAGGAATCCCTGAACATAGATTCCATGAAATGGCAAACATGCTTCATCGTAAGAAAAAGGTTCAAGAACGACGAATGCTCGTATTGATAATCTATAACAAACAAACGCCAAGATAATGTACCAGCCAGCTACTCATGCGGCTTTGCTATTTTATACAAAGAAAGCTTCGAAAGAAGTAGTAAGAATGAAAAGAAAATCTTCCATCACCAAAATTTCATTCAAGCACGCTCTCAAAGAAGCTCAATTGCCAGACCAAGTGGCCCGTCAAACCCCCAGAATTTTGTCGAGCTCCTTTAAGCAGCCTCAGTGGGCTCAGCGCCGGGGGCGCCGGTAGGGAAGCCGGAGGGGCGCTCACCACCGCCGAAGCCAGGGAAGCCACCACCGAAGCCGCCGGAGGGCTGAGCGGCGCCGGGAACCTGGGTAGGACGACCAGAGGGGAAACCGGAGGGAAGGCCGGTGCCGTGGTTCTTGCCCTTGCCCTTGCCCTTGCCGCGGCCGCGGCCCTTACCGGTAGGGCGGGCGCCGGCGGAGCGGGTGCCAGTGGGAGCATCAGTCTCAGCGGCAGCAGCGCCGAACCCGTCAGCCTCGGAGTCACCGCCGCGAGTGCGGGTGTGGATACGGGTCTCGAAGCCAGAGGGGAAGTTGCCGCCACCGAAACCGGGGAAACCGCCACCAAAGCCACCGGAGGGCTGAGCAGCACCGGGAACCTGGGTAGGGCGGGCACCGCCGTGGCCGGGGAAGCCAGTGGGGAAACCGGTAGGGAAACCAGTAGGGAAGCCAGAGGGGCGCTCGCCGTTACCGAAGCCGGGGAAGCCACCACCGAAGCCGCCGGAGGGCTTAGCGGCACCAGGGACCTGAGTAGGGCGCTCGCCGGTAGGGAAACCAGTAGGGAAACCGGTAGGAACGTTGTCCTCGCCATCCTGAGCGAAAGCGCCGGCCGAGAAGGCGGCGAGGATGGTAGCAGCGATAACGTTGGCCTTCATTTTGTAGGTTGTGTTGTGGAAATGATCGTAAAGTTGGAAAAGGGTTGGTTGATTGAGTTGACAAGGAAATGGGCGAACGAATGTAACTGTGTAATCAAGAACGGAATAGAAGACTAGCTTCAATGCTTTGAATGAAAGGGATGGAAGTGATGTGGGATGAAGAGAGAGAGAAAGCCAGCTCTTGGACCGAGACAGCTTGGATCTTATATCGAGATGTTCTCACCCTCTGGCCAGTTACAGATTTGGCTCATGGCCTGTCCTAATGGCGTCAATCCAGCCCAACATTTGGAAAACAAGGTAAACCTCTGCGCCATCAGACAAGATGGATCGACAAGGGGGGTTAACCCAGCAGAGCGGGATGTGGGCGTTTAGCTCCCCCAGACCCATTCTTGGGCCCGGAGGAGTTGCCACTATTCGGTAGTTGTCTGCGGCTCAAATGAGACCTATGCACGCAGATGGCCCGACTTTGCCCTTTTCGATCAACACACAACAGTGACTAGAAGTACCTGTGTCACAATGTTGTCAATTTCCAACCAGGGGCCACAGGGGGTGACAAGGGGACTAGGATAGCTTCCGCGGCGGGATGATGGACGTTGCGTGCGTGTAGATAGCTCCGCTGCTGGTGGAGATTCCCTCGATGGAGTATTCACAATGATGGAGAGAGGGTTCTAGACCAGGGAAGCAAACCACCGATCTTCTCTAGGATCGAGCATGGGCATATCGTTTGTTGTAGTCGGATGTCCGAAGTACAGTCCATATTGTGATCAATCCCGTTGGAGGAAACAGGGATCGCTGGGTGTGTTTCATGGGAAAATCGGGTCTGCCAGCTCCACAGTTCCCTTATTTTCCGACCATGGGGTGTTTATTGTAAATGAGAGACGCCATCCTCGCCGTTTCACCTTTATATTGTTAAGGGGAGGGGAGCAACGCCATGTTCGCTTTTTCGGGTGAAGCTCGTTGGTTTTTTTTGGGTTTGGGGTGTTCCTTAGTGTTCCTCTAACCCCTGGGACAGACCATGCCTTACTTACGCGTCCATCAGATGGCATATGTCGCGCTTAAATGAGGCCAGGGGATATGCTTGTTTTTGGGGGCCACCCAACCAGCCCTAAGAGGTCACTAAACAAAGCCTGGGCGGCAACGTGAAAGTTACACTTCCACGATCCATGCCAAGGCCGGGATATCAGGAAGTCATATCCGTGACGTTGACGAATAGCTTTCGTAGCTTCAATGTCCAGCAACATCAGCCGGTGGGTGAGCCATCTCCGAAATTCGATTTCCTGCCTCTTGTTTACGGGACGGTCTTCGGATGCAATAACCATAATATTGGCCCACCACCACGGACGTCCGGCTTCGGGCGACATGCAGCGCTTAAACCCAAAATTGCATCCACGTCAGCTTATCCATCTTGATTGTCGCTTGAGAAGATTTGATTTGGCTCATTATGAGCCTGGATTTCGTAATTTTGTGTTGCATCACTGCGCACCTCGGTGAGATTCCCGTCACGGGCGAGTAGTATACTTGAAATTTCCCTACAGCAAGAAATAGATGGAAACATGGTTTTGCGTGCGAGGCATAAGACTCTAAAAAAAAATACACCTTTTTTTAGGGTTGGACATTGAGCTTTTACTTATCTATCCACACGGGATATATCTGTTGAGCCCAATTTGGAAATTATGTGATATAGCTAACTGTAGGTGTCACCATTATTGATAAAAGGGGCATGGCTTTCAAACATCAACGCCCCTGAAATGTCTTTGTCAGCGGCGTCAAGGGCTGGCCGTCCTAAACAAGCCATCCGTGCTTACTTGACACAAAGTGGTTGACGACGCCGGGTGGGGTGGCAAGCTTTTTCGAGAAAACGCCAGGGAGGGGGCCCCGGTCTATAGAGACTGTTATAGACATGGCGACTGGTTTGGGCGGTATCTGTGGATGACCCGTCTTCTTCTGATGCCGAAGGCTTTTTGAAGCATTGCATGCTCCAAACTTGATGAAATTGTTCAAACAAATGACCTTTGTGTCTTGCATTTCAGTTGAAGCTGACGAAATGCCTCCCAACGCTCGCAGACTCGACCACAATCGGAGATCAAAACGGCCCACTCAGTACGTCCAGAACACGTTTGGCGATCCACGAGTGCGTGAGCGTGGTCGGGCTATTTTATGTCAGACAATGCCCTCAAACTATTACGCCTGGGCAAGAGAAAGAAGGAAAGACAGCTTACTGATATTCATCCCAATATACCTGCCTCTCAGCATCCCTGCAAACAGTCACGTTGGAGGTTTCCCCATATACCCCAACTAAACAGCTTCCATACTTGCCCAATGGCGCGAAACCGTACTTCACAGGGGTGGCATAATACTCAAACTCGTCGAAGAGCGGTCGAAGGTCAACATTGGCAGCCATTCTACCTGGACCTGCTAACAAGTCTCCTAAAAAGTTGGTGTAGGTCGTCAGCTGTCGTTTCGAGAGATTATCGATGAAGAAGCCATATGGTAACCTGGCCAGGTCTGGCGGGGAGATTGTGAGCACTCCAGCGTTAGGGTACGCATCACGCAACTCCAACTCAGCCCTCTCTAAGAACTGAAACGACTGTGAAGCACTAATGCTCGCATTAAATAGGATGTCGTTGGCGCCAGCGAACAGTACGAAAAGAGGCGTCGCCAACGCTTTGGAGTCGGACGTCGAGAAATTTGCTCCTTGAGGCGTTGTCTTGCTCAGGAACATTACGATCTGATCTAGAACTGACGGCACTGCGATTGTGCTTTTCGGCCCTGTATATCCCTGGACGAGCGAATTGGACGTAGTAGCACCGCCTACCGCGTAGTCATATAGCGGTATGGACAGGTTGCCGGCCACATACTCGGGCCAAACGATGCCATTGGAGAAGCGTCCGTTGTAACTTTGCGTTTGGTCAGTTCAATTCCTCAACGTTGTCTGGCAGGTAGCTGGATGCTAACTATCTTTTGGAAGGCCAAGTACCTCTCGATACCCGAGCCGAGCCGTTCCCTGTATTGCCATAATCATTAACGGTTGTCCTAGATCATACTTCCACAGCCTACGTACCATTGTCGCTCATCGAGTCTCCGAATACTACAATGCTCGAGAATGAGTTAGAGCCAGCTTGGCTATTCGGCGAAATTGCAGAGGCATAACATGCAGCCACGAAGACGATGATTAGAAAATGAATGCAAGTCATCGTCTAGTGTGGTCTTTGCTCTCCGTTGGCCTTAACACAATCGGTACTTAATCCAGAGCCTAGCTAATCGCCGTCGAGTTTTCGAACATGGATCAACTTCTGGCAGCGCTTCTTGTTTTTTTTTTCTTGTCTGGAAAACAATAGGGCAACTGGAAGTCCGATTACGGTTTGCCCTTAGTCCTTGGCAAGGTGCTCTTACGGCTTTTATGTGGCGTACCGCTCAAATGCTTTGCTTGTAGCATTCCATCATCTGAAGGCCTAAACTTTCGGGCTTACCCAAATAAGGCATTATAACCCTAATTTCCAGTCCTGAGTAGTGGATCAGCTCTATTGAAAGGCTAAAACAGAAAGCCGTATTTGAATGGACAGCGACATACCTTCAAGGTCGTTGCCATCTCAATTTCTGCTACGTGTGCCAGCCAACGCCTACGCCGCAGGTGGGCCACCGGATCAAACGGCATGAGAAGTTTTACATTCCTAGAGGGGAATGTGATGATCGACAATTGCGTTGCATGCACTTATTGAGAGAGTCGTGTTTAATAACTGACATTCCTTGTCGATGGAAAACCATGTAGCCGCCGAATCATGAGATCGCTGTCACGGCACTACAGACCCGATTCTGTAGTGCCAAGTTAATGCATCATCCCGTAGCGAATTGACACTTTCCAAGAGACACTACCATTGATCCTAATTAGATCAAATCGAGCCTTGAAAAGAATGATATATAAGCATGTATGCGTATGGCGAAAACAGGGAAAAAAAAAAAAAAAAAAACATCATGTGCGTGAGCATGAAAATATCTATTCACAGTGGACAGAGTGATTCACTCTCTTGAACAAGCTGGGCGGAGCGGTCCCGTAAATAACCAACCTCCGGGCCCCGCTGACAAACCCTTGGGGAGCGGTATTCTTTCTCCATGCCGGTCCCGCAACGGGCCGGCATGCCGCTATCAGACCAGCCACACTGCCGTGCGCCACTAAAGCTTGTGATAGAATGTTCATGTTGCGTGATTAAGAAATTTAGCTTAAATCCAGTCATAAATAACGCTTTAGCTTCATTGCTTATGACGATCCGGATTTAACAAAGACATGCGACTGAGCAACCTGTCAATGTTGGGCCCTTATAGATGTCGGCTAGGACTTTCGGAGTCAGCATTTCTTTTTCATGTCAATCTTCCAACGATGGCGCTGAACCGTGCAAAAGAGCAACTAAGCTGGTATCTCAATATTGACGAACCAACGACAATGTTGGGCCATTATGGAGTCGGGTCAGTACGCTCGGTGGGCGGAAGCACACTTCTTGGCCGACCGTGGGGGTCAAGCTCGGATAACGGATTCCTTCGACCAGGGGGATTCGGTTCTCGGTACAACCGCTCGCGAGTGAGCTTATCGAACTTGTAAAGCACGCGACCTGAGGCTCTTAGATTAGAGCTGACTACAAAATACAATAGAAACGTCCTAGACAAGACACTTGTACAATTATCTGGTGATTCATCATGTCAAGCATCAAGGACCTGTCGTACGAGTCACAAAGAAATGCCCCGCCTGAGCTGGGCAAACCTGATCGCAACCCACGAATCTTACCCGGCTGCCCGGAGTTTGTTCCCCGCAGGAACAATCCAACAAAGCTCGGGAGGAGCTCAAACCCCCGCACGCCTGACGTTATGCCATCTCGAATGAACACCAGGGCGGGGCCTCATAGTTGACTTCTTTTAAATCAGGCCATTCATCGTGAGAGCGTTCGTCGTACCATTGTCGCCGTTGATATCGTTCCCTTTTAAACACCATTTAGAAACGGTGGACTTCAAGCAAAGTGAGGCGTACAGTCGTCAACATTCACCTTACACCTCTCGACCGCTTTCCTGAAGAACCTGAAACACTATGAGCGCCTTTGTCGGAGCATTTAGGCCAACAGCACGTTTGTGGTAAGCCTCCCTTCTTATTATTTGGTCGCAGCTCCTGAAAAAAACTCCTGTTGAGAGTGGTTATCATGGTATCAATTAGAGGAAGATCACTAAGTACCATCACAGCAACCGCGTCGCCATTGTAACAGGCGCGTCCCGGGGCATTGGCAAGGCGATTGCTCTACGCATCGCGCGGGACGGCTACGATGTCTGCATCAATGACATCGCCGCCAATCAAGCTGGCTCTGAGGAAGTGGCCAACGAGATTAGGGGCTTAGGTCGCAAGTCAGTCGTTGCAACCGCGGATGTGCGCAAACTCAATGAAGTTCAGGCAATGATCCAAACTGCTGTCAAAGAACTTGGACCTTTGAACACCATGTAAGATTTCGGATGGCCTTATGATGTAACGTGGCGAACTAACTCGACAACAGGATTGCCAATGCTGGTATTGCCCAAGTCAAACCTCTTCTGGAACTGACTGAAGAAGATTTTGAGAATATGTTCCGCGTCAACGTCTTTGGCGTGCAGCATTGCTACCAGTCCGCCGCAAAACAAATGATAGAACAAGGAAACTGTACACCAGAGCAGCCCGGTAAACTCATCGGCTGCTCTTCTATTGTTGGCTTCAAGCCATTTGCCCTTCTCTCCCACTACTCAGCCTCCAAGTGGGCCGTTCGCGGGTTGACACAAGCGTCGGCTATGGAGTATGCTGAGCACAACATTACTGTTAATGCATATGCACCAGGAATTGTGGGAACGGCCATGTGGGATCTCATTGATGAGAAGCTTGGTGAGAAGACGGGTGCTAAGAAGGGAGACACGATTAAGAAGTTCACCAATGACCTGATTGCTTTGAAGAGGACGAGCGTACCAGAGGATGTAGCGAAGTTTGTGAGCTTCTTGGCGAGCCCAGACAGCGACTACGTTACGGGACAGACACAGATTGTGGATGGAGGCATCAACTTCACTTGAGGTGTTCAGTACTGCATTGGAAGTTGAACTGGAAGCAGGGGCAATAGGGACCAAGGAATGTTTATTCATTGTGTGCAAGCAAATGCAATCGTAATACTATTATGGCCACTTGACATGGCAAATCAACGTCGCGTAAGGGGTAGAAATTGAAATTTCTGGTCTCGAACTATTATCTCGACGTTCGGCAATGTCACTTGTATAACCTTCGCCTAACCACAACATATAGTCCATTCTAAACACTGTACCTAAACTGCTTGTCCTCCTTATCCGTTACATCACTCTCAAGTGCCCCTGCAGCATCGAGAATGACCTCCGCTTGACCGCCCTCAGTACCCTGACTATGAGCAAAGGCCGCATCTCTCTTAGAGTTATCCCTAGAGCACAAAAATCGGTAGGCAATGATGACTATGAAGAGCAGGCACCAGGTTACAATTGCTGTAACAACACCCTTAAAGTACCGCGGCTTCTCGGTCCAAAGTTGCGGAGCTCCAATACATCCTGCACAGTATCCAATGAAGAACATGGCGTTGACAATAGCACGTTTAGTGTTGCCCTTGACATTTGAAGCAGTAAGAGATAGTAAAATCGACCACACCGCAGTGATGCAGGATGCCTAAACGAAAGATGGTAAATACGTAGACAAGATCGTCAAAGGTTGTGAACTCACCATCCAGGATGCTCCAATCATGCCCCAGCCATCTTCAGTCGACAGTTGCAATAGTAGGATATTTCCAACTAATGGTGGGATAATGAGCACAAGAGCAACCAATGTCCTGTTTTTAGGAAACAACATGCAACCGCAAACGCCCAACCACAGCATTCCTACTTGCACAGCGCCTGAAAAGCCATTAATTGCGGTTCCGTAACGAATTTACAGCTACTTACCAGAAGGAGCCGTGTACAGCATTGTCTCAAATTTGTCGTAGCCAATAGTGTTGATGACCAAGGAGGCAAACTTTCCATTCAAAATGAGTATCCTGCAGCCATGATTCTTGGGAGCACAACTCACCGTGAGCACTGGAGATTGCATGGTGACTAGTACACCAAACCAGAAGACAAACCAGGTCTTCACATCCAGGAGAGCTTCTTTTAGTTGCCTGAGCGAGAATGACGTCTTGTCACCACCTTCGCGGTCCTTGGCCATACGCATAGACAGCACTTGTTTCTGACGAGGCGACAGGAACCAAGCATCCCTCGGGCCGTTAGGCATAAAGAAGTAGAAAACAACCCCCGAAGCCGAAGTTATAGCCCCACAGACTAGGAACAGTGTCCGCCAAGGAGCCAAAGTCAGCGCGGTGTTCTTTGCAATGCCGTACATTAGCAGACAGCCACAAATCTGGGCCAAACCATTCATTGTGATCCAAAGCCTGTCACTTCATCAGCTTCTCGTAGTTTTGCCGTGGAATAGAAGAGGACAACGTACGCGGTACGGAGTGCATGCTCGTCCTTCCGATACCAGATACTGGTAATCGTAATGAAGGCTGGAGAAACAGCTCCTTCGGCAAATCCGAGGAGGAATCTCACTGCGGCGAAACCAGCGTAACTGTTTGGGGCGGCGAGGCACATGCATACGATACCCCATATCACACTGCAAAATTCAGCTATGTGTTCAATGTCCGTCAGAGGTGAAAGTACTTACACTGTAACTCCAACAAACTTTGTGAGGTGAAACCTGCTCATCAAGTAAATGAACGGGTATTCGGATACAAGTTGGCCTTCGAAGTTCTTCATCAGTGATACGCTTTCCTACTGGGATGCTCATACATACCAATGTAGAAGATGGATGTACACCAAGAGTACTGCGTGCTTGTCATCCGCAAATCGGTGATGAGGCCGAATACCTACGTCGATCAGTCGCAAAGCCCGTTTTACATAGCTAGCTGTCTTACGCTCGCATAACTTAGACTCTGCTTGTCTAAATATTGCAGGAAAAAAACGACACACATCTGGTGACCGAGAACTTGTGTAAGCCATGTTGTTCTTTATCGCTGTCATACGAGTGTACAAACCATGGGTAGAATAGTTAAGTCAATTTTACGAAGAACGGCCCTTTCTTCCTCTGCCGTAAAGGAATCGTCAAACTCAACAATCTGGCCATCTTTCTCATCGGTCTTGTTATGTCGAGTGTCTTTCTCTGGTAAGTTTGTCATCGCACCAAGTTGGGTGTCATTGGATGAAGCCATTGTAGCCTGCAGATGCCGTAGAATCGTATCTGCGTCTCAACAGGAATTCAGAGTAAAGGCCCTAGAAAACAGCACAGCGGCGGTCTTAAATGCAATGAACGTTGTATGTATCCACTTGGCTCACTAGCATATCTACAACCTGGGGTATGGTCATTTTCCCCGCACTCAACGTGCATATCGGAGTCATATTAAGCATCCCGCGATATCTATGGTGAAGTTGATAGCAGTGATATCAGGGTGGGGCCGGTCATTTTCCCGATAGATATGAGGGGGCATGTGGCAGATATCCGATGCGGCTATCGGCAATATGGCCTTGTCTTGCCCGCGCCCAGATGATAGGGTAACGGTTTACCGGTGTGGTGCACGCCACTTGATTATTTACTTGGGATGGCGTTGATCTTCTAAACGAAGCCAATCAGACAAATAATCGCATGTCAAGAAGCATTGGGCAAACGTTTGCATAGCCGAAGTTGTAAATGTGTTGGGCGCCCTAAAAACTTAACTTGAGCTTCCCCTCACCTCGTTCCCTTTCTTTACTCAACGCACATCAGTCAAGTACGAATTGTAACGACATTCACAGCAGCTCAAGATGGTAACCGAAGCAGACCTCAAGCCATGGTTGCGGGCACCACCACAGAAATACATTCTTATCAATGCCACCGTCGTCGATGTAACGAATGGTTCACTGCGGACGAGCTCCGCGGTGAAACTGAAAGATGGCTACATCGATGCAATTATTGATTCCGAAAACTCTGCTATTGCAGCAGCTCAACAACAAGGCTTTGAAGCAATTGATTGCAGCGGCAAGTTTATCTGCCCAGGTCTCATCGACTCGCATGTGCATATAATGGCCGTACCGGGATTCGGCGACCTCTCGAAAGCCTTCGGCAACCCAAATGACGTATCGCTACTTCGTCAGCCATATGTGTGTGCCCAGATGCTTCACAGGGGTTTCACAAGCGTGCGAGACTGCGGAGGCGCCCTTCTCGCTCTCAAGGAGGCCATCAACGATGGTGTTTTCCCTGGGCCCCGTCTTTTCATTTCAGGACATGCACTCTCACAAGCCGGCGGACACGCGGATTTCCGCGGACCTCATGACCACACTGCATGTTGCGGAGGATCAACGACAGGACTTGGCCGAGTTTGCAATGGTGTGCCGGAATGCATGACTGCTGTCCGAGAGGAGATCCGCACCGGTGCAGATTTTATCAAGATCATGGGCTCTGGTGGTGTCTCTAGTCCTACGGACAAGATTGATCATCTTCAGTTTACTGCTGCTGAAATCCAGGCCATGGTTGAATGTGCTTCCAACGCGGGAACGTACGTGACTGCACATGCGTATACCCCCAAGGCTATCAGACACTGTGTTGAGAACGGAGTTCGGGGAATCGAGCACGGCAACTTCATCGACCCACCTACGGCGAAGCTTCTTGCAGACAAGGGAGTTTATCTCACCCCAACTTTGATTACATACGCCGAGATGGCGTCGCCAAAGTGGAAGGGATATCTCCCACCAGAGTCAAAGTCTAAGAATGAGGAGGTCCTCACTGCTGGTTTGAATGCTCTCAAGACAGCGCACGATGCCGGTGTGACAATCTGCTACGGCACAGATCTTCTGGGCCCTCTTGGTGCTGCACAATCGTTCGAGTTTTCTTTGCGATCGAAAGCTTTGCCAGCATTGGCAGTTTTGCAGAGCGCTACGATCAACCCTGCGAGAATGGTTGGCAAACAGGATTCGCTTGGTCAAATCAAGGCGGGCTTCGAGGCGGATATTGTCATTACAAATATTAACCCTCTTGAAAACGTGGCAATCTTTGACGACCCTGAGTCGCATGTGTGCGGAGTTATTAAGGAGGGAAGAGTTTACAAGAGCAGATGGAGCGGACTCGCCGAAGATGGAACGGTGGGCATCAAGATAAAGCCTGCTCTTTGACGTCCATGTATTTGTTATCTATGAACCCGAGGTTTTGTCGACTGGCGTTTTGCAATTTTTGAAGTGATATTTCTGTGCTCTGGACTCTGTTTATGTGTGGACTGGAGGCCTTTCAGCACGTCAAGCAGAACTGCATTGTACCACCCTTAAGTAGGCCGGTAATAAGTCGAATCAGCAGGGAGACCAGTATTCATTTCATCAGTATTTTGGTTACCATACAGCTTATCATATTAATATTGCTATTCTCAATCTGTTGTAAAGTCGAGAACATCCATTCCTGTCAATCCCATCAAGTACATCTGATCATCCGAGAATGAGTTCAGCCAACTTTCATCAACAGAGGACATGGGTAGAAAGTCGTGGCAATCAGCCAGTGAAGATAGTTCCCCGGGTCGCGGCTCAAAAACCGATGTTGATGGTTCCGGGAGTTGTAAATCCGCGCCTTCTTCCCAAAGAGAGGAACCCGTAACATTTGCCTCAACTGCATGGACCTGGCCAACAGGTGGCGGCTCTTCTGATCTTTCTGACAAGGAGTCATCTTCCACAAAACTCTCAGCACCCCCTGTCGCCGCTATCCACTCTGCCCATTGCCCGTAACCCCTCGGTGTCGTCGTGGGAATCGGAGGTATTTGGCCCTCTCTACCTGACTGGACGTCTAGATACTTCGCCCTTGCTTCGTTTGTAATGCTCTGCAGTGCCTCCACGAATCGTACCCCCATACTAGCAGTCGAATTACCACCTCCAGCCATTCTGCGTAGACAGTCCAATCCAAAGGCAACTCTACCCTCATATCCCGAGTCTCGTTCTAGGATGCCAGAAAGAAGCACAATAATGGTTGCAATGCTACAACCTTGAAGATCTGTGAACGAGAATCGCGCCATATTACCGCTTTGGCTCAACCCCTCAAACAGCGCCAGCATTTTCTTGGCTGCCTTGATGCAGGCTTCAGCCGCTTTCTCGACGTCTGTACTGATTTGGGGTGCCTCTTCGTCTGGACAAAAGACAGTACGAAGGCGCGCACGAACGAGCGTCACGACGGAGACTTTTCCCATGTCGATCCAGGCAAAGTGGTAGTTTAGGTGTAAATGAAATACAGCTCGGTAGCTGGGAGATTTCGGATCAGTATTCTGGAGCTTCAAAGATTCGGGCAAAGATCGTTTCCAATCCTTGAGTTCTTTTTCAAGCCTCATCAACTCCGATTGGCTGCACCAGCATTAGAACCAAGGTAAAATTCCAGGGCAACTTTGAACTTACGCCGGCTCTGAAAGTCTGTCAAGAATTTGCACAAGCTGGGCATTTGCCACTTGGTGCTGTACATTATCAAACTTCTGTGACGAATCTCGCGGTAGGGGACGAGGTAGACGAGCGGTAATTATGTCTTGGTTTATGGATCTAGGACGGTTAAGCTTTATTGTCACTGTTCTTTGACGAGTTAGTAAATCAAATATGGCCTGTGTGTCTTGAAAAGACGTATTACCGCTCAAGAGAATAGATCGACCACCAAAGCCGTCGTCTCATCTCCTTCTCATCTTCACTTTGAGAGGGTTCATCAGGTTCTAAATGAAGGCCGATAGCAAGGGCTTTTCGCAGAGCAAGGCCCATATATACATAAGACGCGCTGATTGCACTTGTCGGCATCAGATAGACACCAAGAACGAATGCAGCCTGGACAGATCGCAAACATGGCCGATCAATCAAGTCTGCCATCAGGATTCGCGCTTGATTGTAGAAGCCCCGGCCAGGATCAAGGTCCTCAGGCACACTATTACTGTTCGTACTCTTAGGCTTCGCTAGACATGTCCAGTGACTTCCCAGGGCGAAAACTGCAAGCGCAAGACAGACGAACCCAGTGTCGGTTCGAAGTCGTGAGGTTTGGTTGTTATAGAAAAGTTCCAGCTCAGAAGTGAACTGGGCTTGGTCAAAGTAGAAGAATACGTCAGTCCCGTATGTTATGCAAACGGAAAGGAGAAAATCGGCAACTGGTCGAGGTGGAAATCTCTTCACGGCTTTCTTGACTCGACGCATCTCAGCGGGTTCCATTGTGGGTGTGCGTGACAAACGAGCTTGTGCCTTCGCCATGTCACGTTCCTCGGGTGCAGGTTGCGAGTCGAGGCAAAACGCATCACGGAGTCGAGACAGAAACCTAGGCCACATGAAAGCTTCTGTTGGGCTTCCGCCTGCGGGAGAAAAGTCACCGTTGATGCTCTGGCCCAGTGACATATTTTGGGGGTAGAGCTTTTTGTCAGCATTTGGAGGAACTTGAGGGCCTTGGTCGAGGCATTTTGCTGAGTTCGTTGCTGTCGTTGCAGTGCTGTTATCTACTTTCTCGACCGAGGGACTCTTCTCCCGCTCGAATCGGCATGGATGAGCTCCTTCCAGACACCTCTGACATGCTCCAGATGCAGTCTCAATGCATCGGTTCTTTCGGACCTTGCAGCGGTCGCAGGCGCGGGGGGCACGTTTGCGGTCTGTGTCAGCAACCCTACGGCGTCGGCGCCGTCGGAGTGCCGCAGTGGACTCCATTCCCAAGCAGTTGGGCCAGGTAAGTATGCCAGGGGTGTAACTTTGGGCGAGAATGTTAAGCAAGTCCAGTTCAGACCATCGAATGTCAAGGGCAATGTTGTTGTTTCTCCGCACTTTGAACACTGAGATAAGGATTGGGGATCCGCAGACCAGGGTGGCAGGGATTGAGCGTATATGTTCGACCAGTAATCTTCTATCAACTGCGCTATCTAAAATTGCTGTACTTCTGCTCTATATAATTATGGTTCAACAAAAAAACATATAAAAGTTGCCATGCTCGGTCGTTAGTCGATGCTGGCGTTGGTCCCTGAAATGCGGGTGTTAAAATCTAAATACCAACATGCGAAATGATTGCGAAATGATGGGCGGATGATCCCTTTTAACGCAATAAAATCCTCGATCAAGGGCTAGAAGACCTCCTCTTTGTAAGCTCTTGCTCTTCAGTTGACTCTTTCAAGGGTACTCTCCCCTTTCTCCTAGCCAACGCGCTCTTGACTGACCCAAAAAGGCCCGGCATTTCGGAGCCAGGCCCGTTGAACACCGCGCCGGGGTGAACCACATTGAACACGGCAATCGCCAGCAGCATTGGCACTGCTTCGAGAGCGTAGAAATAGGCCTCATGAGTAATCAGTTGATTATTCATCCCGTGTCCTGACGAAAACTCGATTAATCGGTAAATGATTCGAACCGTGATCATGCCTAGCGAAAAGTAAAGCGCCCACATGAGCGGCTTCCATGCTTGAGATTGCTTTCCCGCAAGGCTTCCGATTCGATTCATATCGCGCTGGAAGGTGAAAGCAAGAGCAACAAAGATGAGGATGAAGAACTCCTGGAGGCCGATGCCGCCCATGTAGATGTGAATCGCACGCATCTGCTCCTCGGGAGGAGTGGTAGGGCCGGCCATGCTTCCTCCAACAAGCTGGATAATGAAGGAGATGACATCGAGACCAACAAAAATCGCGGCAAACGTAGAGGCAGGAATGCGGAGGAGGCTGCGGGACGGATGGAAAAAGTAGATCATTCGACCGAGGGTCATGTATGCAAAGGCGTTGACCCCTTTTGTTTGTCAGTGTGTGAAGGAACAATGGCAACGAACAAGAAAGACTTGAGGTTGTGGGACTTACACAGTGGCGCAAGCAAGATGAAGATTTGGAAAACGAGATAAACGCCGCTACTTTGTTGGAACTTGGTGCTGATGGCCCGGAAGCTGAAGGCGAGCGTTTCCCAAATAGTCGCCATGATGATAACCCAACACCATTTCTGTCGTTATGTTAGATATGTTTCTTTTGTTTTCTTGTTTGTCAGGCATGAAAAGTGACATACGGACCTTCCTATGTGCGGCTGCCTGCCAGATATGTACGCCGGTCAAGACGCCAAACAAAACGGCAAAGATGATGGCCGCGGTAAAGCTGGGATAGTAATTCCATAAGGCGCCGCATTCTCCAGGTGGAACATAACCGTTGGCATCCGGCTCAACAGTTTGAACACAGGTAGGAATGGCGATGTCTATTGTCTTTGCTGGGATTGTGACGTGACTGTTTGTCACACCGGGTATGGTAATAAATTTTGTTTCAATGAAGTCTCCCGTGGGAAGTGATGTTGCTGGCGTAGTTACTGAAGCTTGACGGTTATGTATAAGTTGGTTGATGGTGGGCGTGGGGCCTGATGGTAGGGCTACAACGGAGGTGGCCAAGGCCAGGATGATCCAAGAGAGAGTCATAATGATGGAGCTAAGGATGAAATTTCAGAAAGAACTGGTAGTGATTGTATCTATCCATGTGCTCAAGAAACGAAGCCAAGTCATTGATATTTAAATGAAGTTCATGACGCCCGTGGTAAATGGTTATCAAGAATGGCTAATACTGCACAGCCACTGAGCTCGCGTTCTTTACATAAAATAGCGAGCCGACCAATCACAATCTAGGAAAATAGTCTAACAGACATAATCGCTCGCTTGCGGGAAGGATTCAAGGGGTGCGCGTCAACACACCCTAAAAAAGAGTTACGCAAGGTCTGGAGGCACAAACAGTAGCGTCAAAAGACAATAGCGGCTGAAAGTAAAATTAGGTCTTGCGCCTCATCTGGACTGAAAACCAGTCGTCCTTGACCGTGATTGGGCCCCCAGGTTCCCTCATCAGGAGGGAGATTTGCCTCCAGATCGTGACACTGCCATCTTTCCCTACTTCAAACCTCGTCTTGTCCTGCATAGCCGAGTCTTTGATGCGTTTTCCCTCTTCAGGAAGCGTTCCGTCGTCAAATACATCGTCTAAACTGCCACCTGGCGTCAATTGCAAGTCGTGCTCGAGTTCGATCATCCGGCGTCCAAATGAAAGTACGGAACTGTTGTCCCATAGCGTTTCCCGCTCATGTGACAGCGTTTGTACGAGCTGTAGCGCGTCGAGTCGTAGTCTAAGGCATCGGCATTTGATGATGACAAAGCCCAGCAGTGGGCCAAACCCCATATCAAATGTGAACTTGGCGCGTGGCTGGTTTTGCTTCGAGGATTTCAGTAAGTTGTCGGCTTCATACGAAAGATCGATTATCCTTTGAAATTTATCCAGTTGCAGATCGAATATGGCTTCTCCGCGTGACAGACAAGTTTCGATCCAGATCTTTCCAACAAGCCATTTCACCTCCAACAGTTTTTCAACCATTGATTCATTTGCGGCGACGGTTTCCTTACTGCTCTTCGTCTTGTATTTCAATAAGTTGCGAAGCGCGGCGTGCCAGCTATCTAGTTCTGCGTATATATCTTGTCGTTGACTCAAGGTTGTTTTGCTTGGCTTTGGGCTTGGATCGTCTCCGAGGCGGTACTCGTCAGCTGAACGCACGAATCGAATCGTCTTAACGAGGAGCGGGTCAAGTGCGGCTTGAGCTTCGGCTAGATTTCTAAACGGGGCCTTCGGAACGCTCGCTACGGCTTCCAAGACAGGGAACGTCTCTGGCCTTACACCAAAGAAGAAGGGGAAAATTCCAAGACGGCAGAAGGCCGGCTCCAAGAAATCTCGAATCAACCTTGACTTGGAGCTGGATCCGTTCAAAATGTTGATGCCATGCCGGCAGTGGTTGATGGCTCCTTTGCATTCGCCACGTAGCATATCGATGCAAGTAAACAGAAGACAGACGAGCAGAACGGTCTCAAGATTATCGGTCGTTCTGAGATACTTGATGGCTTCGTTGTAGTTGGAGACGGCAAACGTATTCTTCTCGCCGCTGATTCGATCCAGAGGGTTTTCCTTGAATTTCTCGTAAAGCGAGCTGATGGCGAGGACGGCATGCCTTGCAGCTTTTTCTTGATGGGAAACTTGAGTTACCAAGTGCGTCCAAAAGTAGTTGTCCAGTGGGCCAGCAAGCACTGGTGCAACTGCACTCCTGAAGAAGCTCAAAGCGCGTAGCTCCGGCTCGGACGCGGCTTGGGTAAGGGGAGGACGAATCCGGAGCAGCTGGGCCCATGAATATGTGCCAGCTGGCGGCGCCACATAGCCATCACACTTCCTGCCAGTACTGACACATCGATTGCAGGCTGGACGCGCCTCATCGCATTTGACTCTGCGGATCCTGATATTTGATGAGGACCAAGCCACAAAACGTGTACACATGCAGACAGCGGGTTTCTTACTTGCAGGTGATGCAGCCGGTCTTCACTTTGGTCATACCATGTCGAGGCATTGCGACCGACTGGGTAAGTTGGCCTTGAGAAAGGTTATGCAGTTTGAGGCGATGGTCAAGATACTTGCGACCTAAAGAGACCAGACACTCCCGTCTTAGTCAAGATCCGAGGCAACCTATGGATGGGCAATTATTTGACAGCAAGTTTTCCAGCTCCAGGAAATGAGCCTCCTAATTATGTGAAGAATGTCACGGTGGACAGAAGGGCAAGTCGTTTTCAACCCCAGGTAAGAAACATTTGGGCCGGGGTCTTTTTGATAGAGTCCGTTTCAGATGATTAGACCATGGGGAGACGCACAGTTCATTCGCTAGAAGACAAAGCTCCGAATCCCTTACACGAGCATCCCACTAACTGGCGGGGCATTTGCGAGCGGACCAATCGGCTCACATGGACAAAGAGACCAATTGGGTGTAGTCTGCTTACTATGGATTTAGTGCACAGCAGGCTCTGGAATCTAGCCAGGGGATGTGGCAGTGCATTTACCACACCTCAGCCACATGTTCTGAGCATTAAAATACGCTTATGCAACTAGCACTGTGAATAACTCATCACACACCTAACCCTGTAGAACCCCTCAGCACTTTAGCGTGCATAAGCTGTGTACACCTGAATATCCTAAGCACCTAACCTACTAAGTTACAGAGGGTTTGGGGGCTTTAACAGCGATCATATGCAGAGCATATGACAAATTGTCGTGTGGAAATGGATGTAATCACACTGAGTAATGCATAAAGTCTCTCGATGTTTTGCCACACCCCTTGGTTAGATTTTAAACCACTCGACGTTTCGTACCTAAGAATGTCACTCTTTTACTGTGGATGATTTTGGCTTCAGTGTCACGTCATCTCAACTATCTCGAAACCTCCATCTATTCTGTCACTCTCGAAGCTAAAACTACTTACTTACGTAGAATGACAGCCTTCAACACCAAACAAACAGGGACATATGGTGTCCTGTTAGACAGTCACCTTTACCTCGAATCTTGTCGTACTCTGGCAGTTCTGGCTAGTCTTCTTGCTAGAGCGTGTTCTTGAGATTACGAACAACCACATCAACTACAGCGGAAAGTATGGGATGTACTGAATGTTTCGATCTGTATTCTGCGTCCACAAGTATAAATTTCTCCTCTTTACACTACTTTCTTAGGGCCCGCAGCCTGCTAGCATACTATGTTGAGTGATGTTGGGCAACTGTAAGGTTTCTCCCCTGAATGTCACCTTTGGCCAGCAACCATCTGCAGAATCCCCAAACCTGGGCAGAAGCCCTGTTTCTTCTCTCATACTGGAATGATGTTTACGGAGAACACGCGGCCGGAGTTCGCTCTGCGGGGGTTCGGAAAGACTGATGCACAAGGGCCAACGGCGGCTCAGAGACTCTGCTCCAACCCCGGCAGCAACTCTCATCCGACCTCTGAGTCTGTGCACCACACTTTCTGACACTCAAAGGGGTTATCAAATCGCCATTTCTCTGCGTCGTACATGTACCGGCATGCCATCCTTGACGTGTGGTGTTCCATGCTCCGTCTGGTAGCACCGATGACCCTCAACAAGGACCTTTGGCCCTGTTTGCTTTCTGGAAACAAAAGTTTGTTAGCATTTTCTTGATTTTGGGCTTGCGTCAACTCACTTCAAAGCATCCCACTTATCCCAGGCGCAATCGATGTCGAACTCCCTTGCTAGGAACACCACCACCAGCTTCATTTCTGTCATGGCAAGCTCCTGTCCGATACAAATGCGTGGCCCACTTCCAAACCTTCTCCAAGCATTCTTCGGCGGGTAAAGCGGATCTTCCGTGTCCGTGGTCAACCACCGTTCAGGAATAGCCTCTTTGGCGCGGTGCCACAGTTCATCTGCTCGGGAGAGAGATCGAGAAGAATCGAAGAGCATGCAGTTATCCGTCGGGTATTTAACTCCGGTCTCTCGATCTACGATCTGATAGTGCGATGCCCCTTGTCGTAGTGCACCCACTGCGGGATACAGGCGTAGCGCTTCCTTAATGATGCCAGCAGTGTAAGGGAGAGAGTTCAGCAGGTGCGGGGACTCTGTCAACCTCGCACTCAATTCCGTTATGTCTTTTCCCAGCACTTCATCATGCTCGGCCCGTACCTTTGCAGCGATTTCAGGGTTCTTGCCTATGATATGCAACACCCAGCAAAGTGTTGTGGCTGTCGTATCATGGCCTGCAAACATGAAGAGCTTGAGCTGGCTCATAACAGTTGAGATGAAGAGCGAATCGATAGAGGGTGGCTCTTCGTATGCGGTATCCTTGATCGGCTTTATCGCCTGATCAACAATGGTCTTCAACTTATCGTCCCCCTTAATCTCCAAACGCTCCGTGACAGGAAGGTAGAGCTCCTTTCTCATGCTGGACCTATTCCTAGCGACCCTCCACATGCGTACAGGACTGTACCATTTGAGTGTGTCGATTATGTTGAAGTTGAACATGCACCAACCCATCTGGTCCATGAACGCTGCTTTCAGTTTGCTGGGGCCGTTCGTTTGCTCATGCAACTCCATGCCGAGAGTTGACCGCCCGATGATGTCAAGCGTAAGGTTCGTTGTCAGTTCTTGGAGGACGAAGACCGGGCCCCAATCGCCACCAGTCCCCGCGTGCTGTCGCACGATGCTGGCAAACGTCGCCACGTCGTAGATCATACCGGGGATGAGAGTAGTGACGTTCTTGATACTGAAAGCCGGGTTGAAGCGAGCTCGCCATTCCTTCCATGGTTCGCCTTCCATGCTGACCATGTCCAAGTTCTCTGTAATCGGTTCTATGAAGTCGAGGACATTATGACTCCGACTGACACTGGAATTGGATAAACATTCCGCCCCGGTCTCAGGGTCGAAGATGTAGATCACGGGTGGCGCTATCGGCCACGAGTCGATGTAGATGACTGGAGGACAGGATTTGCGGTCAGGAAAGAATGTCTTCCAGTTTTCACATATGAGTTGTGGGACATAGTTTGAGTGAATGTCTCTGGGTAGACCCTTAGTGAGCTTTGCGAGGGTAGGGATATGGCCAAATAGCAGTGAGTGAGGGAGCATGGGCTACATGGCGGTGAGCATCAGTATTCCAGCGTTAGAGTACCACTGTTTACTTACAACTCCTTTTTTCTTCAACCGCCGAAATTTTAAACGCACTTGGATCAGTTGCGTCAAGCTTATGGCAACGCCAAGCAACAAAAAGAGCACGCAGACGCGCAATACATCGCGGGTAAGCCCTCTGGGCGCCTCATTTGTCGAAAGAGCCATCTTCTGAAGTATGGGGGGTCAACAGCAGATTTTCTACAGCAGCTCAGCTCCGAAGCTGATGCAGAGCACCAGACCTCTTTATTCTCTGACCGGCCAAGAGTTACAAGAAAGTATGAGGGAATCCGGAGAGATCTTCATTGGCTTCGCCATGTATAGCCCCCACAACGCCACTAGCACATCAGCAAGCCAATACGCCAATAGACTGATTGTCTAAGACAAACTGGCCATGTTGGGGGTGGCATCTGCGGCGTGATGGGTATCAAGTGCACTGTTTTGGGAGACATGCATGTGGCCTATGCCGAGAGTCAACCGCCGCTGTGATGTGCGGATGCAGATCGGGAACATGCGTGTGCGACTGCATTGACCGGGGAGAAAAGCATATCGTAAGAAAAACAAGGGCAGTTCTAGATAAGACGCAGCCGAGCGAATCGTACATTTCCTATAGTATATCGCGGCTGTCATTCGCTTCTCATTGGAAGACTGGGTCGATGGGGTCAAGCTGAACCGAGTTCGTCAGCACGGGGTAATGTTTGTCTACCAATGGAACCCACCACAATGTGATCGATAGCCGCTTTCAAGAGTTGAGAAGAATCCCTTGCATGCTGCCGATTCATTTCACCATTGAAGGCTCGTATTCACCTTCTTGCAGTATCGGTCTGGAGGGCTGATACAACAAGCCGTTTTTCTTTGATGAATAATCAGCTTCTTCATCTTCATGAAGTATTTCAGACCAGCCTTCACGTGGTTTCGAAACCCATTTTAGAGAGTGTTGGGCACCTGCCTATTTTGGTTATTTTACATACCTAACGAAGCAAACTTCTGATGTTGCAAAACTGCTCCCTGTGTCGCCGAAATGAGTCATCCGGTGAAGTTGGCAATGAGGAGTGGCTTATACCACCGTTAATGGAACTGAAATATAACAATGTTTAAATATGTTCGGTGGGTTAGCTTCTGTGAGCAGCAAGATATTCGACTACGTGAACATATCACTGCCCAAGTCTACCAGTAGTGTCCCGTTTAATTTTCGAGACTCTAGAAGCTGACGATAAGCCAAGACTCGTCAACAATTCATCAACACTTCACACCACCATTTTTTTCATCCAAAAGCCAAAAATGTCCGAGATAGATCCCTCTCGCCCGGATATTACCGCATTCATGGCTCGCGCTTCAGCAGACCTTGGCACTTCCCTTCCGCCAGCAAAGGATGTTTCTACATTTGGTGACAACCCAGCCCTCGCCGATGAGCTCCTCGAGATTGTACTGCAAGGGAACAAGACCTCGACTACTAACTGGCCCATCCCTGACCCTCTTCATTGGGCCGTAGGGGATTTATCGGTCATCCTGGATGGTAAAGGGCAACCAAGGGCAATCATCCGGACGACCTCGTTTGTGAGGTGCAAGTTTAAAGATGTGGAAGAAGACTTTGCCTTGGCGGAAGGCGAAGGTGATTATGATGAATGGAGACAGGAGCATATTAAGTTTTTCAAAAGACAGGATGCGGAGTCGTTCAATGAGGAGGTAGAGGTGCTCTGCGAGAGGTTTGAGGTTGTATATCCTGTGCTATGTCAGAATGCCATTTAAGTATTCTGCCTAATTTTAATACAAGGCTTTCGTCAAGTAACGAGGTAAAGCTAAATGTACATAATGTTTGTACCCTCAAAAAAGCATCATGAATGTTCAAGCAGACATTTTCGGGCCAGGACAACCAAAAACAAAAGGATTGGGCCCTAACCAGGGATCGAACCTGGGACCTCTCCCAGAAAGAGGTATCAGAAGATAACCCTAAGGGAGAATCATACCGCTAGACCATCAGGGCTGATTGCTTGTTGTTGCAAATTTAGGATCGTAATCATTACTTCAAGCGTCATTTTGCAAATGTGGGAGGAAAATAGGGCTTTGGTGCGGAAGTGGGGCCACTCGGAACTTCAGCCAGCAACCCCCGGTTTTTACCCCTGTCTCCTAGTTCGGGGATATCAAGTGTAACGGTCTTTCAGCTACCCGTCACTTACTCCAGTTGTCCAGGTGGAGGTGCGCGTTAGATAAGTTACTCCTCATTCAAGAGGTTTTGGTTCAGACGCGGTGGGATCGCTGTGTCTGCTCCATTGCCTCTCTACTTTGAGATTCCTTGCATAACATGATTTCACCACTGTTACTTTGCAGCTACTGCAGCAAGATACCCCTCAGTCATTGCGACCTCAAGTCTGCTATCAGCTCACCCGGTGGAACCCCTTTCTTCCTACTTGGTCCATGGTCACGCATCAGTACCAGCTCATGTCCTCTGTGTGAAGTTGTGACTCGCGCCATCTTCGAAGCGCACAGGTTGTCGCCCGGCAGTGTAGCGCAAGGGGACGACGAGACGTTTGCTTTATGTTGGAACAATCAGTTGGGGCCTGGTCAACGGGGCGCTTTCAGTATCAACGACTCTACGAACACAGCCAGTGGCCAGTACGTCTGCTTCGTAAGCGATTCTTCTGATGGGCTGGAAGTTGCAAATGACGCATATTTTCTTATGCCAGCAGTTGGACCCAAGCTACAAATGTCGAGAGTCTCCAAATGGATTGACGCTTGCACGACAACACATCCCATCACCAAATGCAAAGCCCAGAATTATCAAGGATTTACATCGATATTTCCTAAATTGCAGGTTCTTCGGCTCGTCGACATTGACAATGGCAACTTGGTTGAGGTCTCAGACATTCGTCCCTACAAATATGTAGCGCTTAGTTATGTCTGGGGCGGAGTATCTAGCTTTAGGCTCACAAAGTCAACTTTAAGCCGACTTCTTCTCCCGAACTCAATCTCTCAAATACGGAATAGACTGCCGCTCACTATTCTAGATACCATCACGCTTGTGAAGCTTCTTGGCCTTCGTTACCTATGGGTTGATTTGCTTTGCCTTATCCAGGACGACCCGGATGATTTGAGTAGAGGAACTGCGGTGATGGACAACGTTTATGAGCGTTCATGGCTCACTGTCATCGCCGCTTGTGGTCATGATGCGAACTCGGGCCTACCAGCAGTGACGGGAACTCGAGCTCCGCAGCAGACCTTCCGAATTACCCCAACAGTGCGTTTTGGGTTGTATACGCCACTTGACTGGGCACTCGCTGCGACTGTTTACCAAACCAGAGGATGGACGTAAGGGCGTTCCTTCAAAAGACTACAATGATCACTGTACTAAACCCAGTGTCAGGTTCCAGGAACAAGCGCTATGTCAGCGGGCACTTTACTTTGTTGACAATAAAGTCTACTTTCGTTGCGGAAGTGAAGAGTTTTGCGAGCTATGTTTGGACCAACCCCGACTGGCGAAGAGGCGTGAGTGGGAGGAGCCATGGTCGCCGCCACAAGCTTTCCGACTTCGTAATCCAGTCCGCGACTGGGAAGATATTGTAAGCCGTTATTCAGATCGATTACTTACGGACCAGGGCGATGTGCTTCGGGCCATTGAAGGGATCATGAGGCGTGCTTCTGAGAAGTCAAACATAAGGTTCATGCAGGGGATTCCCATCCAGGCTCTCGACTTCTTTCTGCTGTTTGATGCTGCGTTTACTACCGTGTCGTCAAGAAGACGTCGCAACGGGTTTCCCAGTTGGTCATGGGTTGGTTGGGTGGGGAAAAGCCGCATCCGCCCTGGCCAGGGTCATCTCATTCATCAACTGCATCATTGGCTGAGGCAAAAATGCTGGATATTATGGTATGAAAGATCCACAAACGGCCACTTGAGGATATTGTCCGACCCTGTTCGCAATTCCCCAAGTGGGCATATCTACAAAGAAAGATTCAAAGCTCAGCTTCCATCCGGCTCCGGCGGGTTGCACACGATGCCGTCTCATGGCCAGTCACACCTTGCGCAAACACCGAGTTATTCTACTTTACAGTTTTGGACGTTGGCGATTTTCTTGGAGTTTTCTAGGAACGACTCGTGGTCTGAAGGCTACTTGAGAGGAGTCGACGGCCAGGTATGTGGTGAGTTAACTGTGGATAGCATTGAAGAAACACCGAGCTTCGATTCTTCAGGCCCATTTGAGATACTACTCCTGTCAGAAGCGGCGTCTGTACCACATCCGAAAACGAGGGAATCAGGCTACGATTACAATGTGATACTGGTCGAATGGGACGGCGATTTTGCAGAAAGGCGAGCTGTTGGGCACATTCGAGAATGGGCTGTGACTAAGAGCTTCTCTCCTGGTCCGGTTTGGAAGGAGTATATCCTCAAGTAGGTTATGGAGCAAACTAAAACTCATTTGTTGCTCTTGAACAGTTATCAAAACATGGCTCTGAATTATCACTAGAAGTAAAGTCGAGCTCTATGGTTACATTAGTAAAGTGCGGCGCACGCTGCTAACATTTATACATTTTTGACTCCAAGAATCAACTACCGCCTGTAGTACATGCATTGTTTTCGTTTCGAACGCCATTGTTCAATAAAAAGGCAACCGATTATTTTTCTTATTCTCATCGGCGATTCATTGCATCCACCATAATAAAGAAAACCTCACAAGTCTTTCCTTGCGTGCTTGCTGTGGTTCTTCCGCAGCTTCGGCCCAATCTGAGGATAATTAGCAAGCAATCAAAATCAATTTTTCACAATGGACAACTGACCTTGTAGAGAACAAAAGGGATAGGAATGAACACAATGGCAAGGAATCCGAGAAGCGAACTGGCCCAACCAACGCCCAAGTTGTTATACATGGCAGTAGCAAACAAAGGGAACCCGGCACCGAATGAGCTACGAAACAAATCGTTGCCAGCCAAGACGGATGCCGCGTATTCTGGGTAGGCATCTGGAAGATAGTTCAAGACCGAATTGAACAGTAGAAAAGATCCGATGCTGAACCATCCAGAACCAACGATGGGCATTATCCAATGAATGCTGGGCCTAGAGGACCAACCAAACCAGAAAAGGCAGATGGGGACTGCAAAGGCACCCACGAAAGCCGGCGGAAGGCGTTTCTCTGGCTGCAAATCCCCATTCTCATCGAATTGGGGCTCGAGATATCTATGCAAGTACCAGAAGAAAGGCGGTATGACAATCAGGGCTCCAATCAGAATGCCTAGGAAAGCCAAGCCTTCCAGACCGAGATTGAAGCCGTAGATCTCGCCAAAAACGATGGGGAATGACTCGAACCAGATGTAAAGCAATCCGTAAATAAGAGCAATGTACAGGTTGAGAAGAAAGACCATTGGTTCTGTGAAGTTCAGAGTGAAGGGTCGAACCAACGACATCGTGACGAGATCTTTGCTTGACATCGACTGCGCTTTGAGCTCGGGCTCGCACATGAGCTTTTCATTCCCAGTAATCTTTCGGAGACGACGTGTGCGGCGGTAAAGAATGTTGCTGGCACTTGTCTCGGGCAGGAAGAAGAACAGCAGGACCAGTGCAAAGCCGCTGAGCCACATCAGTTCCCAGATCGTCCAGGTCCATCCCTTGGACATGACTGCAAAGCCACCGACCAAGGGTCCCATGGTAGGGCCACAAACTGCCGCGATTCCTGTGATGTTTTTGTCAGTTGCGGCTGTTCTGGACAACATCTTTTACAAAGCCAGCCGAGACATACCCCATACGCCGAGCGCATAGGCGCGCTTTTTCGGTGACCATATGTCGGCCAAGGTAGCACCTCCCGTTGCCAAGACGGGAGAGCCCACAAAGCCAGTAATGAATCTGAATGCGAGCAGCATTCCAAAGTTGACCGACAGGGCAGTTGGTACTTGAAGAACGACGAAGAGGAATAGAGTTCCGATGTAGATGGGGTTACGACCAATCTGAGGAACCTCTGAGAGAGGACTCCAAAGCATCTGGCAAGGCGGTCAGAAATATGAGCTGCGTATGACTCTCAGGAGCACTTACCGGACCCAGACCGTATCCAGCAACGAATAGTGTGAGGCCAAGAACGGCTGCAACCTGGCTGACTCCAAAAACTTGCATAACGTCCATTAGACCAGCAGTGTAGATGGCCGAGCCGATGTAGACACCGATGGTCAGAAGACATATTTGGGATGTAATGAATACCTTCTTGAACAGCGACCAGTTTTGGGGGTTCTTTGTTGTTGTTAGATTCACTTCATCTTCTCTTTTCATTGAATTTCTGACATACCTCCGGGTCGTTGGGGAGGAAATCGACCAGGTGAACATTCTTTCCCTTCTCAGGATCAACCGTGGTACTTGTTAAATCATTGTACTCTCGGTTTTGTTCAGGAACCCTTGTCCTTGATGTATCTTGAGAGTTGTTCCCCCTATTTTCCGGGTTGTCGTCATTTCGTCGGTCGCCTTCGTTCTCGTCTTTCTCGGGCGGTTCAACCTGACCGTGTCGAGCAGCATTCACCGTCTTGTCTTCGTTGACATATCTCCGCCAGACGTCCGGGTTGCGTTCCTCGTAATATTTGAAAGCCTTGCCTCTTGTTGCGAATCTTACGATATGTCCAAATGCTGTGTCTCGAACAAGATCCATGTTGTTGACTTTCTGGTCGAGATCACTTGCAGCCAGCAATCATTCGGTTCGCTTGTTTTCCGGCAAGCGATTGCTTGGTTTTGTAATCTCTTCATTTTGACCCCCTGCGAGTACCGTCATCGATTGTGAGAGGGAAAATAGCCTTCAGGACCCTTTCGAAAAATTCTCCGCCGGCTACAATAGCGCGTCGCTCCGCCTGGATGGTTTGGCTCAAAGTTGAAATCATCAAGTGGAGTAAAAGGGACGTGCCTCCAACCAGATGGGATAAGATGATGATAAATCCGACATGTATGACGGAACAACTTTTCGCAAACTTCCACCCCCGTGCAAACTGTCAGTAGGAAATCTGGTATGCTGTGTGACCCGGTCTGATCAGTGCAATGTGCGTGGAGGCGCCGTTAGGATCAATGACATCAGGTGCGGACACTCGATCAGTGTTCACACCCGACCATCCCGGGTTGAGTCGTGACAGAGCCGATCTTGGCCCGCTCACTGCTCGGCGTTATCCACGCACACTGTTATTTTTCTGACCTTGATATCATCATTTTATGTGTAGAAGAAGTTTTGGCTGTGCAGTGCGGCGGAGCATCTTTCCCTAGACTGTCGCTGACTGATGAAGTTAGTACTCCGTACTACGAATACAACCTAACCGGGTGTTCAAGTTTAACAGCTGTCGTCATGCAACAAGTAGCTGCTGGCACCTCTAGGGCTGATTTGAAGCTCTTCTACTCTTGGCGACTCCGTTTATCCAATGGCACTAGCGCGAAATCGTGAAAACTATCACATCTTCACTGGTTTGTCTGTAATTCTTTGCAAATCAGTGGGTTCTTTCTGAAAGTGTTGATTTCACCCAAAGTAGTTTGAAACATCTATTTCCGAGGAGTGCTAGTCGATGGGTAAGGTCTGTATGCGGCTTAGCACTACCGAACAGATTGGACATCTGAAATCTGATGTGTTCCGGAAGTCCCCTCGATCCAGGAGTTTTCAAGTGTTATGAACCAATGTATCGTATTTGTGCTGCAGAATTTTATGTCTATCTTCCCAAGAAGCTCTATAATCTAAAGGTAAATCCCAGTACCACCTCAAAAGCCCTTTGGTTCCCTGTACTCGGGTACTCAATGAAGTAACGAAACACGCGACGAGGCTAATGAAAGCCCACGTTACGGAGTTTGTCTTGAATTATCTCAGGTGAGAATCACCATGGAGGTAGGACGAAGCATGCTGTTCCCTAATCCCACTGGAATACAAACGGGTAAATGCCACTAGTTGATATCATTGCTCTACATTGCTCTCGACTTGCTTGAAGCTATACAAATATTCATGGAAGCCAAGCCCATTCCCGCATACCTCCCCATTTCCCTTATTATCATTATTTGAAATTATTGTCCTCCTCAATCTGCAGCAAGTGCGCCAGAACCCAATCCTGATCATTCGCATAAGGGTCCTTGTAGTTTCCGTTACGGCCGTTGACCGAGGTAGGATAGATGTAAGCACACGACCCACGACCGTTGGCGTCGAACAAAATCAGATTGTTGCGAATGATTCCATCGGCAGTATCCAGCCATGTCTTGCTGTCGGTTTGGTTTCCTAAGCCCTTCCCATAGTGGTGGAGAGCAATGGCATTGATTGTGCTCCAGTGATGGGGGAACGTGTCTCCCCACATGCGGTCCTTGCCGAACCAGAATCCGTCCCAGTGGCGGATGGAAATGTCGTGGAGGTGGTAGTCGGGCTGTTTGCCTGCAAAGAGCAGCATCGTGTCCAAGTGCAGTTTGCCGGCCTCGAGCCACTTTTTGTCTCCGGTGTAACGCCATAGCTCGAGAAGCATGACGGCTGCGGGAGCGACGATGGATTGTTCGAAATTGACCTCGAATTCGGGGTAGTCTAAACCTCTCTTGACGATGACTTCTCCGTGGGCAATGTACAACTCCTTGGCTCGCTCCAGCCACTCCTTGTTCCCGTGCTTTTCGAGGGCTCGCAGGCTTTCGAGGATAGGAAGGCCGATAGCGTACAGTCCACTTCCTCCTTCAGCGTAGAAATTCTCTAGCGTAAGCATGAATCGCTCGATGGGGCTCTTCTCAGCAACAGGGCCGGTCAGGTTGAGATTCAGAGCGGCGACGGTGATGTGGAACTGCAAAACCCAGGGCCAGTTGTACAGGCGCTTACGGCTTGGGTCCATCCCGATGGGTCTGTCACGAACAGCCCCGTTCGCTTCTTGCAGCTTCGTCGATACGTAGGTGTAGTATTTCTCCAAAGATTCTCGTACTTGGGTATTTTCGGGATTTTTCTTCAGCCAGCGGGCCATGAGGATTCCCATTCCAACGCGCTCGCGTCCCGGATTCCGGTCAGTCGAGGTGTCCCAAGTGGCTAGCACATTGGCTTGATAGTCGAAGACGCGGTATGACCCTTCGGCGGGGGTGTTGACAGAATGATCTTGTTGGTTCTCGATGATGAATTTCGTTCTGCTGTTGAGGAGGTCATCAAACTTTGGAACGGTGTTCAAGTAGACACTTGAATTGTAGCCTGTGTCAGTAGAGATGACAAGAGTTGTTCTCGCTGGTCTGCCGGCGGTGAAGTTGTATCGGCAGACGGTGTCCTCGCACGTTACTGCCTGGCCATTGACCTTGGTGTTCGAGTTGATGGAAGCGCCCTTGAGAGAGATGGAAGCTGTTTCCCCAGTGATGTATGTGTAGGCGTTCGTCTCCACGTGGACGAACTGTTTAGACCGAGCAGCGCTCTGCTTGAAAAAGTCATCCCAGTCAGTGTGCCAGAACCATGTCCATTCAATCGTGCTTGATGCGCCTGCTTCCAGATTGGTAATAGACGGGTGAAGGAGAAAGACGCCTCGCGTATTGGACATGGTGACTGAGTCGCGCGACTCAATGCTGTAGCCGCTCAATGAACCTTTGGTGAGTACGAGCCCAAGATTGCGATAATTCCCACCCATCTGATCCAGCTTCACCCATGACGAGCTGCCGCCATTTGCCCAAACGTGGGCATGGGAGCGAGCCGTGACACAATCGGTTGTGTTTGTATAATGGTCATTGAAAGGTGTGTAAATCGCCAACGCCGTTGTTCCCCTGCTTGCGAGGTTCAAAGTACTGGCGCCTTTGTTCGTGAACGTGTAGGTCTCGGTAAACGACTGGTCATTGTCATTGACAGTTCGACTGACCAGGACCTCCAAGTCTCCTTCTTTGTAAACAGCGTCGAATGTGTTTCCATTTTTTGAGATCTTAGGGGAATTCCAATAGGTGCGGTGAAGTGAATCCTGGCCAAGGTCCGCGTAACCAAGACCCCAGCGGCTTCCGAGCGGCGACCAAGGCGCATTTTCATCGTTGCTGATCCAATTCATGGCATTCTTTGACTTTGGATCGGTCAGTGAGTAGAGGGCGCCAGTTTTATGGTCAATGTTGATGCGGAAGTCTTTGCTGGAGAGATCGGTACCGGCGACAAGGAGGCCCCCGAGGGACGAAATGAGGGAGAACTTCATCTTGACAGGCAGGAACGATATTGGATTCGTGTTCCAAGTCTACTCGTGATCTTCATTCCTGGCATCGTCGATTTTGTTTCTTCATATTTATATCGATTTAGCGCTTGGCTTCTCGTTGATCGTTGTCCCGAACCTGCGATGGCACATTAATTCTTTCTATTCTTCCATGACCTCAGCAGACGCAAAATAATGAAATCAATTATCCAGATTCTGGTAAATGCTTATCCAGATCCAGTTCCTAGATAACTGATCAATGGCAAAAAGAGCCGGAGTCAATCCGAGGCGCATATGCGGACTGTTCCAGCGTATCAGACATAAGAAAATGATGGCTCAATTTAGGGACAAAAATGTCCTGCTGTACCCCAACTGGAGAAGCAGATGCATAACACAAAGTCTAGTCACACATCACTGGGAACCCCGCGCTTGGCAACTTGATTGACGTTGTATACGGAGTAACTTGCTAGTTGATCTCGTCCTATTTAAGAGCGAGGACCATGAACAAATACCCTAAATTCGCCCGAAGCCCGCTACTCTTACTCCATGTTATGTCTCCTCCATCCCTTTGCCCGTGACCTTTTTAGATATTTCTTCCAAACTCAGCCTAATGTCGGATGAGAAGAAGACGTTGACATTGGCCGTGAGTGATGCGAAGGACCACGAAAACGAATGCAAGGTGACTACTTGATCTGCATTCAAGGAGCATCGATGCAAGCGAGAAGTATTCTCTCTTCATTGTCTGTGATGTGCGGAAAGTACTTGGGGTATTCCTTGTCGCGCAAGTGTCGGCGGCATTCGTCATTGCGAGTGAACGCCCGGTTGCAGTATTCGCAGACCTTCGTGGTGGCCGCCTCCTTGCGTTTGGGGCGATCGCGACGGTTGGCGTGAGCAACCGCAACGCGCTTATTGGCTTTGGCACGTTTGACAGCGCGGTCTGCAGCGATGCGAGCAATCTTTGCTTTAGCCTCAGCGATTTGGGCTTCCATCTCTGCCTCGAGAACTAGCTCCTTGTATCGATTCTGATCAGCCATGCGGATAATGCGTTTCATTTCCTCAAGACGCTCACGGCCACGCTGGGCCGCCTTATCCGCGGCATCAGCAAACATGACAGCCTCCTGAGAAAGGGTCATGATTTTCTCATCAAGCTGCTCAGTGTCCTGAGCCAGACCGGTTTGGATCGACATGGTGTTGCCGGGGTGCTATTGATACTATGAGTACCTAGCTAATAGGCAAGTGATGATGGAGCAGTGAGAAAGTACCTTGATCGGTTTGGAGTTGTAAAGGAATGTGTTATATTTGTGTTGATGGGAGGTAGGTAAAGGTTTGGTGGTGTTGCTGTGTAACGGAAAGGGAGGGAGAAGTGAAGTGGGATGACAACGCTTGGCACAAGAAAGTCAAGTAGCTTGGGCTCAGGTTCAGAAGGAACTGCTCCTGCTTGGTTAAGCACTCGATGAGGAACACAAGGTCGTTGAGTCATCCTACAGACTTACACATAGGGTTCCCTGAAACTACGGCCAGCTCACCTTTGTTTTCTTGCCGGCGCCCTTCACCCAATTCGCCTTGTAAACCTGCCTGGACATTTTTATCACACATTTCTATCCAAATACTTGGCCTTAGGTTCATCCTCTAGCAATTTCTGGTTTTCTCTTCCGATATTTTCAACCTCAACACTATTCCTTGCATCCGTATCATTCATCGTACGCCAGTACATTACTACGTGCAACGCTAAGCTAATTTAGCAAGGTAGTGAGAGGATTCTGCATTCAAAGATATACAAAAGCTGATAGATATATAGAACAGCAATGATGGAAGACCCCTCTTCGGAGAACAACCTAACAAGAGACGGCGTTCCCAAGCCTATCCCGAAGGTGGTGAGAAACGGCACGTCCTATCAGCTCCTGGTTGATGGAGCCCAGTTCATAATCCTTGGCGGGGAGCTATCTGCTTCCTCTATGACCTCTGATCTCTATGTCTCCCGTCTCTGGGGCAACATTCGTAGAACCGGAGCCAATACCATCTTTGGTGCGGTTGCATGGGATACCATCGAACACATCGAGGGCCAGTTTGATTTCTCCACCCTGGACAACATCATTATACAAGCGCGCGAGAATGAGATGCGTATGGTGTTGCAGTGGTTTGGGTCTCTCAAGGGTGGCCACTCTGACAGTAAGTAATGCGTTCCGCTTTTCATATCCTCGTTTTGTTTTCGGGCTGTCGCGATGTGGCTTCTTCGCCAAGGTCACATGGTTTTGCTGGTCTTGAGCGACACTGTCCCTCAGTTCCATGTTTATAACTTCACATTTTAATCACCGTTATACCTCCAGACCTCTCTGACTACGCCCCTCCTTGGGTCAAGCATGACTCGAAACGTTTCCCGAGAATGAAGATACGTGACGACATCTACAACGATGAGGGAGAAGTCATCGGCAAGGCCAAGCGTACAATCGAGTCCGTTTCCCTTTTCAACTTTGAGCTTCTCGACGCAGAAAAGACAGCTTTCCGGTGTCTAATGAAGCACATTCGATCCATTGACAAACACAAACGCACTGTCATCATGATTCAGGTTGGCACTCATATCGGTCTCACACGGGACTTCCGCGACTATTCGGTGGCCACTAACGCTGCATTTGGAGGTGATGTCCCCAATGATTTCATGGCTTACTACCAGAGCCTAGGCTCTGCTATTGATGTCTCCGAATCTCACACTTGGAATCAGTTTGCCATTGACGTTGACGAAGCGGAAGAGCTTTTCTCTGCCTACACCTTTGCCTCGTACGTCAACTCACTTGCCAATATGGCAAACGAGAGTATCCTCTTCTAATTTTTACCGACGTCGCTCTCAAAGACGCTCAAGGCATCTTCTATGGGTCCCCGCAAGATAAGAAAAGCATTGGAATTTGGAAAGCATCTTGCTCCCAAAGTCGACTTCATTGCCCCACGCATGCTTCATGCACCGTACGAAAAGACGTGTCAGGCCTGGGGCAGCGAGAACAAGCAACCTCTTCTCATCCAGGCTCATCCTCAGGGCCAAGATGACATCTGCAATCTATGGTCTGCTTTCGGCACACACGCTGCCATCGGAGTCGTCATGATGAAACTAGACCGCATCGATATTACACAAACGCACATACCAGCTCATTACAAGTTCTTGAGGCGTCTGACACCTATACTTTTGGCGGCTCGTCAGAACAATAAGCATGTAGTGGGCTTCTCATTTGGCCCCTCCAACAACTTCGGGGCCCAGACAAAAACGCCTATCAAGACCACTTTTGACGGGCTTCGCATCATCATCGACCGCTTTGTCGATGCTGGACACCGTGGTGGAGGATGTGGTCTCTTGATTGAGCGCGAACATGGCAAGGTCCTCCTCACTGTACATGGCTACCAACTGAAAGCTAGATCGGTCTCTCCGAAGGCGGTTTTCACTCGGGTCCTCGAGTTTGTTAAGAAAGAACTGGAGGCTGGACAGCCTGGGAATCTGCGTACTCTACGCACATTTCATGCTTAGGAGACCAACGGCAGCTGTGTGGCCCAGATGCCTTCAGCCAACCCCATGATTACTGAAGTTAAATTCTACCCTTTGAGCGAATGATTTTGTATGGTACTGGGCGAAGTGGTTACTACTCGTCTGTGGAATTCATGGTGACTTGGAAATCAATGTAGCGTCTCGCATGAGGTCAATCATCCTTCTTGCACCTTGGGCTTTCCATGTTGCCATAAATTCCACCTTTCAGCGCTAGCGACTAGGTAATTAGACTAAAACCTCACGCCGGGCGGCAACATAATATCAGGTTCCGGCGCAATCTCATCCAGCCTCTCCATCCAGTATGCGAAGTCTTTCTTGTCAAACTTTCTGTTTTTATCCTCATCCTCATCCTCGGAATCTTCATGTTCCCACCTCACACCAATTTCTTTCGCTGCCTGAAGCTCGACGATTTTATTCGCCTTGAACCCCTCAATAACAGAACGCATACGTGGAGCCCAATGATCTTTCAAGAAAGGGATCAACCTGGCGTTGCACTTGCATCGTTCTTCAAAATCAGCCACAAGATCCTCCATCAACTCTAACAGCTCCTCGTCTTCTTTTTGAATTTCCTCAATTTCATCGTGGCTCAACCCTCCCCACCTTCCTATGCTATCAGAGCAACAAGTGTGCCGACAATCTAAGGCTTCAAAGGTGAAATATCTCAAAATCGCCCGGTAGATCCATTCATATCCTTCGCTGCGGTACCGATGTAATGGAATCAACCCAAAAACTTTCTGGCAGATGCTGAGCCTTAACCCATTTTTGTAGATCAAGTCTCTTGCGTCACCGGTCCATGACAATGACGCATCCAAGAACATGGTCAGCGGAGTGCATCCTTCTAATGAGCAGTAACACGAGCAATTGTCGACATGCCGCTGGCAGAAGATGGCGTCTGAAAGCAGTTTAGAGAGATTTAATTCCACTTTAGAAGAATAGTGACTGATGCTGAAGATGCCGAGAAACCCCATAAAGATGTGCAATATTGATGTCGAACTTTCACCCCGGATCATTGGTTTCGAGGATTGTGACAGCAATGGAATATCGTGGACCTTGCCAAGCCACCATGTGATATACTGAGCCATTTGAACTGCAACACCTAGAGTCTGCGGAACTCCAATGTCTTGAACAGCACGATTGACTTGGTTTATGATGTCGCTATCGTTCCCAATGTCATCGAACCCGAGTCTCCAAGCGAATTCTGCGCTATCTCTGTTGGAGATAAATGCATAGATGGACTTGGCATCAGGCTTGGCTTCTTCACTTTCATCCCATACTTTCAAAGACTCTGGGACTGTGCAAGACCGCATTTGGAGATGATGTTGGACCAGACCGGCATTGCGGTCCAGCATACGGGCTTCAGCTAAGTCGAGAAAATCCATCTCTTGTTGAGAAAGGACATCCTTCGCCAGCTTGGCCAGTCCTTGTCGTCTGATGCTGACTTCCCGTATCACTTTCTGTTGAACGATGATTGATGGGCTCTTCCTCTGCCAGTCGCCCACCCCGAGTGCGAGATTCAATGATGTTGGGTACAACGCACAGCCCGCACCGAGAACAACGTCCAGAATGGCGCAACCGTTGCATAGCTCTGACTTCTTTAGCTTCTTGTTTTTGCATGATGTGTGCATGCTCTCACATGTCGCATAGTCTATAGGACGGAGGTCACCCTTGTCCCGAGCGTTGAGAATGGTAGCGTCAGAATACGTCAGGACAGAGCGCAGAATGTCGACGTTGCCCATTAAAACGGCGATATGGATTGGAGACTGCCCCAGATGGTTTGTTTCATTAACGGATCCCGGATTGGCCTTCAAGATTTGATCGATTGAAACGTAGTCCTCTCGCATGATTGCTGTGGAAAGAGGTCCAAACCCCAAAACTGCGCCGAGCTGTTAGCAATTTGCTCAGTCTTACGTAAAAGGCATTATCAGGGCTCCATCTACCTTCAGTTACCTGTGGATAGCACTTTACAAATTGATTTAGGCTGATCTGCTTTGACGGTCTTTCAATGAATTCATATCGGAAGCTCCCTTCAGCGTCTACTTCGGCACCAGATGACTCAAGTGCCTTGATCGTTTCGAAAACGGCATCGCATGGTTTCAGCCATTTTGATCCAATCACTGATGCTAAAGGCGTACTAGAAACATCTTTAGAAAAACTTACGTCATCATGGTATATATCCATAGAAGAGTAAGTTTAACTCACTATTCTAATCTGTCACGTGTGTTGGCTGAAAGCTTGAAAGACAACAAGGATGTTACGAGGCGCGTAAATTTTCCAGTGGTTTCAAAGTCATCTGAACGATAGTTCTATCACGACGGGGTAAGGCCGAGAACTAATTGACGGTTATTCAGGGGATGATTTACCTTTAAACTGAACGTCACCCACGTCAACAGGGACATGCCGTACGAGTCAACGTCAGAAGGCGATGCCTTGTTCTCGGCGTAACAAAAGAACAATCGCTTCCAGCAAGATTCCAATAAAAGCCGGTTTTCTTCGTCCTTCATGTGCAATCCATATACCCGAACGTTATCTATAGCAATCTGCATGATTCGAAACGCGGGGGATGTTTGCCGATCCACAGTTGCAATCCACTTCAGTCCCAAGTCAAAACTTGACCCTCCCGCTCCGGATTTCATAGAAAACGTAACTTTAGTTGCCACTTTGAGAAGGCTTCGTATCGCCGGGACAGTAATACCGAACACTCGGTCGCGGCTGTGCTCCGCCGGCACAACGCGAGCTAGGGGGCACTCCGGGGTATGATAAAGTGTTGAACGCATATCGCTGTCCAACGACAACGGTCCCCAATAAGCCCGAGTACGAGACCTCTTTTTTCTTATCGGACAGAGACAATAGCGTTGTTCCTCGATATAATCGCCTCGAGTTGCGATTTGCCGTCTTGAGATCGGTGTTGCGGCAGCTGCCGGTATGTCTGGTTCCAGAACTGCATCGCACATTGTCTTCAAATCTGCTGGCTTGGCGACCAATCGAGCAATCTGGCGATTTACGTTGTTTTTTTCTGCTGCATTTTCAAAGACCCCTTTGAGAATCTCTTCCATTCTTTCCATTCTCCTAGCTATTTGTGACACCTCTTGTCGAGTATGGGTGGTATTCTCGTCACTGTGAATAACGACTTGAGTCGTCTGAAGCAAAGTCTCGGTGTTTCTGGTTACAATTGCAGTCGTAGTGGTGGTTTGCGCATGTATTTCTGGAACAAGTTGTTCGGAACGGTCTGTGAAGGCGTGTATTTTATCAATGGTATCTGACATTGATGATATTCTTCCTTGTGTATCTTCAACTGCCATGTCAATGGCTGCAAGATGTGTCTGTAAGCTGTCTACGGCGTCATGTGTTGCGACAGAGATATTACTGGTAAGTTCACTGAGTCAGTACTCTCCAGGATTCAGTTCAGGTGTAGAGTCAGATCAGCTTACATCCCGAACGCATGGAGAGCGGTCTGCAGTACTTCATTCGTAGAGATCATTCTCTTCTCAAGCTCTAAGAGCTTTTCGCGATGGAAAGGGTATGCGACCTGTTTCCCTTTACCCTTGAGTCTGGACGAGAGTGTGTCAGCTCCAGCATCTGGGTCTTTCAAGCTCAAGACGACAGCTTCCAGGGCCTTCAATTCGTTTATACAAGAGTTGACGCAGATATCAACTGCTTCGTTCGTTGTCGCATTGGCGTTCTTGCGCGAAGATGTCGCATCATCGATTGCATTGATGCACTTTTGCATCGTTTCCGCATGTCGCCTCGCCGAGTCGAGCTCGCCCTTTCTGCCCTTCACAGCGTTGACGTATTTTGAGATTTCGCCGTATAGCTGCAAACCAAGCGACACCAACCCGACGGCTGTGCCGGTAATGCCCACCGGTTCGGCCATGGCCAGCTCAGTCACGGTAGGAAAGAGAAGAATAGTTTGTCGGGGAGGATTGTGTTAAGGAGGGGAAGCAGCGTAAAATATCAGGCTGGCGAGGAGATTCACCTGCAGGTTTGACCACGTGCCGAAGAAAGCTGCGCCACCGTTGGGCATATTTCTCTTTTCCTGTCATACCAACCAAGGCTGACATGAAAGCCCAATGCCAATCACTGTTCAACTTCCAACAACCAATGTAACTTGGTCTTCCAATCTGCCGGTGAGAAAGGCTTCTGCAGCACCTTATTGGGCCACTTCATGATGCAAGATACATACATATGGCCAGAAGGACCTGACTTGAATGAGAATCTGTCCAATCAGCCCTTGATAAGTCTTGGTTCAACTCTGAATAACGCAAATCTTGAAAACTTCGAGGAGAAAAGGATTGGCCATGACCTTGTGTAAATGATTTGAGTGCTAACGGTCTCATTTTACAGGCGCTCAATTAAGCATCTGCTAAAAGAAAAGAAAAGGGATGAGCAAAAGACAAGAAGTAAGAGAACAGTCATATTTTGGCAAAGATACTTACACGAACAGCTATGCCAATGTCAGGTATGGCTCATAATTCCTGTAGCTCGCATGTTGAATCAACCAAATGATCATAGCTAACCGGCTTTCACAAGCGAGACGTGATTTATGAATCCTTCAGTTGCCACTGATGAAATTTTCAGCACGATCTCGTTGCCGTATTGGGAACTCACCCGTCCAACACCAGATAATAAGAAGCCAAAAAGGCACATCGGATGTAGCATCATTTCTGATGCTCTCCGATGTGTCATCAGCCTTATTTCGCGTCAATCCGGAAGTGATCCGAAAGCGAAGTGGTCGACAGAGAGTGCAACTTCTTGGCACCATTTCCCGAAAACTAGACATTTTGAGATGACGGACGTTGATCTACCGAATAACATCATGCAACCGGATGACATTACCCCACCATGAAATGGCATGAACGGCTACGACGATGGCAACCCAAGGAACTCAATTGTCTATATTAATGTCAAGGAGCTCGCTCCGTTACTCGACATCTTCGTCTCCACAGGAAGTCCACGTCCTAAGTCCTTCACGACATGCAACTGACCAACCTCTTCCTGGTGGCCACCGGCCTGTTGCTCGCAACCGGCTCATCAGCCGCGAGCGTCAAGAAATGTCGCGACGAGACCTTCCAGAATCCCGTCTTGTACGAAGACTACCCCGACAATGACATCTCCGTCGGCCCCGACGGCGCATTTTACTACTCGGCCTCCAACTTCCACTACAGTCCCGGCGCGCCCATCCTCAAGTCTCTGGACCTTGTCAACTGGGAACCCGTAGGCCACTCCATCCCCCGCATGAACTTTGGCGACGGCTACGATCTTCCCCCGGGCGGTCCTCGCGCGTACCGCGCAGGAACGTGGGCATCGACGCTGCGGTACAGGAAGAGCAACGGGCAGTGGTACTGGATCGGATGTACCAATTTCTGGGTTACCTGGGTCTTCACGGCCTCGTCGGTTGAAGGGCCGTGGTACGGCAGGGGGAGTTACGGGTGGGATGGTCTCTGCATGTACGACAACGGGTTGCTGATTGACGACGACGACACCATGTACGTCGTGTACGGCAACGGACAAGTCAAGGTCTCGCAGCTCAGCGCCGACGGTCTCAGCGTCGTGAGGTCCCAGCAGGTCCTCCAGGCGTCGGACGTCAACACGGATACGGTGGAGGGAAACAGAATGTACAAGATCAACGGCACCTACTACATCCTCAACGACCAGCCGGGATCCACGACGTACATTTGGAAATCGAGCAGCCCCTGGGGTCCCTACGAGGCCAAGATCCTCGTGCAAAACGTCGCGCCTCCTCTGGCGGGCGGCAACTCTCCCCACCAGGGCAGTCTGATCCAGACGAAGAACGGAGATTGGTACTTCATGTCCTTCACCTGGGCCTACCCCGCCGGTCGCATGCCGGTGCTGGCTCCCATTGTTTGGGGAGCAGACGGGTTTCCTTCTCTTGTCAAAGGGTCGAATGGCGGATGGGGTTCGTCGTATCCCTTGCCGCTCCCTGCTCAGCCGCTATACAACTGGACGCGGACCTACAAGTTCGAGACGGAGCTGGGCCCGACCTGGGAATGGAACCATAACCCCGACGTCGCGTCGTACCAGGTAAACAACGGCGTGACGCTGAAGACGGCGAGTGTCACCCAAGACTTGTACTCTGCGCGCAACACGCTTACCCACCGCATCCACGGAGAGTTCCCCAAGGGCACAGTCAAAATCGACTTCAGCAAAATCGCAGATGGCGACCGATTCGGACTCGCCGCGTTCCGGGACCAGAGCGCGTACATCGGTATTCACCGCGAGGGGAACCAGTACACTCTCAAGGCGATCCACGGCCTCATCATCGACGAGTGGTCCGGAAACCCAGTTGCGAATGGCACGGAAGTAGCTTCGGCTCCTGTGCCGAATGGTGCGACAAAGGTGTGGTTCCGCGCGGAGCTCGATGCCCGGCCGACGGGCACTCGTGATGCCAACTTCTTTTACAGTTTCGATGGTGTTCAGTTCACGAAGCTTGGCGGCACTTACCAGTTGTACTCTGGCTGGGCATTCTTCATTGCTTACCGCTTTGGTATCTTCAACTTTGCCACGAAGGCATTGGGAGGGTCTATTCACGTGGAATCATTCACTTCAGCTTGATAGCAGATAGTTTCCATTCTCTCATGACAGTTTAAGTAACACGAACAATCAATATTTGAGGTAAACACTTTTTATTTTTATTTTTTTGCATCGCCTATGAACGTGCCTCGGGAGTGAGAATACGCCTCTCGATCAACCCCCGTGCAAAGTGAACAATGCCTTTGACGGCAAGTCTAGCTATCGTATCTCCTCCCTCCAGCCGCGGGTTAAAAGAACAAACGACAAGAGAAGTCGGCTCCGTCTTTGTAGGTATCGTCCCGAGACAGTTCAACAGGTCTTGGCCATCCAGTCCACCGGGTGAAGGCCAGTCATTCGCACGGCCCAGCGACTCATCCAAGACGTCCAAGTCAAGATGAACATGCGTCTTTCCAAAGCGTTTCCGGTCTAAAAGAAGCCCCAGCTCCCTGCCAAAATCGACCTTTTTCGAGGCGTCACCCCAAATCACATCCACTCCAGCCTCCGTGACCGCCTGCCTCTGAATCGGAGATACGTCCCGCAAACCGCAATACGCAACTCGGTCGAGACTCAGCGGCGCATGGCCAGGTACGGATTTCATGAGGGTATGCCAACTCGATCCGCTCAACATGGACAGAGCCATGGCGTCGAGGTACCCATTCTCGTTGGTCGACGGCGTATCGAGGTCGTCATGCGCGTCGATCCAGAGGACGTTCAGATCGGGTACGGAATTACTGAGTCCAGCAGCTACGGCGGCGCTCGCGTTGCAGTTGCCCGACAAGACGAGGGGGAAGGAGTTTGACGTGACGGCCTGCGAGACGCTGGTAGAGATGCGTCTCATGACCTCAAAAGTGCGTCCGATCTCGCCCTCGAAATCATCCACAGGGCCGATGTTGACGAAATGTATCGGAACAAGACTCTCGAGCTTATCGGCCAGTCCATGAGACAAAATGCGCAACGGGCCGCCGCCGACTCTGTGGTCGTACAAGCCGACGTGGTAAGGGGCGACGATGACCGTGATGGAAGTGAACGGCATGATGTGCATAAATACGAAACTATGCTCTGTGCTTCTTGATCTTAGAGAATTGGATGTAAGACATACACTATGGCAGAATCCGTTGATATAAGCTTATTTTGCAACTCATCTCGAGCCGTGCGTCATGTCAGATGAAGCCGGGATCTGGACGGCCCCGCATCGGGTTTTGGTTAAAGGACGGAATATATTTTGCTCCCTTACAAATCAACAATGAACCCATCGAGTCATTTTGACGGACTACTCCGTTCTTTAAACGTAAGACTTGAGATTTTTATCGTAGCTCCCCCGGCTATCTTCCGGACCCACACTGTCTTTGATCCGGAAGAGGTCTACTTACCTCTGGTTGCAGGAGACATTATCCAACAACAAGAAAACAACGTCAATATTGGAAAGACTTTGAAAAATCAAGGAATGCAGATACATATGCAGACACATGGGCAACGACAGTTCCGTTACCGCAGCGCAGCAAGCGTAACTTTGAACAAGTATTAGTCGACAACGGCAACTTACACGGCAAGCATATCACGCAGCTCGTGTCGTCATGGAAAGGGTGTTGACAAATACTCCTGGAATGAGAACCGCTATATTTAGGTCCTGTTCAAATCATTAACCTTTTTATATCCGATCCTCGGGAATCTTACTTTCAGGAACCACTTTCGACAATTCATCGACATCAAAGCAACGGCATACAACACAACAGTCCAATCACATCTTCGAAAACGAACCGTCACAGGGTCATTCCAACGCTCTTTGCTGCACGCACAGGACTCTGACGTGCATCCAAACCTAACAAATGACAGCCGTCAACCGTAACTCCGTTCCGGCTCCGGGGACTTGAAGTATCCCGCGAGAAGAAGAAAAAACGAAGAAACATTTGCTGAAGCACTGGCCCGAGCTCGGTACACAGCGACGAACAAGTGGCCCGACAGATTCACCCGAAATGTTTCTCGAAAATCAAAAACGACGGCAGGGTACGTGCACATCCGAGAGCATGCAGGTCCCAGATGCAAACGCTTGATGGACAGGCTATTTCAAGCCAAAAGGCAAAACGACGCAACGAAACACGGAATGAAACTCTAGGTGACAGCTCCGTTACCCCGGAACTCACCGCGTGGTAAACTTACCGGGTGAGCAGAGAGACAGAGAGAGCTAAATGTCACCATGGCCCCACGTCATTCGACATACGACGCGTTGAAAAGGACGCATTCTGAACCGTCCATGTCTACAAACATTACATTGGCGGACTGACGACCCTGGCAATGTCGCATGACGATGGCCTCAAGGAGCATCAATATAGCCTGCCTGAGCCGATATGCGTACAATACAGCTTCTCGCAGCTCGTCCCCACAGGACAGGGCATCAGCACGCAAATCCGTCTACTGAGTGTATGCGACACTCTCTTCATCACAGTGCACGGCGATAGGGACGTTTTGGTATGGGACCTCACACGCAATGCCCCTCCGCAGAGGGTGGAAATAGACTTTGTCATGGACCGGATCACGGGAATCGCCTTTTCGCCATCCAACAACAATGTGATAGCCGTCTCGTTCCAGGACGGCGCCGAGCACGGCGTGTTTGCGTACGACTGGAGCAACAAAACCACGGAAGCCGTGTTCGGGACGGGGTCGGATTTTCACTCTGTCCAGTTCTCGCCCGACGGGAGGTTGCTGGCGTGGATATCGGCCGGTAGCATTGACGTCTGGGAAACAATCGTCAACACCCACGTCATTACCCTCCGAGAGGGCAAGAACAAGACAAATGGCCTGCCGGTATCAAAGTTCGCCTTCACACCGGACTCGAAGGAAATCGCAACGCTCGATCGCTCGGGAAGAATGACGACGTGGGACGTGCCGAGGTGGCTGTACTTGAAGGAGTCTCGCGCGAAAGCGGCATGGGACGGTGTCGGGCGGGAGGCAATGCAGTTGGTTGCGGATGGTCGGCGCGTGATGGCGTCGTGTCGACAGACGGACGGGACGAGTCCCTGGACGTGGAGGCTGACGACATGGTGGCCGGAGAATGGAGGCCGGGGAGAGCTCGAGATGAACGGATGTGCATTTGCATGGCTGCCACGGCACGGTGCCTTCGTCGCGACGGTGCAGGCGGATGGTGGCAGACTTCGAATTCGAGATGCTCGCAATGGTGTCTGCCTTGATCAATCAACGCAGGGCATCGCGAAGACAGGCAAGACGCCGCTTGTTGTAGCCGCAACGATTGCAGTGGGTGATCGGGTAATGGTGACACAAATCGCGAATGGGAGGACGACGGTGTGGCATCTAACGGCTGCCATTGACGAATAGCGACGAATAGACTGCAGTGCAAGGCTTCATGAGGATCCGTACGAGGGTAGTGACCGGCACGCCCTAAGGGCTTGGAGGTATATAATTCAACGAGGAGGATGGTATCTGTGTGGTTATCGTGTACTGGTGTTAGCCCTATGCAAATATGGTAGAAAAGATAAGGCTTTGGTGACGATAGGTATGATCTCATGGCCCCCAAAGAAAAAGTGAAAATGTCCAGGCTTCGGCCAAGAAAAATAACACAAATTTCGACCTTCAAAATCATCAATCACCTTCGGGAGGGTGGCCGAGTTGGTTATGGCGCCAGGTTAAGGTCAGCTTAACATCTGTTTCCTGGTGGGGCAACCCGCGCGAGTTCGAGTCTCGTCCCTCTCATTTTTGAGATTTTAACAATCTCACAGCGTGATGGTTCACTTTTTCTCCGTCGTTACAACATTTTTGCTCTTGAAATCCAACCTGGGACATACTCGCCGATGTGTCTTTTTTGCCTCAATAATCGGGACAGATATTGTTAGGCGGCCGAGCAGGTGGAGAATAATTGTACGGTCCAGAGTGGGGCTTTCGGATACGAAGAACCTTTGAGAAGTTTGCACAGGTGGGGCCGAGACCGACGAGACGCCGTTGACCAACCAGGGCCGTTTACTCTAGTGCACAGACCACATCGCTTCCCGATTCGTTGCCGACAGTGGGGGCGAGGCCTCACCTTTACAGTGGCCAATTCCCGGACGTCCACCGACTGTTGTACTGTGACTTTACTGGTGGTTAGTGGTAGTAGTGCCCCACTCGTATGCTACGCCCGCTGAAATTGTTGGATCGCGCCGTCATTTTAAAAAATTTCAGCGCTGCATCATTAGCTTTGGGGCTACTGGGGGGCCCATTTTACAGGGGCTTTGGGTGCCTTGAGCATGTGCAGAGTAGCGCATCAGTAGGCGCAAGGTGCTGGGCCGAGGTGCATTAGAATGCGTTATTTTGGCCCTGTAACTGTGAGCATCCCCTGGGAAACCGCCAAAAGAAACGCCCTAGGGGAAGTAAGCATTATGGACAGGTGGCACATGCCAAAACGTCCATGTCGTTCCTTGTTGGTCGTTGTCGTTGGACGTTTCGCCGACACATCCATCCTTGGTCTCCAGAGTCCCTCTCTTTCAAGCGGGCTTGCGCTGCTCCGCTATGCATGCAAAGTCCTATCCACCCGCTCTTTGGCCAGTTTGTGTCGTAATTGTTCGCGAGTTTGCCAGTTGCGGTCCTAGTGTTGATGGAGGTGTCCAAGGCGCATAATCTCTCCTAACCGACAGTCCGAGGAAAGGCCAAATGATCCCGGACGCTGTCGCTCCATATCGATCAACGCTTCACCTCTTCCCTGATTGCAATGTTTCTGAATCCACACGTGATCGGTAAAAGGGTGTCGTCTCCGAAAGTTACTCCACGACTGTAGCCTTCGCCCGCGAGAGGGGGGTAAGATTGTGACAGTCGTTCTCTCCACTTCTCAACACCCACTGCTTTGTGGTTGAGGGGCATGTCTGATGGCTACCTGTCAACATGAGATTATCTTTCCATCGGCGGTAGACGTCTGGCCTGGCGATTAGACTGCAACTGGTAGCAAGCATCAGGACGGGGGACTTTCCCCAAGCATCATACGGGGTTTACTAGCAGGATTCTGCAACCCCCACGCCATACCCCTTTTCTGCTCACCGAGTTGGCAAGCGTGTGCATATCCTAGCGAGCAAGGTCGGATGATCAGGATTTCATTCCCCGGCTGGCTAGCTTAAGGCTACACCTGTTAACGCTGGCTGGTAGCGTTCATACCTCCAAAGGGATAGACCACTGATACCCCGGCGACTGGATCTGATTGTGTCGGAGGGCGGTGTTTTTTCCCGGTCTCCGTCTTGATATCAGATAAGTGAAACGGTTTTATCTGGGTCTTGTCGAAGCTTCATTCCTGTTTCCAGCAGTATCTCGCATAGCACATGGTCAATAATGTCTCTGATAAACAGGTGACAGTTGTTGATCAAGTCTCTGGGTCGTTATCGGCTTCGGCACATCGGTGTTGTTGCCGTGTTTATCGTGACATGCTGATAGGATACGTTCTCTTTTGAAGGATGTCTCTCGAAGGTTTTCCTTGACGATTTCATGTCATCTTTGGTATCTACATGTCGAAGATACCGCCTCCAGCTCTTGCGTGTTGCCTGTTCCAACCCCACCATCAGTTGTTCAGCCCCTGGTACTCCGTACATCTGTAGATTAACATTGGCTCTGATTCGGATGGCAGCATGACAGGTACGTTTATCTCTCGGCGCTTGTCTCTTGGTTTTAGAACCAGGGGCATTGGTCGTCGACAAGGTGGATATCGGTATGGGACGTCACCCTTCTGGTTGTCGTAGTATACGTTGCGGAACAATCCGGGGGTGCGGAGTTGATGGACTCTGGATAATCCACCCCGCCAAATAAACGATGGATGGCTGGAAAGAGATGGAATTTAATGAAAAGTTAAAAATGTAGTAAAAGATCAAAAAGGTGCAAAAACATGAATGATGGGATTTGAGGGAAGGTAACGTGCTTAAGTAGCCTTGCTATGGTCCAGTTACAGCCTTGTCTGCCTTGGGAAAGTGTGCTTCCCCTCCTCTTCGGAAAGTGCGAAGGTGCGAAGGTGCGAAGTTGCAATAAGGAAGGAGCGAATCGCATCAGATCAGAGACAGGCAGGACCAGCCAGTCCCTCCCCCTTGATGCCTCTTTCCTTCTCAAAAAGGAAACAACGTGAAGATGTTGATCAACGTCATTGGCCAAGAGCTTTTATTTTTATTTTTATTTTTATGTTTTAATCCCTTCCAGAAACAACACCATTTCCTAGTCACATCCACACACATCAACGACACCACTCATATTCCATTCTGCATATCCATCCATCGTTGTCCACCATTCAGCATCCTCGACGTTGCATCCATCCACAGTCGTCCCATTCTTGGCAACTTCACTTTAACTCGAGGAGCCGCTACGGAGTACATACTCGTCTTCCCCCATGACCCTGGCGAACTGTCTCTCTCTATGGGCGCCCTATCAAGATTCCCTGCCACTTGATGCACTGCATCACAACCCGGAGAATTCAACCGCAGATCATGCCAATCGTCCACTCAACTTGCCTATTATCCCACTGCCTTTAAACTATGGGTACGGCTTAATCCATGGCTAGCCTCGTGCTACGAATGCTGCCTGTATTGGCGTTGTCGAATCGAAGGAAGGGGAACTGCATCCTGGACCTTGAAGGGCTGCGGGCGTCGACATGCATTAAAACAACCTTACCGAATACCCGGCTACCATGTTTAGAAACCAACAAAGACCCTTTTCCTTGCAGTGACTCTTACTTCTAGCAGCTATCATCGTCAACCTGTGGCTGTTCTTATATCACCTTTGTTCCAGCCGCAGAACATATGGTATGCCCATTGCCAATTCCAGCCTTGTTTCTCGGTCAGCTTGGTAAGCAGCTCACCGTCTCCACTCCCTTTCAGGCCTTCAGCGCCCACGCCACGGCCATACTACTTGTTTCCCATCGTCCAGCAACCGATCAGACACCAGGACTTTCATACAGAGTAGCAAATGCAAGGCTATCAGTTCATCTTTCCATCCATCTCAGCCTTTCCCCAGATTCGATACGTATCGATACGTATCGTGAGTGTGCCCCTCCTGTTCAGCCTTCTAAAGGGTCTCAGGGTCTCAGGGTGCAATGGCGCCATCAGTGAGTCTACCCTACGACCCAGGTGGGCGGGACAGTGACAACTTGTGCCTGTCGCGTGCGTTGAGATCGACCCCCGGTTTGTCTTCCTCCACAGCGAGAGCCGGGTTTGGCGCGGCGGCTGGTACATGGTGGACGGTATGCGGCGTCCGGGCGTCGGTTTGACTCTCATGTCATCTCGTTTTCCCACTCCAGGAACCAACTGTTTCCTCGCAGAATCAACGACGAACGTGAGTGGTCAGTGAGGCAGCCACTGACGGCACAGCATAGTTGTCACCAATAGGTATCTCACCCGCGAGAACCCGGCGAAAAGATACTCTTACGTACTACTGCGACGTGGCGCTAGGCTAGCTGCGGCAGGTGGGCTGCTCATCACTGGAGTATCCTCTGTGACATCAGCATCTTTTGAAGACCGCTCAGGGCCACATCCCACGGGAGCTTGCAGGCCTGGCGATCCTAGCGGGCTTGGTCATGTCAGGGTGGTGTGCGCCGGCTCCCTGCTATGCGAAAGATACAGCCCTGAGCAATACTCAGATTTCCTCAAAGCAGCTGGGGACGAGACGGGGGAGCCCTGGCAATGCACCTCCATCCTGCTCCAGTCTCCTCGTCTCCTCCATTGCTCTCCATTGTCTCTCCATCCAAGCGTGCCCCGTTTATCTCTCCTTCAAACGCTCACTCGTCGACGCTGCGACCGCCAACCGTGCCGTACTCTAAGGACCTCCACTGTCGTCGGGATCAAGACGGCAAGACGGAAGATTGAGAGACTCCACGACTCGTGTCCAACAAACCAACGACCACACATCGTGGAGAGCCCGCTGCATTAGTCGGGCAACCTGGGCCACATATCTACGTCATAACGGGGACAGGCCGCATCGTGCGCATTGAGCGCGCTCGAGGATGAGGGCAGATGGAGAATTGGAGACATTCTTTTTTTGCCTGGCGGTCTCAGAATTGGGCATTTTTTTTGACCGTCTCCGCCTCCCGCTCCCTGCTTCCCCCCCAACAGAACGTGGATGCACGTGGAGCGCAAGGCGCAAGAGCGTGGAGCACTGGAGCCTCGTTCAACGCCTCGCGTCCATACGGTTTCTCAGGGTCATCCATCTCGGCGCCGACGGGAAAGGGAGAAGAGGAGAAGTATTGAGGAGAAAATACTACGTAGTGTCTCATAGGGGGAAGAAGCCAAGTACGAGTACCTCTCGGGAGTGCCACCACAGCCCGCCTGTCGAATCCTTAGATTCAGCCAACCGTCGGAAGTCCAACGCCATCAAACCCACCCTGGCGGGCCAGCGAGTGAGCGACATGCGAAAGAAGGCGCGAAGAATACACGAAGAATTCCGTCAGACGCTGTGTCCTGGCCCAGCATTAGCTCCATTTAGCGGCAACAAGATCTTGACAGTTGTCCAACAAGCGCGGGACGGTGGACGGAGTATTGTCCGCATTACATGCGAGTCTCATGGGTCAATGATGATTCTTTCTCCCTCATTTCGCCGCGTCTTGCCCCGGCTTAACCCAGGTCGTGCGACAGGTGCAGACCAAAGGTCGGATTAGCTCCCAGGCCAATCAGCAATCAGCTGCTAGACAAGGCAAAGCAGGCAGATGCAATCCAGGTCAGAGATTAGGTGGTAACACCGACCTACTGTGGTGCGTTCAAACATATGGGTTCACTATGCTTTACACCTGCCGTCGATAGTGCGGGACAAATTACCGCAACCAGGCTCCCAGCCGACACCGTCTAGTTCGTACACGCGCTCTTACAGGCTGAACGATTAGGCCTGGTCTTGGCGCCACACCAGATACGGCTGCCGTGATGCTTCCTCATGCTTCGATACGCATGCCACATGCCTGTCTGCCTCTTTGGTCGTGGTCAGTCGAGCTGTTTCCTCGGCGCCATTGCCCTGCCTCGTCAAGTTCAGCTCACCCTCCGCCAACACTACGTACTTCCAAGCTACCGAGACTACTGTGCCGCGCGACGTTACCCTTAAGCGAATGAGCAACCCTTTCAACCTACTCCCACCCGCAGACAGCTCGGCAAGTCTTGAGTGTGTGGGAAGCAAGATTGCTGTGGCACCAGTCGAATCCACCGGGGACCCCGAGTCAGACATGAGCCCGAGATAAACAGACTGAAGTTGAGGGAACCTACCCTAAAATTCCTTCAAAACACAAAGCACATTGGTTCATACATGGCAGCCCGCCCACGGCTCACACAGGGACTCGCAGGGAACTGGGCAGATAACACAGCAACAAGGCAAGACACCCGAGCCAGTACGCTGGGCAGAGGCTACGACTAGGACGACATGGGTGCCAAGAAGACTGGGGGGGGAGAGAGAAGGGCAGGGGGGTCAGGGACAAGGGGGGGTAGGGCCCAAGTACCATAGTACTGCTCTTTGAGGGGGCCCCGCAGGCCGCGTTCACACCCAATGAGATGGACGTCATTTTTTGGTCCCGGCGAAAGCGACACAGACAGCCAAATGATAGCCCAGTTAGGGATTGCACGGCACTCCAATAGACAGACCCGAATGGAGACTTGGATGTGTACAGTGAGAGAAAGAGGACTACCTCAACTCAATCGAGTCCTTCCCTGCTGCGACCTCTCTCCTCTGTGTCTCTGGCGGCCTGTCTCTCGTCTCTCTTCTTAAAGACCCTTGCCTATTTTTGCCTCTTTTTCTTTCTCCCGTTCTTTTTAAACTCTTCTTCATCCCGTTTCCTCGGCTTAGGAACACCTCGATCCTAACCACCGCCGACTGGTCGATCGCTTCCCTCCGAAAAAAAAAAAATTAAATAAACCAAAACTTCATCGCTTTTGACTTTGGGTTCGACATACTTAACCACCACCACCACCTCCCACATGTCATTTGCAATCATCAGATCATCCTCCTTTTAACTTTTCTCTTTCCTTCTACCGGCCTGAGCTATTCCTCTGGCTTGTTACTTGGATAACTGTCAAGGCAATCTCCCGGGTTCTTCCATCCGTTCGTCAACATGGCGCAGTTCGTCTCTCAAGACCCCGGCGCTCGTGAGCACGATCTCGGCTTCGCCAAGGCCGATGCCAAAGATGGCTACACGGCGCACCGTCCCTCCCGTTCCGATGATGGTTCGGCCGACAACATGCTCGAGCAGTTGGGCTACAAGCCCGAGCTGGAACGCAACCGCTCGACGCTGCAGGTCGCCTTCATGTCATTCGTGCTTGCATCGATCCCCTACGGTTTGGCTACTACCATGCTCTACCCCCTGGCTGGTGGCGGTCCCGTCAATATCATTTGGGGCTGGCTCGGCGTGTCTCTGATCATTATCTGTGTCGCTGCATCGCTTGGTGAAATCACCAGTGTTTATCCCACTGCCGGAGGTACTTATTGACTCTCTTCTCCTTGTGCTCCGTCCCGTTGGCCTGGCGTGCTCCGCCGGGACTCCGATATGATTGCTTGCCGATGTGCCGTTCCGGACTCCACGTGCTGACCTCTTTAGGTGTCTACTACCAGGCCTTTATGCTTGCCCCTGCCAAGTGGCGCCGTGCAGCCAGTTGGATTTGCGGCTGGCTATACGTCGTTGGAAACATTACCATCACTCTGGCTGTGAATTTCGGAACCGCGCTGTTCTTCGTTGCGTGCATCAACGTTTTTGAGTCGGAACCTGGTGTCGGCGTCTTTGCCGGCGAGCCGTACCAGGTTTTCCTCATCTTCTTGGGTCTGACCCTTCTCTGCAACGCGGTGTCCTCGCTCGGTAACCGCTGGCTGCCCCTGCTTGATGTAAGAGACAAAAAATATTGCTCCGTTCTTCATTGTAGTGTGAATTGGTGTACTAAATGCTGGGGAAACATTAGACTGCCGCCATCTTCTGGACCTTTGCCGGTGTCCTTGCGATCATCATCTCCGTCCTCGTTATCGCCAAGAACGGCCGCCATGATGCCAAATACGTCTTCACCCATTTCGAGGCCAACTCTGGCTGGCCCGATGGCTGGTCTTTCATGGTCGGTCTGCTGCACGCCGGATATGCCACTTCATCTACCGGCATGGTTATTTCGTGAGTGTGCCCTTTCGAACCGCATTTTGCCCAAGGTGCTAACCTCAGGATAAGCATGTGTGAAGAGGTCAAGAACCCCTCTAAGCAGGTCCCCAAGGCGCTCGTTTTCACCGTTTGCCTCAACACTCTGGCCGGTCTCCTCTTCCTCATCCCGCTCGTTTTCGTGCTCCCCGATATCACCTACTTGATCAACCTGGCTTCCGGCCAGCCTGTTCCTGCCATCATCAAGGACGCTATTGGCAACTCTGGCGGCGCGTTCGGTCTCCTCTTCCCCCTCATGGTCCTTGCCGTCCTTTGCGGTATTGGCTGCACGACTGCTGCCTCGCGCTGCACCTGGGCCTTTGCCCGTGATGGTGCCATTCCCGGCTCCCGCTGGTGGAAGGAGGTCAACACTAAGCTTGACGTCCCTCTCAACGCCATGATGCTCAGTATGGCCGTCCAGATCATCCTTGGTCTCATCTACTTTGGCTCCAGCGCCGCCTTCAACGCCTTTTCCGGTGTTGGTGTCATTTGCTTGACTGCCTCTTATGCCGTCCCCATTGCCATCAGTCTGTTTGGTGGCCGTAAGCACTTGGAGGGCGCAAACTTCAACCTTGGCGCTTTTGGTGCATTCGCAAACGTCGTCGCTCTCGGTAAGTCCCATTTTCCGGCCGAATGTATGTAATGCCAAGCTAACAAAAAATTCCCAGCCTGGTCTTGCCTCGCGATGCCCCTGTTCTGCATGCCCACTTTCGTCCCCGTTACGGCCACGACCATCAACTACGCCCCCGCCGTCTTCGTGGCCGCCTGCCTTATTTCCGGTCTCTGGTACCTCGCCTGGGGCCGCAAGAACTACGCCGGACCCCCGAGCGAGGAGGTCCACCACTAAGCGCCCTTAGCGAGAGAGGGTCGAGTCGCTTGAGGAAATCCCACTACAGACTTTCTCTCTGTACTCGAAACGGCCGAAATGCCGTTTTGAGCTGGTTCGGACACGCCCTCAAGTTGTCCGTCACTTGACAGCGCATCACTTAGCAACACACTTGGCACAAACGTACACGACGACTTCCATGGGCCTCGCTCCTTTCACACTTGGAAACAGTGATTTAGAAGCAAACCCCATTGTTGGGTCAGTTTTGGCAGGGAGGCGCTCACGGGCTGGGGCGCATCAGGCAACGGTTCCAAAAAAAAGAAGAGAGTGGAAGGCGACTTTGTACTTAAGATGATACCCCAGTGCTTTATAATTCAACATTTGTCTATATTTTCTAGTCCTTGATGTGATTGTTTGCAAGAATTTCTGAGTGATGAACATACTATACTGTCTGTACAACACTGAGCAAATCATCACAACTCCTTCGTACGCAGCTTACAACGGCGTCATCCGAAGCCCCTTGGCACTCGGAACGTAGCTTTGGACAGGGAGTATCCCCTTTTTTTGGCCTGCGAGGGGGGAATTCCGATACGGACTGCCAAGGCACCTTCTATCCGTTCAGCCCCCCGTGGGGGATACAAACCTCACCGGGATGTTTTTTCCTTTTTCTCTTCTCTCGCTGAAATGGACATGTAGTTTTTTTCGGGGGTCATGATTTGCACGGGTTTATTAGCGGGATATGGAAGGAAATTTTTGTGATCCGCATTATTCACTGGTGAAACGCGCATTGAGAGGGATGGAGACGGAGCATAAGCAGTAAAAAAAAAAAAAAGGAAAAAAAAAAAAAAAGGAAAAGGATGTTGTGCTGTACGGTGTCGTCGGCCCCGCCTAACGGCAACGTTCTCCACTCCGCGGGTTCTACGGAACTTGTCCGTTTTGATTGTCAATGTGTGTGCATGTGTGTTTTTTTTTAGGTGGTGATGGTAATGGAAATTAAACACAGACGTCTATACGCTGATGGGGTTTTTTTTTCATACTGACTGCATTGAGAACCACTCACACCATACATGTTCTTGCCGCCCTGTTTTTTTCTGCTTCTGTTTTGACATTGTCATGTCTGTCTCGCGAGGGGGATGCTCCCTGACGGTTGACGGGTTGAACATGGCCGGTGTCCCACTGCTACAGTGGCGAGTATTTGGGGGAGATTAAGTCAGGTAAAAGTCACCTAGGTGGTGACGTAGGATACTTTTTTTTTTTTTTTTGGTCTTTTAATGTTTTTCAGTTTTCAGGTTTTTTTCTGGAAGGTTTCCGTTTTCAAGGGGGGGGGAACCGTTGGTGCAGGGATGGACGCAGAGTCATGGTTGTGCTTGTTGACTCCGCTTTGTTCGGGGCGGGTAAGGGGGGTCAGTCCAGTCACCGAGGTGAGCGGTGAGTTGGTGTTTAGTGATTGAAGCCGGTTGGTTGTGATTGGGTGCTTGTTGAACGGTCTCTGCGTTGTCATGATTTCGTGGGTTTTGCGTGGTTTGTGTTGTTATGGTGGTTGATGGACAGTGGAGAGTGGATGGCTTGACTTTGGCTCTGGTTGTTCTCTGTATGGGCATTGAAAGGTTGGTAATGATTCATTTTGTCTTTCTGGGCAGTTTTATTTGGCATTTATGCGCTGATAGGTCTCTGTCTCAATCTATGTAGTTTGTAGCGTTCGTTTGATGGTTTGTCGTCCGTGGGAATATCGGTCACGGAAACACTGCCACTTGTAAATGAAGCCTTACTTGTTTTTCCTCATTATTTTGCTCACAATTAACTGGCGACATGTTCAGGTCACGCCTGATCTTTCAGTTAGGTGACAATCTGGACGTTGAATCTGCCAGCACGTTGTGTCAGTACTTGTCAAAATACAACGCCCTCATCTGATTTTCAGATGCCTTGCTCTTTTTCCCTCCCAACTCACTTTTACAACAAAGTGAGGCAAACCAAGATTACACTGTCACCTCACATCATTTCAACATATCCTTCGTCTTCCTTTTTAGTATCCATTTCGTGTCGCCGGATTCCCATTCTCGTACGTCTTGCAAACTTTGCTAACTCATACTGCAGTTACAGGACTCTCCAGCTTGAATCTATCGGCTCGATTGCAAAACTAAGATTTTCATTCCAAAGAAACCCTTCCATAAGAGAAGCTCCCGTGATACACAGAAAAGCTGATCGCCGTCAGCATCCTGCATACATGCGCACATATCTTGCGCGTTCGCCTGTGCCCTTCGAATTTTACCTGCCGCTGTAACCGACTACGAGCATTCACCAACTTTCAGCTGTGGCCAGACTGCTGCCTTACTAAAGATGAGCGTATAGTGGAAGAACTTTCAATTTCCAGTGGCACGCGTTCATAGACATTGCGTCCCATAACCTCATCACATTTCAATCCTCCTCACCTATTCCTAGGCTTCTCAGCGGCAGGCTCAGTATGAGCCATTGACCATTGGAGTAGTACCAAGTTATAAGAACGAGATAAGCATTTGCGCCTTCGCTGCCGTGTCTTTATCCATTATTCGCCACACTTCACTTCGTTTGGCGCATATGAGGGTAGATGATCAATAATGGAAGCCACAGCCCAGTGCCAGTTAAGCTGCAGTGCATGTGAGGAAGGACCATTTTGTCATCTTCATAGAGAACCGCTGCCCTTCGATTGACTGACAGCTGATTAAGAGTTCAGTTCGATCTATATTCCTTGCTTCAAGTTTCCCATTTGCTGGTAAAATTTCTCACGACTCTGTTCTTCTGACCCTTCTTCTCATCCTCTACCTGATCGATAACTTGAGTCGCCGCAAGGTAGTCATTTCGTTACCCACATCCGTTGCCGTTCCCAATTTCGAAATATTCTCGATAAACTTCCAAAGCTACCTTTGCCTGACTCGACCCCTGAAGAAATCTAAAGTAAACGGTATGAAACCATCAGGGTCACTGAAGAATCAACAACTTCTGTATTTAATCCTACATTCAAAGGATTGTTAAGCATGTCTTTCAAAGACCTGTTCCTCCTCCTGCAAACTCTTGATAACCGCCTTCTTCACGTGAACGCCTGTTGGTTTATGACTAATTTTTGCAGAATACCGGCTCTTCGCTGTTTCATTGAAACCCCAAGCCATATCTATCATCTGAGAAAGACACTTGTGCTGAAAGATGAACTTGGCAGTCGTTTATCACATGCTTTGGCCAAAGCATGTTGTTAATTACTAGGATTCTCCGAATACAAGGACTTGTGATAAAAGAAAGGTATAGATGACAAGTTTTGGGATGATATCATCTAGTATCCGCAACGTACACGTAGTGAGTTCGCAGTCACATCCTTTCCTGTCCAAGATGATCTGCACTTTTTAGAACCTGCCCATGTTCTCATAGGATTGCTATGCTATTTTTTTTTTTTGGAAATAGAACTGTGCGTTGGGTTAAGCATCACTGGTCAGCAGGGTGTGTTTTGATCGTTCCTGCCTACTTTTTGACTTTGCTCCAAAGGATCGAATCGAGCCAACCAAGGTCCAAGACCAGTTCGGTATCACCGCACAATGAGATCAATGACGGCATCGCATCGGGCACATTAGCCTCAGCCACTATAAGCCAAGTGAACTCCGTTGAATCCCTAGACCCCCCAAGCTCATGAGGTCTGCTAGCCACTCCTTGAGGTTCGTTCCATAGATATTAGGACTTCGAAATCTGAAAAAACCTCAACATGTTTGAACATTTGGCATGTCCTTACTCGAGGGGAATTTAGAGTCATTGCTACAATCTTTCCACTTTCCAATCTCTTGAAGTGAAAATGACCGATTTAAATGAAACTCTTACCCGACTTGAACATCGATCACGAAGAGCACAGAAACACACATGTATAGGTTGGAAGTCCGCCTTGTTATAATTTCGGACGTGAAAATCGATTGCTAAGGGAAACTTGCGCCAAACGCTTTGTCGACAGAACCACCCAAGTCTCCATCACCTAACCTGTTGTCGCAGGCTAGAAGGTAGCAAGATATCACTAGAGGGGCCTTATGGCTAATTAAGGGAGCTGAAGACCCATGGAAATTGGGGCCAGACATGAATGCAGTCACCTTGGGACCATACCTGACCTCTCACTACCTACCGCAACGTCTGATATCTTCACCAGGAACAAGTGACAAAGCAAAAGCAACAAGATGAGACCAATTTATCAAGCAGTCAAACCTACAGGAATAAGCGTGGCCAGGGTCACACTGAACCAATGAGCAGCAAGCCGAACGAACATGGTCAAATAGCATTACAGTTCAATCGTCCGATCATCTTTCGAATTATGTTTGGTTTCGTGATTCTTTTTTGAAAACAATCCATCGTGAACCGATGAACTCTAACCCCATTACCTCCCCTCGCTCACTTGCGGCATCTCGGGTCGCTGTCCGCCCCGAAGTCCTTGCAAACCTCCCGACCGAGAGCCTTGATGCCCTCGACGAGCCACAGGCGATAGTTTGAAAAGACAAAAACCTTGCCGGGCGCGAACGCAAAGTTGTTGGACGTCTCCCCGAGGTGGATCTTGCCCAGGAGCACACCATCGGGGTTCCAGATGTGCACGCCGTCCCCGCAGCCAGCCCAGACGTTGCCGTCCGTGTCGGTGTGGACTCCGTCGGGGAAGCCAGAGTCGGCGAAGGCGAAGACGCGCTTGTTGGCCAGCCTCTTGTTGTCGACGATGTCGTACGCGTAGATGGTGGCGGGCCCGGTGAGGTTGGCCGCGTACGTCATCGCGCCGGTGTCGGAGATGTAGAGCGTCTTGTAGTCCGGGGAGAACTCGATGCCGTTGGGCTGGTCGAAGCCGTCGGCGACGACCTGGACCACGCCCGTCGAGGGCTCGAAGCGGTACACCTGCGTGGGCAGCTGCGACGCCGGGCGGAAGTGTTGGAACAGGCCGTACTCGGCGTCGGTGAACCAGAGGTCGCCCGTCTCGGGGTGCTGACGCACGTCGTTCACGGATGAAAAGTTGCGGCCGTTGAAGCTGATGAGCAGCGGCTCCGACTTGTTCGTGTTGGGGTCCACGGCGATGAGCTTGGAGTACGCCTCAAAGTCGCCCTCGTCGCACCAAACCTGCATCGGCGGCGTCGCCGACTGATCGGCCCCGGGAGGATAGTATGATGTCCCGCCGTTGGCCTCGGCGAGGTCTGGAAACTGGGAGCTGCGGATGGAGAGGTCGTCGAGAGAAAGAATGGTCATGTTGATGTTGTCCGCGAGCGACTGGTAATTGGACGAGATGTACATTGTGTTGTCCTTCTTGTTGTAGATGCCGCCCTCGTGGAAGGCCTGCCAGGGCAGGTCGGCGATCTTACGGGCCGTGGCATTGGCACCGATGACATCCGCGAAACCGGGCTGGTAAGAAAGCAACGAGATTTCAGGGACAGACAAGTTGGCGGCGTTAATAGAGGCGAGGTAACCCGCGCCGCCAGTCGCCAAAGCATTGAGGTCAACGTTGACAAGAGACATTGTGGCGGCTTGAAACCAAAAGGCGACTTGTTTGAGCGAGGGAAGACTGCCACTGGGAAGACCTATACCTTCGAAGAACTTGGAGAAACCGTATCGAGAGCTCTTGGAAGCAGCAGCAGCAGCAGCAGCAGCAGCAGCAGCAGCGGAAGAAGCGGGATGAGGTGCCTCTTCTTTAAGTTCCCGCTCTCCGTGCTGATTCAGTTGGTCCGCAGCCATATGATGATTACCCCCCCGGCACACAATTTCCTTCGGTGGGAACAAGATGACGTCTCAATGGGGGACCTGGGCCCCCAAGGTAGTGACCGTTGGTGGCGGCGATTTAGCGGGCGGTGGCCGGTAGATGTCGATGGGCGCGCAGAGTCAGTTAGTTAGTTACAAAAGGGAAAAAAACCCAGAGTCGAAACAACTGGTTTTCGCCTTGGCAAATGTTAACTACCCCGCAGAGGTAGCGACCCTCGTCAAGGACCCCTGTTCCGGCACTCAACACCACGAACAAAAGTCCGGCCTCGGACCTGGTGGATCTCAATGGCGCGCCATGCGGACATTTACCGGACTTTTATATCTTTAGCCTCCCTGCCACGTATCTAGTCGATTAATCTATACCGCATCTGCTTAAGCACCATCCGTTCCGGTTCGGAGAATAGAGAAGTGTGCATTTGGAGATTTAATGAGGAGTGTGGAGGCTGGGGATCTTCTCAGCCATGGTTTGGGCTAGAAGTGCCGATCTTTGGACCAAGTGCGGAGGCTTTGGATGTAACACTGACCCCACATACAAAGTTTCTGACAAGCTGCTTCTGGGTCCTCTCTTGTTCGGCATTGGTTTCTGGCAACTAAGCATAATCTTTTGTTCATCTTAAGGTTGCCAGAGAGTTTAAACTCTGCTTCAATAGATGGCAGGCTGCTCATGGAAGTTTCGAAGGATGGGGTATTCATCGGATCTCAATCTGAAAGGTGACTTTCGAAAAGTGACATTCCGGATTGATGAGTTCAGGAAAGGTTTGCTTGCGCGAGTTATTGCTTTTGGGTGGGCATGATGTTGAGGATTTTATTGGTAGACTTGCTATTTTCGAAGCGGTAAAATCAGCATTCCAGTTTACTAAAGACTGAACACGCCAGCCGTCATGGGATTAAAGGATGATCTGCTAGGCATGGTGTGTTTCGCTGATATCGCCCCGTCGATGGTGAACCCGTGGGCGATCAATTCTCAGGGTTGATGCTTGTACGCAGGTGAAATCGTGAAGCTGATTCCCTGACTTCACTGTAACCATATCGTCATCGGGTATCCATCTCAATGTCATCGGCTGGCTTGGCGATAGGAGTTTGGACAAGGTCGACATGACGCGATTCTCGTGAGAGCTTCAGACGTCTTTTCAGGAAGGTTGTGGTTCTTTCTGTCGCTGGCAAGGAATCGAGCTGCAAAATCAAATTTCCATCAGCAGTCCTTCTTTTTTGATTTATGATATTCCAAAAAAAAAAAAAAACAGAGTTGACTTTGGAACAAAGCATTCCCTTTGGCCTCGTCGTAGACATACCTGCAGTCATGAGAAAAAGCGTCAATCTTCTGGCAACAGATCTCTTGGCAGTTTGAAGATGAGCTTGCACCGGATAAGAGAGCATCAGTTTCTGGTAGGATGCCGACTTATCAGGCCCATGGACAATATTTGCGGTCAATTCGCACATATTAACTAGATTAAGAAACGTTTAATGACCAAAAGAACCACCTTGTAATCACCAAATATTTTCACTCACCACTAGCTTTTGAATCAGCGTCTAACTTTCAGTTTCAGAGTGTGGATGTCAACAAGGTACGCGTTCATGTTCAACTCTCGAGTCGACACAATGCTTTGTTCAGATACTCCTGCAAATCAAATGAAATATTCAGCAAACAATCAAACAAGTAGAAACAACACAATATGATGTCTTTGGACAATTGAATGGTGACTTCAAGATGCAGAGGTTCTTCAAACACTGGACATTGCAACCCCACCAGCATAGCATTTATGACACTTGTGATACTCGATGAACATGACAGAGCAGATAAATGGAAGCATATGTTGTAATTAATACATATATAAATTCAAATAATTGGTGACATAACATAAGAATGCTGTTTCTGAATCCCATCGTTGACAACACAAAAATGACGACCAAAGACACCGAACAATATAACACCATGAGAAGCCATGACCCGAATAGACGCGTCCTTCCTTCTGTAATGACTTACAAGTTCCAAAAAAAATAAAAACAATGACGCGCCTTCAGAGGTCATCACATCAAAGTGAAGGTGGTGACGCCCTCAAGCACCCTCAGGCACCCTCAGGCAAGGCTGGCCTCATCATCAGCCTTGCAGTCACCACCCACCGTCCCTCTCCTTCCCTCTTTGAGTATCTAGTTACTTTAATAAGGAAGTGACTTCCATAACTGACAACCTCGTTCTTTCCCTTCTCTGTCAAGATAGATTTCTGCCTAATAAAAACAGTGAAAGGCAGCCCTGCTTTCAACCCTACCTCTCCCACTCGACCGTCTCTCACAATAAAAACCCTCTCCTCTACTTCTCTTCTCCTTTCTTCTCTTCTTCTTCTTCACCCACAAACAACACAAAGATTTCTCACAAGGTCAACCCATCTCTTTCATCACCACAAACAATCAAGATCCTTTCATCCTTTGATCAACTTCATCTCAACAAGCAAGCTTCACACTTCACGAGACTTCAGGATGAAGGTAAGTACTGATTTATCCCATCTCTACGCGCTTCAAAGGTATCCAAGAAACTCACTTCTTCTCTCTTCAAGATGTTCACCGCCACCGGCATTCTTGCCTTCACCGGCATCTTGGCCACTGTCGCCATGAGCGCCCCCATCGTTGATGGAAACGTCGGCATTCATCTCCCTGGTGGCCCTCGCAAGGGTCCCTGTGGATTGGAGTGCAATGGGATTCAGCCCACCAGCGGTCCCGTCGTCGCTCCCATCATGAATCCTTACCGCGGTCCTGAGGCCCCTCCGGACTCTGCCACGACTGGTCTGGTGATCCCCGTTCTCACCACTATCATTCCCGAGCACACTCCTGGCCATGCCATCATCGTCTTTGATACCACCGACTTCATGGTTACTCCTACCCAAGATTCCTCTTCGACTGGCTCGGCGATTCCTGTCAAGACCACCATCACTTCTGAGAGTGTCTGGGTTCGGAAGCCTAGAAACGACACCTGGTGGCCTACTCCAGGACCTCGCATTTCCTGGCATCCCACCCCGAGTTTCACCGCTCCTGATCTTACCACAATTACCCCCACCCCTCAACCTTATCCTACTGACGACTTGGTCATTCCTGTCCTGATTACACTCACCAACCCGAGCTCCTGGCCCCAGGACCCTGAAGTGACCCCTACTCCCCAGCCTTCTCCTTCCGAGGAATTGGTCACTCCGGTTCTCATCACACTCACCAACCCAAGCTTCTGGCCGAAAGACCCTGAAGTGACCCCTACTCCTCAGCCTTTCCCTACTGAGGAATTGGTCACTCCGGTTCTCATCACGCTCACCAACCCGAGTTTCTGGCCTCAGGATTCTGAAGTCACACCGCAGCCTACCCTGAAGCCCAGCTTCACCACTGTGGTTGTGCGCAGCGAGTCTGTTCTCTCCTCTGACATTGGAGGAGTTACCGAGTCGGGCTACAATGGCATCGGCCTCAAGCCTCTTGAGACGATCGTTCGTCGCGGCTAGATGGTCTTTATTATGATTCTACAATGATCTGGTTTTCTTTGTGTGCTCAGTGGGAGAGACGGTATCTGGTTTGGCTCGGAGGAATGGAAGCTGGACATGGGAAGTTTCTTTTTGACACTAGCACTTTTGGGACTGGACATATTTTCCTCGTATAGAGAGGTTATGAGATTTGCAGCAGAGGCTGCCACGTATGCAATGAAATGGCATTAACACATTGGTATTTCTTTGATTGATTGTGATTATGCTTCGCAGTCATGGTAGAGTGATCCAGTTGTCTCGTTGAAGGCGTAAACATTCATCGCCAAATGCTGAAAGTTCTTTCAAAATGTTGTTCTACATGGAATGTACAAGTAAAAAAACAGTCCTACCAAAGCCTTAAGCCTTGGGCTGCAGTTCCCTTAACGACCTCAAGCTAGACGATGTACTCAGAATCTGCTTCAAAAGCTCTGGATAATCCCAACCCAATGCCTCGGCCGCTAGGAGCGTCAAGCTGGCCTGGTCGTCCCTTCCTGGCCTACCAGGGCCGGTCATATTCTGGAGCTCAAGTTGTCAGCCGCTGGATTCTCTAATGGTCATTACACATGTTCAAGGACAAGGACTCACCGGCTTCATGTTCACATCAAACAAAGCAAACATCGACTCCGACGAATCCCTGAAGCGTCGTACATCGATGCGGATCGGAGCCGTAACTCCCAAAACCTTGGCGACCCTCTCGCATTCCCTCGCAATCTGCCCATACGCTGGGTCCCTCTCCTCTTCTCGCGTGACGACCCTCGAGTTCGCAGTGACGGCCACGACGCCGTTGTACGGAGCAATGCCGTTCTGGTGGTTGAATCGCGTGACGATGGGAAGAGACCAGTAATCTCTCTGCCGGGAATTCGGCGGCATCACGGTGACCGTGGCTTCTTCTCCGGCGAGGTACTCCTCCAGCATGATTGTCGGGGACTCTTCGAAAAGGGCTTTGGCGTGTAGAGTGAGGTCTTCGAGGTTTTGGCATACCTTAACGCCGTGGCTTCCCCTGCCGCGGATCGGCTTTGCGACGATGGGGAACGGAAGGTTTTGCTGCTGGAGATCGGCTGCGAAGGCCGGATGAGAGTGGATCGTCCAGGCGCGGGGCATGGTGAAGCCGCCGGTGCGGCGGAGGAAGTTATTCACGAGTTCTTTGTCGTCGTACTTTTCGACGACGAGGGGGCCGTGGCCGACGACGCGTAACGAGTCTTGATGCGCTTCGAGCGCTTTCGAGGTCTGAAGAGGGTGAGAGGCGAAGAGGATTGTGTTTGCCCACAAATGAGTCGCTCCCTTGTCGACGGCGCTCAGGATGCCTTCTTCGGTGTCGGGGAAGCACCATTCGGAGTCTTTTTGAGGTGAGGGACTTGGGACGGGAGTGACAGCGGTGACGGCGTTGCTGGCTTGGAGGTTGTAAGCGATATCAGCTCCTGAATCTCGGTATCCTGAGATACGTTAGTGAGTGTCTTTTGACTGGGTAAGAGGTGCATGGGTGAACCAACCGCCTGGCTTCATTGGTTTGCGAACGCCATTGATCACTGGCGGTTCGATTGCCTGGTATAGAACGGCCACTCGTTTTTGTTTCTCTGCTTGCGACGCGGTTGATAGCTTGAGGGAGGCAGTGAAGCTCAACGACCGGATTGATGTTTTGGGGCGACAACAACGCGTTCGAACTACTGACTGAGGTGTCCTAAGCATAGCGCTTGTCGAACTATAAAATGAAGCCATCGTCACCTCCTGTCTGTAAAGAATAAACGTGACAGATGAATCTGAGTGATCAATCAATCTCACTGATCCCTCATCGGAGCGAGCACTTGTAAATGTATTGAAGCATACTATGACGTGACGGAGTACTCCGTCGGATGGATCCGTCACTTATTTCCGACCGAGGTTTGGGTGCCGAAAGCGGAACAATCCGCCTGATCGTCTACACGTTGATCGAGCTGAATTATCTTACAAAAACTTGGAAAAGAGAGAAACGAGAAGTAGCATGTACTCATTGATTCGTCAATTTACTCGTGCATAATACTAAGACGCTTCAAGCACCGCTGAACATGTCCCACAAACTAGGGAATAGCTCGTCAATGTCCGGCACACTCGTCGACACGAATTCTTGAAGTTCGGGTATTTCAACTGGCTGCTCGGCAACATCTGCGGTGGAAGCGGACGAGGCAAGCTTGTCAATGACCTCAGAGTACTGTGCGATGCAGAGATCTGCCAGGTCCCACGCCCTTTGACGATGCGCCTGGAGCGCCGTCATCAGCTGGCGCGCAAGCTTCAGCGACATGCTCTGCGCAAGGCCGCTCACCGTGTTCTCCGTCTCAAGGGCGCATCGAAGGAGGAATTTCGTGGTTGACGTGAACGCAAACGTCAGCAGCGTGAGCCAGTAATCGCCAAGCTGGGCTTCGTTCAGCTCCTGGACGAGCAGAACGATCTCCTCTGCGGCTCGTCGGACTTCGAGGTAGCACCGGATGGGAGCTGATGAATGGTCGGCGTGGGCAGCTTTCTCTGCGTCGAGCTCCCATTTTCGCAGGAGCAGCTTTATGTAGAGATATGCGAGACGGAGGTTTGCTGACCCTGGCATGTCGAGGCTGTCGCCGCCGCGAATAATCCTTCGGCGGAGGTCGATATCGAGCGAGTCTTCCCAGTTTGTCAGCAGAACCTCGAGATCCCAAGGGCCGCTTGTGAAGGTCTTTTCAAGGTCGTATATGCGTTCGAGGTATTTGTCTAGGAATTGCGCCAGGGCCACGAAGGCGAGGTATATTGAGGCGGCGTTGAGATCGAGGGTGCTGGCTGCAGGGCCACAAAGCTGATCAACCGTTGGCAGTGGAACGTCGTGCTGGCCGCTTCTCAACTGTGGCGGCGTACCATACGCAAGACTTGACCTGGTCCATTATTAGAACGAAAAAGGCAAACCGGATGAAGATTACTTGCCACTTGTCGTACACAAATATCGCCCACCAGATCTTTGTGCGCAACAGTTTCTCGGTCTCTGGAATGTCCCAATCTGAAGGATCACGATTAAGGCCGAGTGAGTGGGCTAGAGAGATGGCCGATCCAAGCTGGAGGCCGTTTCCGATAATCGATGTCAAGGGGCGGCCGGAGATGTTGAGAAGGATGCCGAGGAGGGTGGAAATGCCAGGCGAAAGATGAATCTCTGAAAACAGGGCATCAGTAGCTTGGTTCCAAATGAACCTGGTATCGGGACGATGATGCTCAGTGAGAGTGGGCGACTGGGCCCAATAGGTCATCGTATGAGCATAAAGACAGGCCCTCAAGGCCGGTGAGATGCGTTCTCTATCCTCTGCAAATCGTTTTTCAAAAGATCGCCTGTCCAGAAGAGGGAAGCATCTGTTGGGCTTTTCAAAAAAGCTAGAAATGATCAGCTTACAGCCGTGCTTAAAAATGCGGCGCCTGCAACCTACAGTTCAATAACATGAGGGAGAAGAGGCTCCAGAAGCTTTTCTACAACTTGGCACTTCAAGAAGGTTGGACTTCGATCACTCGGAACACCAAGAGGTTGCTTCCGCACAGTCGTGAAGCCGACAGGTTTCCTAATGCTGAAGCCGTTACCCTGATATGGACTTGTCCCGGATATCCTCGTCCGAATCCCTCGATTGAATATGGACGAATCATTGGAAAGGTATGTTGCCAAAACTTGGGTGTCCTCAATGTCTGCCGGTCCGACGATGTGTGCTTCATCTTCGCCGCCTCCTGCAATGGGCTCGGCATATTCTCTTCGAGGCGGTGAGCTCAAAGGTAAACCACCACTCAGAGGCCTCGAATCTCGTTGGATTGCTGAGTCTGCAGATTCCAAGGGTGATGAATTGGGTCGAACATTACTAGTGGTCTCCGAGGACAAGGGCCGTGTTGGGGGTGTCAAGGCACGGTGACCCAAGTCCTTTGACTTCCGGGCCTGCGCCGCTCTCCACGAAGCCTTTGGCCGCGGACTTGGACCAGCAGGAGACGGGGGGAACTCGCAAGGTGTTCCGTGGGCCCGGCATGTCAGACATGCTGCCCCGGTCTGGTCAATGTTGCACCGAGACTTGCGCTTCCGGCATGCCAGACATGCTGGGCGAAGGTGGGAGCGGTACGGACGTTCCGAGGAAAAAGGAACAGTACCGGCCTCGTTCGACATGACTTTCAACTTCGCACGCAAAATACAGATCTCTTGTCTTACCAGATCTAAGACAATGCATTTGCCGTGGACATTGTGGACATTTACCTCACATTAGGTGGAATTGTAGAGTTCCCCGCGGCGAAAGTTTACCGCGGCAAAGAGGAAAAACTTATGCACGTGCCTCTTGCTTATCAGATAAACGGACAAAGACCGAGTCACATTGTTGCTGATATTTCTTTGTGAGTAGCTCGTCACTTTTCACTTTGCTACTGCATGTTCAGTTTAGTTCCATCGGACTATTATTCAATACACTTGTCTCTTAATCCTTCAGTAGACCGCGGAAGGGCTCAAACCAATAAGATTGTTTCTGATATGCAGAGAGATGTGCAGCCACCCAATGCGCTGAAGCTTCCACCCCCCATGATGCATGCAGCTACGTGAAGACCATACACCACCTTGAGAGTTTGGAGAGATGCCTCCGCGGGAAACTCTCGCGGCCAACATGCTACAGCTATGGCCTTCTTACTGTATTGACTCTAGATAAAATAGAAATGGCGCAAACATCCCAGACGCAAATGGGTCTCAAGGCATCGACATCTCCGTGGAGAACTACTTCCTGACCCTCGGTATTCACGATGCCTTCTGCGAACCTCGAAAATACCATGGCAAACGGTAACCATGCCGCTGTGACCTCAAAGTCCGTGGGCCCTGATTTTACCCCTACTCTTTACCAGGGTGTCAACCAGGACGAGCTAGCGGCGAAGGTCGACAAGTATCTCATCAACTATGGCACCAAGTTCAACAAGGACGTCATCGTTGGCAGCAAGGGCCTGTATGTATATACTTCCAGCGGACGAAAAGTTCTCGACGTGAGTTTATTATACCTTGGTGTTGCGCGGCTGTTCTCTCTCTTTCTCACACACTCGTTAGTGGACATCCGGTCAGATGTCATGTCTCCTGGGACACGGGCACGCGGAGATTGTCAAGGTTATCCATGACCACGCCAGCGAACTAGATCACCTGTTCTCTGGCATGGTGTCCCCTCCTGTCATTTCCCTCGCTGAGCGTCTCTGCACCCTGCTACCGCCGGGTCTGGACAAAGCCTTCTTTCTCAGCACCGGCGGCGAGAGTAACGAGGCGGCAATCAAGATGGCCAAGGTGTTCACGGGCAAGTTTGAGATTGTCGGCCTCGGGGCCAGCTGGCACGGCGTCACCGCCCAGGCATTAGGCGTCCAGTATCACTACGGTCGCAAAGGTCAGGGTCCGACGATGCCAGGCATGCACATGCTGCCGGCGCCGAACGCCTACCGCTCCATCTTCCGCAATCCCGATGGGTCCTATGACTGGGAAGCCGAGCTGGAGTACGGGTGGAACATGATCGACCAGGCCTCCTGCGGGTCCCTGGCCGCATGTATCGTCGAGTGCATCCAATCGTCGGCCGGGATGCACGTCCTCCCGCCGGGCTATCTCAAGGCATTGAAGAAGCACTGCGAACGCAGAGGGATGCTCCTGATTGTCGATGAAGCTCAAACCGGCGTTGGGAGATGCGGCGACCTCATGGCTATCAACCAGCATGATGTGGTCCCTGACATTCTCACCCTCAGTAAGACGTTGGGCAACGGGCTGCCCTTGAGCGCGGTCGTTACGAGCGAGGAGATTGAGCGAGTCTGCGTCGAAAGAGACTTTTGCTTCTACACCACCCATGTCAATGACCCTCTGCCCGCAGCGGTGGGCGACAAGGTTCTAGAGATTGTCGTACGGGATGACCTGGTTGGGCACTCGAGGGAGATGGGAGCCCATCTCCACGACGGTCTGAAACGCCTACAGGAAAGGTATGGTTGCATTGGCGACCTTCGTGGTCGAGGTCTAATGGCGGGGGTTGAAATTGTCGCCGACAGACAAACCAAGAAACCGGCCTTGGACGTGGCCAAGCAGATTGGTGACAAGGCATATGAACTTGGGGTTTGGGCGAACCTCAGTAGTCACCCCAGCTTCGGAGGCACGTTCAGAATCGCGCCGCCGATAACAATTACCAGGGAGCAGCTTGACCAAGGGCTAGAGATGCTCGAAAAAGCATTCGCTGGCACCCCGGGAACACAGCCTCTGTACTAGAGACGAACGTGATAGCAGCTTCGTAATATACCACCGTTTCCTTCCCACAATGCCCGCCCATCCAAGGGTCCATTCGAAATACCTCGGAAGGTTGACGCGTCGGAGGTATAAGAAATTGCCTCCTGATCAAGGTAGCATCCGGCACGGCTGGCAATAGGACCGAGATGGGGATCCCCCGCGACTCACATTCTCCCATGTGTACCCATAAGCCGAGGGATCGTCGTGGGGCACTGGGACAAACGGGGCTTCTTCTCCGGCCTATAGCAGCAGTATCTTGGGCATGAATCTCCTGTGTTTGCAAATGCGTGGGTTTCCGCCTTACGTTTACTAGTACAAGGAGGCGCATGGGATAACTGTTGGCGAGTGCCGTGGTTGACAGGACGAGTCATCGCCTGTGCCACGCCGCCACTTTGTTGCTTTCCAGATCTGAAGAAAACCATGTCTGGAAGAGCGAGGCTTGGCAAGAAGTATGATTTGTTTGCCTTCGCAGACCCCACAAGGAGCGCGAAGGAAACGCTCGAGAAGCTTGAATCTGCTCACCAACGGTCAGGACCCTGTAAAACGATCAGATGGTCGCTCTGGGCATTTGGCAACAGAGTTGGGAACATGCAGAAGCGCCTTGGCTATCTATCAGTCAGGCTCTTCCAGAAACTGCATACTACCTCGCCTGAAAGGCAAATATTTGGAACTCCCTTTTCGCTTTCGGCAGAGGGTGAACCAAGGCATCCAGGAACATGCGGCCAGCAGCCCGGCTTGATTTCCAGTTAGGACAAGATAGACGAGATGTGGATCTTTCTCTTGCGAGTCAAGACGTTGTTTGACGAATGGGAAGAAAAAAACAAGCGTCCGATCTTCACAAGGGCTGCATAAAGACAGGGCTCACCCATGCTCATCTCAAACCATCTTTCCACGATGATTCTAGAACGCGACGTTTCATGCGAGTTAAACTAAAGAGGCTATCCCCCCCATCCATAATCGTCAACCCTTGAGTTGGCCTGCTAATTGGCGTTTGACTGGTTCAGCTCATGGTGCTAGCCACCTTAGCGCCTGATGAAGGAACCCACGGCAGATGACGATCCCGTGTAATCTTGCTCCGCAGATGAGGAGGCAGGATGTCGCGGTGGTGGAACCCCGTTACACAACATCCTCTAAGAAAGGGGGTTCTGGCAAATAAGGCAGAACAAATATAATTCTTTGTGGCGTTGGACCATGGGATTTCTGGGTTGTAGCCCGATCATGCAGTTAGAGAAGTCTTAAGGTTCAGCCCCCGGACCTTAACTCGCGAAGCATCCTTTTTACCTCTGTCGCCACAGAACGGAGCCAGCCCATCTTACAAGACGTGCCAAGTCGGGATATTAAAAAGAAAGAGGGGGCCCGCGCCAGGATTATGTTGCCGTGCGGCGGGCAATATTGAGATTGTTTCCTGTTCTTGGCCTTGGCTTTTGTTTTTTTCTGCAGAGCAGATCCAGAGGCCCAGGAAAAAACAAGGGCTTTGATGCTCAGCTTCGTGCCACGACCGTAGACTGGCTCAGTTCGCTCCCGAGCCGGCCAAAAAAGGCAACTCTACTTTATAATGGACGCGGGCCTCGTCTTGATTGCGGAAAGTGAATTGGCGCACGAGGTCACGCCGGAATACCTGGCCGAGGACTCTGGCAACACCCTAATTGGTATTTCGATTGCCTTCGCCATACTCACCACACTATTTCTCGGTCTGCGATTGTATGCGAAGCAATTTACAGCTGGCGGCTATGGCGTTGACGACTACTTCCTGGTGGCCGCTTACGTCGTTGACTTGGGCATGTGTGCCGTAGGCATAGGTAAGGCTCGCTATTCTCCGGTGTTTGGGTGAATAGGAAAAGCATCGCTTTGACTAACTCACGTTTGTCATAGTTATGGTTCGAGTTGGCGGCGTCGGGCGTCATGTCGAATTTGTCGAAGAGTTTCATCCAGCTCTGCTGGTTGGCTGGGCCAAGTGCATCCTGGCCTTTGAGATTATCTATTTCGCATCCGTGGCACTGCCGAAGATGGGCATTGTCTTTCTGTACCTGCGTGTATTCAACTGGAAAGGTCCGATGAGGGCCTTCGCCTACGTCCTTCTGGGTGTCTTGGCCGCGACGAGCATCTCCTTCATCATCACGGCGTGCTTCCAATGCATACCCATTGCGTTCTGGTGGGATCGAACCATTCCTGGAGGCAAGTGCGTGGACGTACAGGCCTTCTTTCATGCGCAGAGTATCCCAGGTTTCGTGCTGGACTTTTTCATCATGGCCCTGCCCATCAAGACTATATGGGGATTGAAGCTGCCTACTCACAAGAGGATCGCGCTCTTGGGAATCTTCATGGTCGGCAGTTTGTAAGTATCCATCCACGACTCTCTGATCTGCGTTTAAACTTACCTTGGCGCAGTGGAGTTGTTGCGTCCATCATCCGAGCGGTAACCTTCTTTGGCACGGCAGCTTTTACAGACCGTACATGTATGTCTTCATAGCTTCCTTCAAGTCGTGAGAGATACTAATGAGTACAGGGGCATCTGTCGCTCTCGTCGGCTGGAGCATCGTCGAAACGGGAACGTACATCATCGCTGCCTGTCTCCCTCACCTTAAGCCCATGATATCGCACTACACGCCGCCGTGGCTCAAGTCCATGGTCCGCAAGACGATATCACAAGCTAGCAACTCCATGTCTAAAGCCAACGCCTCCAAACACTCACATTCCCGCCGAAACGACGACGACGAGGTGGAACTCACAGCCCGATCCAAGAAACAAATGGTCGATACGGAGAGCATGGCCGGGGACGAAGAGCGTGGATATGGTATGCGGTCTCCTGCAAGCACAACAATCGAGATCCGCAAGTCGGACGATATGCCGACAGGAGATTGGGCCCAAGAGGGACAGATACGCGTCACGACGGAGGTGAAGCTAGAAAGAGTGCGAACATCGGCGTTTTTAAGAGACTAATGACCCCCCGCGGATCACCTTAGTGTTGATAGTAATGAAATCAGTTAGGTTCGAATTTATTTGGCTGTACTCGCTACTCAAACAGGGCCGTGCCGATCGACCATTGACGATTCCCGCAACTAATCATCGCATGGGTTGTCTACAAGAGTGACCTCGTGCCCTTCTCCTGGGCTGGTCCCAGCAACTCATCTGCAATGCCACGGCCGGCCGCTCTTCCGGAAAAGATGCATCCTCCCAAGAATGTGCCCTCCAAACTGTTGTATCCATGCACACCTCCGCCACCGAAACCAGCGGCCTCGCCTGCGGCATACAAACCGGGAAACTTCTCGCCGTTGGCCTTCATGACGTTGCTCTCCAGGTTCGTCTCGATGCCGCCGAGCGTCTTGCGGGTCAGTAGGTTCATTTGTACCGCGATCAACGGGCCGTGGGCCTTGTCGAGCAGCTTATGCGGCGGCGCAATACGGCTGCGCTTGTCGGCCCAGTACGTCCGTCCGTTGTTGATGAGCATCGCCTGCGCGTCCTTGGAGTAAGGGTTATCGAACTGCCCATCGCGGATCTCGATCGTCTCCTGGATATCAGCGAGATCCAGCACAGGTCCGCCACGCTGACGCTGTAGCTCATTCATGCCCTGGACCAGATCCGGGAGGTTATCCCTCACGACGAAATCCTTGCCGTACTTTTGGAAGTTTTGCACAGGTACCGTGCCCTTTTTGCCAAAGACGCGGGTCAGCAGCTGCCAAACGCTCTTCCCAGTCACGTCAGGATTCTGCTCTGAGCCGGACAGGGCAAACTCGCGCGCGATGATGCTCTGGTCGAGGATGAACCAAGTGTAATCGTATCCCGTGCTGCAAATATGCTTCAGCGTCGCTAGAGTGTCGGCGCCAGGGAACAGGAAAGGTGGCAGTCGCTTGCCGGTGGCATCGAGCCAGAGGGAACTCGGGGCAGGCAGAACGCGGATGCCGTGGTCTGGCCAGATGGGGTTCCAGTTCTGCAGTCCCTCGGTGTAATGCCACATGCGGTCGCGGTTGATGACGTTCGCGCCGACTTGCTCTGCAATACCGATCATGCGCCCGTCGACATGTGCGGGAACGCCGACGACGAAGTTCTCCGGGACCTTGGGGCCGAGGCGGTCGACGGGCCACGCTGCCTTCACGGCCTCGACGTTGCCTCCGATTCCGCCAGAGGTGACTGCTACTGCAGAACCGAGGATTTCAAAGTCGCCGACGACTTCACGGTTAGACTTGACTCCGCGGGCGGAATCATCTGGCGCCAGAACCTTTCCTCGCACGCCGATCGCGCGGCCGGTATCGTCGACAATGAGTTCGTCTACGCGGTGTCGGAATCGGAACTGCACGACACCATTCTTCGCCGCACGCTTCACCGGCTCGGCAAAGACTCTCACAACCTCCGGGCCGGTGCCCCATGTGACGTGGAAACGAGGCACCGAATTGCCATGTCCCTCCGCCCTACCCGATCCCCTCTCCGCCCATCCGACGTTGAACAGGAATCCCATGCCCCTCGCCTTTACATATGCTTCCATTTCGTCTGTCGCGAAGTTGACAAATGCCTCCGCCCAGCGCCTAGGCCACGTGTCTTCCTTCTCCCGATCGAAAGCTGCCGAACCGAACCAATCCCTCATCGCCAACTCCCTGGAGTCCTTGATGCCCATGCGACGCTGCTCTGTCGAGTCGACGCAGAAGATACCGCCCAGCGACCAGAAGGCCTGGCCGCCCAGGTTCGCCTCATTTTCCTGGTCGATAATAATAGTCGGGACGCCGCGCTCCGAAAGCTCGAACGCCGCGACGAGACCAGCCAGACCACCGCCCACGATGAGGACAGGCCGCTCCTGGAGCTTCTGCTTGATGTCGTCGCCCATTGCTGCGAAGTGCGGGCCGGAAGATGACGTGGATTTGTGCGAGCGTTTTGCCGGGGCGCGGAGGAGGATATGTCGGACGATGAGCTTTAAGAGCCAAGCTGAGGCGCCCAGGCCGGCGAGCGTGGCGAGGGTCTGGGTGGCAGTCTGGGGGACGGGGAAGGGGAGAACGTCGCGCATGTGCTGGGGCGCCATGGCCGCGGTTGAAGAGACAAATCCGACAGAAACCTCTGGTTCGTGAGGAGAGGGACGGCAAGGGTTTGGATTCTTTTGGTTGGTTAAATGGTAAACTTGGCGTGCCTTGTCTTCGGCCGTCGAGCTGGATTGAGCTACCAGGACCGAGTAAGCTGTGCCGCTGAGGGCTTGCTTATGAGAATTGCTAAAAGGAGAGACGTGGTGGGATGATTGGAATGCGGGGGAATGATCAGAGAGACGGGCAACAGGCTCTCTTTTTGGCCGATCTGGGCCAGTCGAGGGGTATGGGAGAGAGAGAAGAGGAGAGGAGAAGCAAGATGGAGGGCACTATGCGCGCAGGGGTGGGAGCAAGGTCCGCGGAAAGCCGATCTGCGACGCCGTCTGTTCCGGCGCTTGGAGCTTGGGGATGGCGCCTACGTTATGTACCTGAAGTCTTATGAGCTGTTGAATCCCCCTGTGAACACAGAAAGGCTATGTATGTCCCTATGCCGGATGCGGGTCGATATGTGGCAACATTGTATTTGGCAGCTGAAAGGGACTTCTTCGCTGACCGAGACGGATGAAAAGACCTAGTTTCCGCCTCGGCCGAGCGACAGGGTAGCTAAGTAAGCTACAGAACCAAATCAGTAGAAAGGTAGCTAAAACACTGAGCTGCAGGGGATAGTTGTGCTACTTTGAGTCAGTCAGATAAGGGACCCTTGTTCCCCCATGCCATTCTCCATACTATTCTCCAGCTATCGCCTATTCTCCTCGCGCGGGGTATCATTGTCCGAGGACACCGGATGTGGATGCCTCGGCTCCCCGAGCAGCGGGCAAATATCACATTCTCATCGTATGTTTGTCTTTACGTAGCAATCAGAACTGCTGTTCATCAGATACTCATCAGACATTTATCAATTATGGTCTCATACTAACAGCCAGGTGTTCTGACATGAGCTCTATTCCTGAACCTTCACAACAACCTTGCCGAAATGGCCACCGCTGTACAGATACCGCAATGCCTCATCCGCCTCCTTGAAGTCGAACACGCGGTCGACAACAGGCTTGATACCCTTCTCCTCGTAGAAGCTCACCATCTCCTGGAAGCGGTCCCGGGGTCCATTGATAAGACCCTTGAGCGTGACGGTCTTTCGCAGCGCCAGTAGGTTGACATTGGTCCGGTCCTCTTCATCATCCACCTTGCCCGAGAGGTATCCAATGCATGCAATTGTGCCGCCGAAGCCGATGGCTTCAAATGAGCGACGCAGCGTCTTTGCGCCGCCCGTCTCGAGGATGATGTCAGCACCCTCACCAGATGTAACTTTGTTCACCGGCTCGTCCCAGTTCGGCGTCGTGCGGTAGTTAATTGTGTGGTCAGCACCAAGCGCCTTGGCTTTCTCAAGTTTGCTGTCGGAAGACGATGTGATGATGACTGTGACATGCTGTCAGCTTTCAATTTCTCACGTCAGAGCCTCACATTGTTTTTTTTCACTCACCCGTTGCGCCCGCTGCCTTGGCAATCTGCAACCCTGAGATCGCGACGCCACCTGTGCCCTGGCAGACAACGACTTCACCCTTTCCACCGGGCTGACCCAATGGACGGAATTGGTTAATGGCCATCCAAGCCGTCACCGCAGCAATAGGCAAGCAAGCGGCCTCCTCATCGCTTAGGTGCTTCGGCGCCTTAACGAGTCCCGTCGTAGGGAACACACGGTACGTCTGCAGCACTCCCTCCAAAGGGAATCCGAGACCGGAAGTCATATCCTTGGCCTTGATCTGGCCCGTAAGGTGTGACTGGTTAAAGGTAGAAACGACGCGGTCGCCGACCTTCCAGTCGCTGACTTCATCGCCAACAGCCGCGATGGAGCCGCACATGTCGGAAGCAGGGACTAGAGGGTCATGGCCTTCGGGGTTGATAGTCTTGTGATGGCTGTAAAGGCCCATGACCACCTCGGTGTCACGGTAGTTGAGCGAGACAGCATTGATCTTGACAAGCACTTCACCGCTTCCAGGCTTGGGGAAGGGCCCCGTTGAACGGAAGAGCTTATCGAGACCGTCCTGGCGAGTCTGCCAACGCTGAACTTCGGTTTCGCCCATGGTTGCTGTGAGTGATGTGTGTGATTTGTGATTCTTACTAAGATGAGTGAATAAGTGAGATGCGAGTGAGACTTGTGTGAGACGATAAAAAGCAGCACATTTGAAACTGGGGATATCTCAAAGCAAAATCGGATGCTGGTGCTGGACTAATGACGCACACATTAGAAATCATCTTCGGCTTGTCTCCGCAACCTAGTGGACCGGGCGGGGCTCCGGGCGTGGGTTCTAAAAGCCTCTTAGCGGCCCTCACGGCACCGAATCCATAATGCCGGGAGCCCCGGGGACTGAGTTTTCTCACCGAAATACACTTCATGATGTTGATATTGAGACGTCATTTAGAATCATACGTCTAGTTACGTAATCGGGGTGATTCGTACCAAGCCGAGACCACGACTCACATACCAGCCAATGGGTTGTAAACCAGAATCTTGAACGACAAATAACCAGAGTTTCTATGCCATAAAGGAAAGTGTATGTGTATTTCCATGAAAGAAGTATATACAAAGAAGCCCAGCTTCAATTGAAATTGGTTGCTGAGACAAGAAGTAAAGCCATATTCCAGATACAGCCAAGTCAACCAACTCTTTAAGCCCGCATTCTACGTCTCAGCTTGCGCTTGCATGAAGACTCAATCTCAGCCCTGTTTGTCTCGGTACCGCTACCGAGCAACGCAAATTGCCCTTCGGCCCAATCAGCCGTACGTGCACCAATCTGCTCGTTGTTGGTGGGGACGAGGAAGTCGTTTGCAGGAAGACGACCATCAGCCGCCCGGGGACCAGTGACGGCCTTAGTATCAACGCTAACAAAACTAGCATCAGACCAAGAGTCTCCACCATCCCAGGAGTTGCCAGTTGACTTGACACCATCGACAAAGTAGTACTGCTCATCAGTGTCTGTGGTGCCGGCATTCTCAGCAGCAATGTTCTCGGTGTACGTCGCAACTGAAGATCGCGTGTTGAAACCCTCCTCGCCATTTTTGTAAGCTGTGTTGCGCTCAAAGGTCATGTCGCCCGGCATGTTGTTATCCGTGAATCCACGTCGCTTGTTGCCGAAGGAAATCGTGTTCTTGACAACGTGGTTGACAGCCGTACGGTCCGATGCGGAGCTGCCGCCTCCAAGTTTGACACCGTTGCCATCGGCTTCGTGATCAGAGCCCATGTCCCAACGGTCGAAGCCATTCTCAAATACAAGGCAGTCTAGAATGGTTACGGGGGAGCCAAATTGCCTAAGCAGTCAGTAACATGCAGAAATACAGATATTGGGGATGACCAACCAAAGATCGATGCCGTCATCCGAGTTGTGCCAGATACGAGCGCCACGGATGACATTGCCATCACCAGAACCCTCCTTCAGCGAGATTCCGTCGGCGCTCTTTCCATTCTTTCGAGGGTCAAAGTTGAAGTAGGAGTCAAGGAACACAATCTCGGTGTTGGAGATGTCATTCTGGAGGTGAAAACCGGACTCGTAGTTGGTGTGGGTTGTGATTCGCTCAAAGTAGTTGTTTGACGAATCCTCGACGTAGACACCGTAAGGACCTTTGGTGAATGTCAAATTGAAGAAGCGCCAATAGTTGGCGCCACGGAGCTGGAAGATTCCCCGCTTAGAGCTGGGCAAAGATCCCTCATATTCTTCTACGGGAGTTCCAAAGAGGTTGTCACCATCAAAAATGACTTCCTCATCCTCGTGCGCTCGAACGGTATAAGGGGAGCTCGAAGTGCCGCTTTTGCGGAAAGAGATGTTATCAGAAGGCTTGTAGGTACCGCCACGGATATGAATGGTGTCTCCAGGGCTGGCAGCATCGATGGCGTCTTGCATTGACAAGTAGGGAGAGTCAATAGAGCCGCTACCGCTGCTAGATCCGTCGGTCGCGACGAAAAGGTCAGCCGCCAGGGCGACCGGAAGAATGGAAACTAAGAACTTGAGAGTGTTCATGGTTGAGCAAAGAAGCATGAAAGGAATGGATAAACGAGAATAGGATGCAGAAGAAAGTAATCTGGATGTCCATTCATAGTGATCTCAACGCTTTGGCAAGTGCGTATATATAGCTGTCTTGCTCATAAAGCTAGACAGCTCTCGTAACTCCTGTTCGCTAACATGGGGAAGAATTTCCATCTATCCTCTACTCGCCCAAGGAATCCGTCTCCGCAAAACTGTCGCAATGACATCGCAGTGGATGGTATGAAGCTCAAAGGGATCACCAAAACTACACAGGTTCTAGGAACCAGACCCATACCAAGCATCCGCATTAATTTCAGTTCCTAGATTCCGCCATCTACACGTGGTTTAATAGCTGCCTTTATTTCCTGTGTGGAAATAATTTACCGCAGCTGACGAGTCTAGAGTAGCCAAGTTCCTCTATGTGTCCGACTTCCGTCTTGTCGACTTGGCATGTTGCTTAGTATGCCAGAATCTTGAACCCACAAAAACGGTCTCCGAATAGAGGGTCAAGCTAGACTTGACATGTTCATCCCAGGAAATGATTGACAGCACGTATCCGTCTGAAAAGACTCACCTTTCCCCACTTTGAAAGCATTTCAAACCAGTTCAGCGGATTACTGGTAACCTCGTGCCACATATGAGAAGGGTCATAAACACAAATGGAAGAGATACTCTGAGCCAGCATTTCCACTAGGCATTTCGGAAGTTGTCTTAAAAAAACAAAACTGGACAGACAGGTGTCAAGGCTTGAAGAATTATTTCTAGCCTCAACGAATTGCGTAATCCCTAGTACTGCGGTGATCAAAACCGTTTGGTTTTAGATTCTTTGCCGTGGACTTGAACTAAATAATCAAGTCCTACAAATATCTTTCCAAGACAACCCTTGCATTAACTGCCCCCAAGCAGGCTCCGCCAATTGAGGCACAAGCGTTTGTCGCAAAAACAAAGCTCCAGCTGGAAACTCCAACATTAGCTTGAGGCCGTCTTTGTGGGACGTTTACTGCCCGTACCACAAACGAATATCATTACATGTGCACTGGCTATAGTCAACACCGGTAAGCAATGGCTGTTGCACAACTTATGGCAACAAATGAATGCCTCAATTGGCTGGCAGACATCTGGCATAGATGGTATCAATTCTCAATCATGATACCTCGATTCATCAACATGATGAGAGCATCGCCGAATTTTTGATTCAGGTATTTGTGGACATGCCTGTGAAATAATCATCCCAATAGCCATCATTCGTTGTATTGTCATCTCAAACTCTTTACTGTCTAAAACCGTTGAAAGGGAGATCGCTGTTGCATAAATGGTGGTAGCCTGGTGGATTCTAAGAAATAGGTTCAAACCACTTCATGATTTTAAATGATTCTAAAACATAGCCTCGTTCCATGTCATCAAATGGAATACATTTATCCCTTCCATATGGGCTTCCAGACTATTATTAAATGCCATTCTATCTCTTGTTTCCATGAATGGTGCATGCATGCACTGCATGTTTCAGCCACACCCGTTTCTTCCTGTGTCTCCTCAATGAAACAGGATGGGCCGAAGATGTTTCATGTACATGTTTGTTGATTGCTTGATGCCGCAAAGAAGAAAAAGACGGCAAGATATTCAAGTAATCATGTTTTTATCAAAGTCAACACAGCCTCCTCTAACCAACAGATTCCTTGCTGTTTCTCAACCCTTCACGTTCCCATGCCTCCAACCGGGCCGTTTGTTTCTTATCCTTACTCATCTTCTGACGCAGACCTCAATCAAATAATGGAAAAACATGTCATCCAAGTATTTTGCACAATCTTGTAGGTAATGCGAGAAGCAGTTGATTACTGCCAGTCCTGTGTTTGTGGCATTCAAATAACATATATCTAAAGACTTCCAGACGCCGCACATACGGAACCGGCGTAGGTGTCACCCCCACTGTTCTCCGCACGTCACCGGAACTTGTTCCGGACTCCTCCTAGTTCCTCCGTGGCGTCCGTGGCATGCGAAGTTGGCATCATGGCTCGAACCCCACGTAGGCTTCCCCCTTACAGATTTCTGCGGCGCAGCACTGAGGATTTACCAAACCTCAAATAAGCAACGCTCGCCTCCCGTGTGCCCAAACAAAGCTTCTGCAAACCCCCTGCAACACCTTCTCATCTTTTCGTGCTTCCTGCGGGTTGTGCCTCTGGATTGATCTCTAGATCGGCGCTGAGATCGTCCGAGGATGCGGTCTATGCGCCGAGACAGCAACGGCAAACCTTGGCGGGCAGTGCGAGTGCATGTTCCTTGAAACTCCAACACCTTCAATCACCTGTCACGCCAAAACAGCGCGAGCGGGCGAGCGCCCAAGCTCTCGAGCTCCTTTTTGTGTCGAGATACGTTTCGCCGGTACTGCCAAGATGAGTCCGTCCAGTCTGCCCAACCCAGTGCTCTGTCCACTTCCAGCTCCCTTTTCTTCAAGCTTCCCCTTCGTTTGGCTCCATTCTGCCGTGTGTTCCCAATTTTTTTTCAGTTAGACCAACATTTTTTTATTTTTTTTTCTTTGAGGGAGCTTGTCCATACAGCGGCGAGTGTATCCTGATTGATCATGGCTACCGCCAACGAATCTTACCATTCTCAGTCTTGGGGTCCCCTTGACACGCTTCAAGCTTTTCCCAGTCCATTGGAAAAGCCTGTTCCTTACTTCATCACTGCCTTCCTCTTATTTGTTTTCTACTTTTCCATCCAGCAAGAGGAGTCAACACCCAGCACCAATGTGCCCTTGCTCAACCCCAAGAGTCGCTGGGATTTTACAGGATTGAAGGTCAAATGGGATTTTGCCATCTACGTCCGTTATCTTGTGCTCTGGAGGGCCAAGAAGAACCCCGATGAGGCTTACCAGGTTATGACGGATTGCGGCGAAATGACCGTCTTGCCCCCGGTCCCGTATGCCAACGAAATTCGCAACCATGAAGACCTCAGTTTCGACCGTGTTCTTGACAAGGCAAGTCAGAATTTGAATGCTGAACAATACCCCGATCGACACACTAACACGACTCTACTGCAGAACTTCCACGCCCACCTGCCGGGATTCGAGCCGCTCAGAGAGGCAAACCCCGACAAGATGGTTCTGAAGCATGTCATCCGGACAAGACTTACTCAATTCCTCGGTTAGTTAAGGAGCATCTCTGAAGAGTTCTGAAAACTGACATCAGCGCAGCCAAACTGACAGCTCCGATGAACGACGAAACGACGAGAGCCCTTGATGACGTAATTGGCAACGAGAAAGGTATACTATTTCAGGCAAACCTTTTTTTATCATGTCCCATACTTACCATCAATAGAATGGAAGCCGCTGGTGATCAAGGAGAACATGGTCAAGGTTGTAGCTCGTGTCTCTACTCGCATCTTCGGTGGCGAGCAGCTCTGCCGCAACGAGAAGTGGCTGAAGATCACCTCGGAATATGCCAGAACCAGCTTCTTTGCCTCTGAAATCCTCCGCGTCTTCCCCAAGCCCCTGCGATGGATTGTCCACCAGCTCAACCCTTTCAGCCTCAGGCTCCAGAGCCAGGTCAAGGGAGCTCGTCAGATCATCAACCCCATTGTGGAAGAGCGCCGCAGGGAGAAGAAAGCCGCCGAGGATCGCGGAGAAGACGAGCCTGAGTACAACGACTGCCTTGAGTGGTGTGAAGAGTCATCTGAGGAGGGCGTCGCTGACCCCGCTGTTGTCCAGCTGGCTCTCTCTTTTGCTGCCATTCACACCACGTCTGACATGGTCACACAGGCCATGATTGATCTCGCAAAGAACCCCGAATACTTTGAGCCTCTCCGCACCGAAATCATGGAGGTCGTTCGCACCGATGGATGGAACAAGATGGGTTTGTACAAGATGCGCCTCCTTGACTCTTTCTGCAAAGAAGTCCAGCGCATCAACCCCATCAGCATGGGTAAGTGGTTTTCAGTCTTGACTATTGTTCTTGTATTCTTGCTAACAATTCCTAGTTGGAATGCACCGTGAAGCCACCAAGCCCGTCACACTCTCCAACGGCATCGAACTACCACAGGGAGCCCGCATCGCTGTCAGTTGCCAACAGATGTGGAATCATAACATTTACCCGGACCCAGCCCGCTTCGACGGTTACCGCTATCTTCGCCTGCGTGAGAGACTTGGACCCGGTAACGAAGGTGCCGCTCATTTCGTCAGTACTACGCCCGAGCATCTTGGTTTCGGCCACGGTCAGCATGCCTGCCCCGGTCGTTTCTTCGCTGCCAATGAAGTCAAGATTATCCTTTGCCACCTCTTGGTGAATTACGATTGGCGTCTGGCTCCCGAAGTCAAGACCAGGACCCAGACCTTCGGTCTTACCAACGAAGTCGATCCGAAGGCCAAAATCGAGATCCGACGAAGGGACGTGGACGTGGGCGTCGGGGCCTAGATGTGAAGCTCTGTGCGCGCGCTAGGGTCGCTGGGTATCCTAGGACACACTGGTTCGCGTGGTTTCCTCTTATCATCGGGTTTGCATTCGGTTTCAACTGGGATGATGTAATCAGTGAAGGTCAGGCAATGGTCATAGCAATGAAGCCACTCAGATTGGAGCTCCTCGGCGTTCAGTTCATTTTATCGATTTGGCATATTTCAAACCCACGGAGAAATTGTATCATCGCTTCTTTACTCGATTTTATCAGGTTTTAGTGATTGCATAGAAATATGATCTGTTTCGTAAACTCTTTGGTAAAGTTTTGATGAAAGCTCATTGCTCATCCGGTTTCTTCAGCCCGACTTGTCTTTCGTCTGGTCCTCGGGCCGCGACAGAAAGCATTAACTGCCACGTTGACCTGGGAAACAGCTTTTTCTGGTATCAGACCTGACCCTAACTCTTTTGATGTAATGGAAACATGGAAGAAGGTTTTGGCGGTTAATAGTTGTTAGATTTATGTGAGCCAATTACACCGTCGGCCAACAACGTTGTCATCCTTTCTGTCGGTTGGACTTCGAACCTAAATCGTGTGGACTCATCATCGGCGGAGATCAAATCACCCTTAACCTTATGAGTTTTGTTTTGTTTCATGCAGAAATGGCTCTAGACTTTTGAGACCATGTTTTACAGCGATTCGAAGCCGAGAGCCTGGCAAGCTACTCCTATCCTATCGCTGGGCCGCTCACACGATGTTGACAACGCCGCATCGGCTGTGCTCAGATGACGATACTCGTTAAACGGCCATCCCATTTTTAATAAGCTTTCGTTTATTTACTTGTTGTTATCATTCGTATAAGAGTGCGTCCTTCTCAAAGTTGCAATAAACTCTAGGGGATAGAAAGCATAAAGAATTTCAGCCGGCTCTTTTCTACCTTGAGATTTCATACTAATGAAACTTCTTATAGAGTGTTCATGGCCTTCCCTCAATATCGACAATGAGATGATTCAAGTATGCCTGTAAAGAATGGCTCATATGATTGAATAGTATTCAGAACAAACTAAGTTGACAAACTTTTGGAAGCCTCTGCGTGTTTTAGTTCATCCAACAAATCCCCGAAACCTTGCAAGTCATACTTCCCGCTCACATCTTTAAAGTAAGGCAATTGCTCTTTGAGCCAAGGACCCTCATGACCAGCGTCGGGAATGGCCATGCCCGCTTCTCGAGCAGCTATTAATGGCGTGAAAGCAATCATGGCCAAGCTCTTTGCCTTATCTAGGTGTTCATTCTCAGCTCCGCTCGTCTCATTCCCAACAATTCTGTCCCAAGCGGTCTCTATGTCTGCTGCAAGCTTGTCCCAGTCTGCTTTGGTGCGATTTGGAGATGTCCGAACAACGCCCATAATTTTGTTCGAGTTGCTCGAGCGCGGCTTTCCGGCCATGAAGTATGTCCCAGCAGGAGCTTCTGCATCCTGCTTGATGAAGTTCACGTGTACAAAGAAAGCGGGTGTTTTAAAGGCACTGCAGTGTAACTTGGTTATGGCAGCAGCGATCGACTGACGCTGATCCATGGTGAGAGACCATGTATGATGTACCTGGTAGAACGGCATTGTAATTGAATTGAAGTGCGAGGCCAGGAAATAATGTGTTTTGATGATGCTCGCAGGTCTGAATGGTTCGGGAAGGAGCTTGTAAGTATGAGCGGGCAGCTGCCCAGCCTTTTATGCCTTCAGTGGTAGTGAAATACCTAGGCTTGATCAGTAATCGAGCCAAGGTGTGTGAAGCATGCAGTTTCTCAGAAACTGTCAGCTTTTAAGACGTCACAACAATGATGTGTATGCGGGGTAGTTAGATTCTATAATTATTGGACGACTAATGAACGCCTTGAGTGCTGATTCGTAATTCTGTTTGGTCTCGAGTCGACAAGATCCATAACAGTGAGGATTTCTAGTAATGCAGTCCGTAAAACTTCCCCAGAGCTGGTCTTCACGTTGGAGGTAACCGGATTTGAACAACGTAAAACCATATAAACAAAATCTCGGCCAATAACGTAAAGGTGGAGAGTCTGATTGTCCCTAGATTTCGCTTGAGTCGCGTCGGATGATTCCAACAAGAAGGGTTACCGATAAGGCCTTGACACAGTCATACATGCTCCAGGCAATAGGAATGAGCATGCTGTTGAGTATCTGACTGGTTATGGCAGCCACTCTTGAAATAGCTGACACGGAGGCAACAAAGTAATAATGGCTAATTGACCGGCCAAGTGCAAATACAGGAGTGACACACTACAAGCGGTAATACTTCTCAGGAAACTGCCCAGTGACATCGGCTAACACCTGAATGGCTACGAATCTCGCCTATGGAAGTCATCAGTCAGCTAAAGAATCAATGGCATCGCTGACGTGCTGAACTTACATTCTTGCGGTTTCCAATCAACCCGAAACCTGAAAAGTAAAGGTTGGGATCTATCGATTTTGATTAGCCGTACTGGTTTGGACAGCCAAAATATCAAGCCTTTGATAGAATACTCACGTCCAGAAGACACTGTTAGTCCTGGTATCTCACCCTCTTCGTCAACCCCCAACATGCTCACATTCACCAACTTTCCCGCCGAAGCCGCGTCAAGGAATCCGGTTTCCTTGAGCTTTTGTGGTAGATCCAGAATCTTATACCCTGTTCCAAGCACAACTCCTTGAACCTCAGTAAGTCTCTCCTCTCCAGTCTCTACATCAACCACCACGACCCCCTCTTCTTTGAATTCTTTCGCCTCCCCTCTTGAAATTTTGATCTTTCCGTCAAAAACCAAATCGAATGTTTTGGGATGATCAACGTAGAATCCCTTTCCCCTTTCCTGCAATAGCTTCGTTATAACACACGGCTCTCTATCGACCAAGTATCCAATCCCCTCAAGTGCATCACTTCTCTCGCTGTTTGCTGAAGCGATGCCCTTCATGGCCCCTCTGAAAATATCTCGCAGAACTCCCGTAGGAAGACTCCCTTCGAGGAAATCTGCAGTATCAACAGGGATGTCTCCTTGGTACCGCATTGCTATGATGTTTCCTATTGTTTCGTAATCGAAGAGAGCCGTGGGACTGCGCTGTAATAGCGTCACGCTCTGCACTTCGCGATCTGAGGCAAGATCAGCGGCCACATCATGCGCCGAGTTTCCTGACCCAACAACCAGGACGTTCTTGCCACGGTACGCCTCAGAATTGCGATACTCTGCTGTGTGCTGTATAGGGCCTTTGAATAAGCCGCTGTCCTTGATCTCCGGGTATTTAGGGTCCTGTTGCCCAAAGACGAACCCTGTCGAGAGAATCAAGTTCTTTGCTTCAAGCTCCATTTCTTTTCCCTCTAGGACATCTCGCACCTTGACTCTCCACAATTTCTTTCCCTCGTCCCAAAGGTTACTCACAACTTCCACTCCTCCAAAGAATGGTAGCCGTAATTCCTCGACTGCGGAGCTCAAATATTGTGCCAGTTCGCGGCCGGATAGAAATTTAGGATACATGTCTGGTACCGGAAACCGCGGCAGCTGAACCATGTTGGCTGGGTGGTGTAGCCTAACGCTTTCGTATCTTTTCGTCGACCAATTCCCACCAGCTTGTGTCTCCATGTCGAACATCACAGCATTACCACCTCCGGAGTCGATCATAGTCGCAGTTGCGATACCGTTGCAGCTGCCGCCTACAATGACCGCGTCTAGAATAGCACCGGTTTCAATGCTAGGAAGACCCTGCGCTTGAGACTTTCCTCGTTGAGACTCCTTAATCAGCGACGGGGTTGTCCGTGGAAGGGATATGAAAGGCGTGTCTTCGAGCTCGATAGCATGTGTTGTTAGAGTGTATATCTTCCAACCCTTTCCCTCGGGGCCGGGGATAAGCCTCGCCAAGCCAATGCACTTCAACTTTGGATTGTCTATGTGAAAACGAAAGGGCACATCGAGTGTACCGTAGGCAGGACTCATGCGCACCCACGCCGCCTCCATTGTCATATCGTCATCTGTCTCCATTGAAAAACTTGAAGGTCGACGAGATTTGGACAGAGTTCTCCAGGCGTCAGCGACAGATTTGCTAGTATGGAGCGTCCGCTTGTCGAACGTTAGTGTCAGATAGTCCCTCCAGAAGCATTTCTCGGTAAAGAGGTTCTCGAAGGTGATCCAATCGCTGTTCGCAATAGTTGAGGAGAATGCCTTGAGAAAAGAGACAGCTTGTTCAGCTACATTGAGAGATTTTTCTCCTTCAAAGGGCGGGATGGCGGGGATCCATGACTGCAGGTCATCAACTGCAACGCGAGATCTAGGCTTTGCTTGTGCCATTTTTCATATACTGGCTGAGATAATCTGGTAATAAGGTGAAAAGCCTGATCAGGTTGCACTGGAATTGAAAGTCGTTTCGAGCAAGCCACATAAAGATAAGGCTAATGTATTGTTTCTTTTACTATTATTGAAATCTCGGGGCATTTCTTTCTTAAATAGAAGATGTTTTCCCTGTTTGCGACACTCTCGAGATAGATTGTCTAAAAGGATACCTCGGACAATTGTTGAAGCCTGATCATTGATACGGCGGTAACAATTGCCAATTTTGAACCTTAAACGAATGTACGGAGATTCTGGTCAAAGAGAGTTTCGTGGGTTCCTCGCAGATCTAGGGTATTGATATGCGGGTAGCTCCGTGTACCCAGATGAACATCTCTGGATGTACGGAGTTAGCAGGTTCTGACTTGCCGTTGTCCTGTTAATGAATGAACCAACTAGTTTTCCCCGCGTGCGCAGCGGTATACTGTTTACGATTTCATGCGCATCTCAAATTCCACAAATATTGATGTTCCATTCATTGGCCCTTCTTTTTCTAATGCGACAGGACTTCTACGCGCTTTCATTACTAGCGTCCACAGCCACAACCGCGAAGGACTTAAGTCCGGGTCATGGGGCTGGACTACTCCGTGGACCTTCAACAACAAGGTTAGGCATAAGGAGATAAGAGGCTGGGCGAAATCCGAATCGCGAAGCGCACAGTTGTTATGATCTTGAAAGATGATCATTTAGTTTGTGAATTTCACGCGCACCACCTCGGGCCCGGAGATAGGCATCAGGAGGGTCTGTATTGTCCTACTCTGCCAAAAGCTTTACCATCACGAGCACGCGAGTTAACAGCCCTTTCAGCTTTCGATTCCAGTATTTAAGTAGGACCAAGGTAATACTTAATTGCTGTAAATGTTCAACCCACAGACACACAGACCCGAAACACCCGTGCATTTCAAATTTTGAATCAGCCAAGCCACATCAACTAGCCATGGACGCTCAAAAGATCGTTCTCATTACCGGCGCGAACACCGGCCTCGGACGTGAGGTGGTTAAGGCGTTGCTTCAATCTAACGTGGTTTACTCAATTCTTGTTGGCAGCAGAAACCTCACCAATGCCGACAATGCCATTCAAAGCCTAACGGCCGAGTTCCCAGCTTCGAAGAGCGTCCTGCATCCACTTCAGGTCGACATCGAGGACGACAAATCAATTAACCAAGCGTTCCAAACTGTCCAGGAAAAATTTGGCAGGCTTGACGCCCTTGTGAACAACGCAGGTATGTTGAAATTTTGCGTCGAAATGTGCAGTTTCTGATTTTTATTTCTATCAAAGGTGGCCAGTTTGATCAGTTGGCCAGGGAGGGCAAAATGACGGTTCGAGAAGTCTGGAACAAGACTTGGAACGTTAACACAGCGGGCACTCATATCATGACTGCAACTTTTGCTCCGCTGTTGCTAGAATCCAACGACCCGAGGCTGTTGTTCATCACCAGCGGTACATCCACACTAACAGGGTCGGAGAATCCTGCATTCCCTTTCAACAAGCCACTCGCCAAGGGATGGCCTAAAGTGACCACCCCTCAAACGAACATCCCCGCTTATAGATGCAGTAAGACGGGAATGAACATGCTTATGCGGTAAGGAATATTTTTTCTTCTCTTAACGAAAGCTTTGGCCTTTCTTTCTGGACATCTAAGCTGATTCACAGTAGGGAATGGCACAGAACGCTGGTTGAAGATGGAGTCAAGACTTGGTGCATATCTCCAGGTTATCTCGCCACAGGTCTCGGCGGCAGTCTTGAGACTAATAAGAAGCAAGGAGCTCTGGATCCTGCGATTGGAGCTGGTCTTATTAGAAAGGTTTTGGAAGGCGCAAGGGACGAAGATACTGGCAAGGTTGTGTCTAACCAAGGTATCCAAGCGTGGTAGTTTTCGCCACGGCTTTCGATTAGGAGTCTTTGGAGGATAAAGAGACATCCAGTGTAAAGTTTGCGAGATTTCGACTGGCCTGCTGGCCGAAACGTCAATAGACCGAGACGATGGTAATTGGCGCACTCGCTAATACCCTCTATAGTCCAAATCAATCCCATGAAAATGAGCCGATAGCCCAGTTTTGGCACCTAGTTTTAATCTCCTTCTTATCTGCAGCAGGGATTTTGACCATCCGCAGTTCAAAACTTTCTTTGAATTACAACTGCAGCAATATCAAGTTCTTGGAATACAACCGCGATAAGAAAGTAAGGGGTAGTGCCAAAGTGGTACAACAGAAAGGCTCAGTCGGCTTCGAGTTATTCTGATATTCTGACAAGCTCCGTGAAGTTCAACCAGTATTTTTTATCTTTGGTTCATCATGATGTTTGCGCTGGACAGGTTATAGGCTCGTGGGCCATTTCAATACAACAGCGGGAACAAGTCAGAAACCATATAAGATGACTGGGGCTTTCTTAACATGTCGTGAGTTGGTGAATTTCTCAAAAGAACGTTTAAGCACCTTGCTGATTACTTTTAACCTTGTATAAATTGAATGATTAGAAGTATGGATGAACTCGTTAGTTTAGTCTTGCGACGTTGCCGAAGCACCGAACAAGTGAATCAACCAATGTATTAAGAACTTGTGCGACAAGTCTTGACACATTTTCAGGTCTGAATTTCTCCATTTTCATTGCTTTTTCGCCCTCAAGATAACTGTCACACGGACCACTGCATATATCGGGGCATGCATTCAACCCATGCACCCGGCTATTGTTTCCCATATAAAACTAACGGGGATGTCATTTTGTGCATGAAAACCTTCAAATCGGTAATTACCGAATAGACGGTTATATAATCAACCCAATAACCCCTAGACAGTCTCTAATGAATGGAAGCATCTTTTTTTACCCCATAAGTGGTGGGCAAATTGACTGCGTGACAATAACAAGGCCCGGTTTTGGTTGTATTTAAGGTGGTTTAAGTTATAGAGTCAAAAGCATATTATATTGTTAGAATGGTCCTGATCTACAGGGATTAGTCGCAAGAATGAAGCAGTTGTCGCGATTATGATTAATTTCTTGGCATATTCTTTCTTGTCAAACTCTATTAGAGGAATGGGCTGCCAAACAACAACGAATCCGCAAAATCTCCACAAGACAATGTGTCAGTAGGACGGCACAATGACAGCACTCTGACGAAAGACAGCTTTGATACATTGCAAGGAGGATTCTCAGGGGCTGAAAAAGTATTTGTACTGTTAAAGAGACGTTCGAGACGATCAGTACTTTGCCCGCTGAGAACCTCAGATTTGTGATGTGCTGCGGGCTTGCAAGTGGCTTTTGTAGCCCTTTAAAACTGCTACCATGCTGAACAGTTCTCAGGCAGAGCTACAATAGAACCCGCACCCGACCGTTTACAGGCATTACTAGTCCCTATTTCTCTTGACACACTCACTGAATGTTTGTCGAGCGATCCCCCACAAAGACGCCGCAGTGTGCTCCTCTGTCGTAAGATGGAACCTACCTTGCAAGGTCGATCAAGGAAAGTTGATCAGCGTAAGGAACAGCCCACGGACATCCACCAATCGTAAATTTTCCCACCGTATGCATCGTTCTGAAACCTCCGTGGCCACCACGGTGGTCCATTTCATATTTCCACTCCAGGCCAATTTCGCTTGAACCGGAAAGGAAGGAGACGCAAATGTGGGGAAACTAAGTTGTAGGTAATGAAGAACAAGTTCGAAATAGCAATCAACCAGTTTGTATCCGTACATAGATGCGCTCGTTCGCAACTACGCCCTAGTTGACGATTAAAAGCAAAAACCGATTTATTTCAAACGTCAAAACAATTGATTTTGTAACAATGAGGTTTGAAGTGTTTGATTTCTAAAAATGAGCGGCTTATGTGAAGATCTTATTCATAGACGTGAAAATGAAGTCCATTACGTAGGCCGGAATGCTCCTTAAGCCAAATAGTTTTCTACTGAATACGGATACGGCTGCAGACATACCTGCTACTCTTCAATCCTTCGCTTACTAGTGCGTTGGCTTTGGAGGTGGAATCTTTGTAATATTTATGGAGGCTCTAATGGTGACATGTTAATTAGCCTGGTTAGGGATTTAATGTGCTGATGCAACACTACGGAACCGCCCTTGGAATAAGAATATGAGCGCCCCGGGAGCTGTCTCCAGGGGTCACCGTGGGCAGTCGGTTTTGCATTCACTGTTACGCTCACATATTAACGAGCGTTTTCAAGCACAGGCCGCGGCATTGGGTTGTGGTTGCTAGGTTCCCCCTGGCTGCTCCGTCAATCTTTTCTCCCAGCGGCATCCTTGGCCGTCCAGTGGGTTCATCCCACAACCCGGGTCATCCACCTCATTGACCAATGCCATGGTGATCGTCCGTCATTCTCAGACCAATTTGGCTCAATAATGGCAAGTCTCCCCTAGACCAACGTCAAGTAGAAATCAATCTCCATCAAGTTGACGGTAACGTGTGGAAAGAAACCCTAGCCAAATCGCTGCACCAAGTCCACTAAAACCTCTCTGGTTGAAACAAGATGGGCCCAAACATGAGAATGCAACTTGCAAATGCAGTGATGCCCTCGTCTGCCGGCCTCCTGGGTGTGTCCGATTATGTGTGGACTTTTCGTATTCAACCCGCGATTAATACCAACCAGAGTCGCCATGGTGAACAGATAAAAAGGAAGCTAGTCACCCTATGATCCAGACTCCTTATTCCCATCCAGCAACACTATTCCAAGTCGATCATTTTCACAGACCCAACACTCTTTTAGTACACTACTAGTCTCTACCGTCACAATGCCTTCTACCAGCCAGATCGTTTCTGCCCTCGCTGCCACCGCCGTTGTCGGCGTTCAGGCCGCCATGGGCCCTGCCTTCAGCACCGGCCCTGTCGCCTCCAACTCTTGGATTCGTGAGGCCACCTCCACTCTCGTCCTTCCTGACGTTCCCTCCAACAGCAAGGGCGTCGCCTCTCTCTGGGTCGGTATGGGTACCTCCAACGGTGATCTCATCCAGTCTATTGCCGACAACTGGCAATCCGACAAGTGGTCCATCTTCGCCTACACCCTCGTGAAGACTGGCGACAACTCGCAGATGCCCGTTCAGACTGAAGGCACCCCCGCTGGCGAGGGTGACAAGATTACCATGCACTGTACGTCACACGCTTCCCGCAAGCCTCTTTGAACATTCCACTTACCTATTCTACACAGACAAGTTCGACGATGCCTCCGGCAACTACACCCAGACCGTTTCCATCAACGACAAGGTGGTCTCGACTCTGTCCACCAGCAGCGGACACGCTCAGGGCTGGGGCTCTGCCGTTGAGTGCGGCGAGAACGACTGCGGCACCATCGGCGCCCACTCTTGGATCAACACCAAGATCATCCTGGACAAGGCTGACCCCAACTACATCAGCACCAACGGCAAGGGCCAAGGTGTCACCGGCGAGATGTCCACCAGCGACGGCGGCAAGACTTGGGCCGTCAGCACCATTGAGATCCCCGAGTTCACCTTCGGCCAGTAAGGTGGTTCTAGTGGAAAGGCTAGGCCTTTGTCGGCTGTGGAAGAGAAGACGTCAAGATTCATTGTAACTATATTGCCGGTACATAAGTTGTACATATTGCGTACTTTTGCGCATTCCACTGGACGCACAGAACAGTCCTTGTAACTATACCAAAATACCATTTACGATACCTATATCATTTTCAATATTTCTGTTCCGACAATGGTCCTGTATATATATTTGCATGTGTCGGAAATCCAGATTCTCGCATTTTTTACTGTAGCATCGTTACGAATCCGATCACGAATGCAGTATCAAAAGCGTGCTGTGTTTCCAATGAGAGAATCCCATCAAAGATCTCTGCGTTCTCGTGGCGTTCTCCTGTGCTATCATATGGTATTACTAGATGCGTGGCTGATTTTCTAGACTCTTGCCCTCTCCGACACCCATAATGCAGTTTTCACGTACGGTACATGTCGCTCACCGATACTTCTCGTCGAGGGCCATTGTCACAAGTCAGACAGATAGAAGGCTACATCCTTAGCCACAGACGCCAGTCTTTCGAGTTCCTTCGCGGCACCATTCGCGGCGCCAAGCCAAGATATAACCATATGCACGACATAGAGTTGCAAGGGGCCTCCCGTCCGCAGCGGACTATTTCATGTCCTTATCCAGGCTAGCGCGTTTGCTCAACATGACGCAGAATCCTCGGCGCCTCTGCGTTGCGGAGGATGAGACGATTGATTTCTCCTATTCTCCTATTTCTTAGATAGGTGGAGCCTTCAGCGCACATAGTAAGGGGCTTGGCACCTCCATGGAGGGTATGGTCAAGGCGACCATTGGGGGGGGGGGATAACCTGACTAATTACCCACTTATTTAAATGAATTATAGGTCTATCTGACTAATTTTATGATTAGCTGTATTAAGGTAAAGTAGGTCTACCTAACTATAGAATTTTTAATCGGTTAGGTATATAGACTAGTTACTAATTACGTCCTACTACTAATTAAGGTATATACCCTATATTAATATTTAAATCCCTATTCTATTCTGATTCTCTTCCTTTTCCTTCTATAACCTTTTAAATCGTATACGCCCCCCCCTCCCCCCCCCCCTAGCATACCGATTCCTAATTACTTCCGAATTAGTTTAGAAATCCGACATTATACCTTTATATAAGGATTCTATAAGTATAATAGAATCGGTTTAAGATCGATTTAGAACTAATTTAGAATTAGGATAATTATAAGACTTATAAAAAAGGTTTTCTCTAAGGCGGTAAGAACTACCGTATAGAGGATCTTCCTCTTTTTAAGTTTAATAAAGTAAGTAATTTAGAAGCGATTTTATAACGATTTAGAAATAGTTCTAAATCGATTTAGGCTAGCAAAGTCAAGCTTACCCTTAGTAAACTTTACTATTACTAAGGTAATAGATCTAGTAGTATTACGTATATTAAGGTAATTTAGAATTAGTTTTAGATTAGTTTAGAACTAATTTCGAATCGATTAGATAGAATAGTTCTTAAGTAAGTTAAACCTTAAAAACTATATTAAGAAGTATAAGCTTAATAAGGTCTCGGTTAAGGTTAAAAGCCGTAAGTCTAATATAAACTCCGTCGAGGAGAATAATAATATAGCTAGTAAGTAATTCTAAACTAATTTTATACTAATTCTAAACTAGTTTTAAACTAATTATAAATAGAATTTTATAACTATATCTATAGTATTACTATTAGCGTTTATAATAATAGCAAGCTATAGACTCTTTCTAAGAAATAAAAGGCATAAACCCTTCCCCCCTTTCTTACTATGCCTATACGTAAGCAAGGCAACTAAACTATAGTAAATAATTCTTAATCGATTTAGAATCTTTTTAAAACCTATTCTAAATCGATTTTATAATAGATTAACTTTATTAAAATACGTTACGCTGCTAGCTTTCTTACTAAAGGTAAGTATACCTACTATACTACTACTTATAATGCTAGTAAGTTTAGAATTAGTTTTAAAATAGTTTAAAACTAATTACGAATCGATTTAAAATATCCTCTTGCCTTTCGCAATTAAGAATATAAGGTCTAGGCTTGCTTTAAGGATAATAAAAAAGATAAAGCCTGAATCAATTCAGGATCGGTTTGGAACTAGTTTAGGACTTCTTTCGGGACTGATTTAGAACCGCTTTAGAATTAATTCTTTATAAATACCCGGGGCGTTCGGTTTTTAAGCTTTTTTTTAAAAAAGCATTTCTAAATCAATATAGAAATAATTTAGAATCGATTCTCTACCTATCCTATATGCTATCAAAGTCCTAACCTTCTCCGCCGCTCTGCTAACTCTAGTTCCTTTTCTTGTAGTTCAAGCTTCTGTTTTTCAACTAGAAGTTTTCTTACTTCTAATTCTAATCGCTTTTCTTCTAATTCTAGACTTTGCTTCTATAAGTCAAAGTTATCTTATTATCCCTGTCTGATTTCGTTTCTTAAGTTAGAAATAGATGTTCTTTGGAGAGTATTTGACCTAATAACCCCAGAAGATGAAGCATGGGAAAGACGAGGGGATCGATTCCGAATCGCTTCTAAAAGACTTCGGGATCGATTCGGAATTGAGGATGGACTTCTTGAATTAGTACCCCTTGAGGGACTAGACGTAAAGAGTCGGGTTGATAAAAGCCTTTCAACACGTTCATTATCTAGTTGCTCACGGGATTCCCTCTGGCGTTGGCGTTTAAGTTCTAAAATAATTTAGAAATAATTATTAATAAATATTAAAGTATTTTTAACTTACGTAAACGGCTTGCAGCTGTATTATAACGGCTAATAATAGAAACATCTTTCCAGGAAAGCCGGATTCCTAGTGTTGTAAACACTGTATCCTGCTCTAAAAGATGGCGATCGTATTCTGCACATCTAAGTACTTTTGAATTAGTTCTCAACGCATTCCAAACCAATTCCGAATCAATTCAGAAGGGATTCCAAACTTACTTCTGGATACATGTAAGTAATGGTAAATACCGATTACTCCAAGTATATGAGGCTTCATGTAAAACCTCAACAGTATTTGTATTAGGTATGAATTGACTCCAATCTGATAAGGGGATTTTAGAGCAGTTCTGATTAAGTCCAGCTGCAATTGTTTTTCGGGCTTTATGTTGAGCCCATGCTTTTATTTGAGGTTCAGCTAAGTAAATTAGTTCCTAAGTAATTCTAAAGCGATTCGGAAGCGATATAGAATTAATCCTTACTCTCAAATGCCTAACATAAAGCAAAGTAGTCTTCTAAGGAACGGCAGAATAGTAGGCTACGCATTTAATTCCATAGAGAGTCAAGGCTACGGTCTTCTATACAGTATGCCTCAATCCCTCGTTAGAAATAAATTAAACAGAAGCGTACAGAGCGTTCAACCTGCCATGCCCATGGTCTATGCTCTAGGTTACATTCTAGAGATAGATATTTCCTAAACCCTAGATAATTAGTTATAAATCGGTTCTAAATCGGTTTAGAAACTATTAAGAACCCATACCAATAAGGTTTTTATGGTCTTGATCAACTGTAATACCTAGTAGACCCCTACCATGAAGGTGTTTCCACTTGACTTTATATCCAAATTTCTTATAAAGTAGTTTAAACACAATTGTATACATCTGCTGATACATTTCTGTACTTTCAGAATTGGTAAAAACTCGGATAAGTGGAATTGCTAAAATAGTTAGGAATCTGTTAAGAATCCGTTCTAAATCGATTTAGAAGCGATTATATACTTTTTAAAGATATCAAATTATACTATCCCTAAATAACCTTAACTTCCTCCTTTCTAGCTAGATATTTATAGTTTATATCTACTTAGAAAGTATTAAAAGCCTTTTTCTTTTATAATTTAGCTTGCTTTATATAAAATATAATATATAACGTACATGATAAGCGAGTGAGACAGACAAGCGAGTGAGACAGTAAACCGCGACCGTCGCACCTTGACGCGACCGGCACCTTTTCCTCTACAATAAATCATGGAATCAGCTAGTATTGAAAGAAGGTTACAAATTGCCCTTCAAGCAATGAGAAATGACCCAAAACTTAGTGCTCGGGCCGCAGGTGCACTCTATACAGTCAGTCACGCAACATTAAGCCGGCGACTAAAGGGAATAGTCTCACGACGCGACAGCATGCCTAATTCACGGAATTTATCAGATTTAGAAGAGAAGACAATAGTTGAGTATATTCTCGACCTAGATGCGCGATCATTTCCTCCCCGGCTGAGTGGTGTGGAAGAAATGGCCAATCGACTTCTCGCAGAGCGCGACGCGCCTCCAGTTGGGAAGCGCTGGGCTTCTAATTTCGTCAAGCGACAACCACAGCTTAGGACGCGTTTCTTTCGCAAGTATGACTATAAGAGAGCTTAATGCGAAGATCCAGAGGTGATTCGTGGCTGGTTTTCGCTTGTGAAGAATACAATTGCGAAGTATGGTATTGCTGATGCTGATATCTACAACTTTGATGAGACCGGCTTTATGATGGGCGTTATTGCTTCTGGAATGGTTGTTACAAGTGCTGAAAGGCGTTCAAATACGAAGATGACACAGCCTGGCAATAGGGAATGGGTTACAGTTATCCAGGCTATTAATTCCCAAGGGGAGAGCATCCCGCCATACATCATCGTTGCAGGCCAGTATCACCTCTCAAGCTGGTATACAGAAACCTCTCTTCCGGGCGATTGGGCTATTGCAACGTCTGAAAATGGATGGACAACAAACGAGAGAGGTATTGACTGGATCAGACACTTCGACATTTATACAAAACCACGTACGTCTGGGAAATATCGCCTCCTCGTTGTTGATGGTCATGAAAGTCACCACTCCGCAGCCTTCGAGCTCTTTTGTCAAGAAAACAACATTATTACACTGTGCATGCCGGCTCACTCGTCTCATCTACTTCAACCCTTAGATGTTGGTTGTTTTCAGCCGTTAAAGAATGCCTACGGTCGGCAAATTGAGAATAAGATGCAGCGAGGCACAACCCATATCTCGA